CACTGGGCGAAGTGACTACATACGTATACGCAATTTTAATCACAAATAATCAGTAAATAAATGATTATTATCTGGTTAAAGCCTATTATCGAGACTATTATTGCTGGTTATCGCTGATTATCGAGACTTATTAATCAAGAATAACCAGTGTTTTTACTGGTTATTACGATAATCAATTCTTATTAATGTGTAACCAATGGCAAAAAGTCCAACTGATTATCTAGTCAAGTGATTATTAATCCAAGTGGTTATCGGTTTGTTCTCATTAGGAATTAAGAACTGTCTGCCACCTATCCATTCAGTCCTTCCAAATATTATCCATTGAGTAAACAAAGTAGCTTTTGTCTAGCTTAAGAATATGAATTTTTGCCAAATTGAATTTTTTTATTTAAACATCAAATTTCTAGAGTTCATTGTCAACCAAACAAAAAATAAAAGAAACATATTTTGATAATTTCATTTAATGTTGGATTATTTAGCTGTCCAAAGTCAATTACCAGGATTCGAGATTTTTTATTAGCAATTATCATGCAGCAGATTTCCGCAATTTAATCAATAGTTTATACTAATTAGTAGTACTAGTAATTAAAGAATATCACAAAAATATTTTATCATCATGTCGAAAATCCAATCTAAAATCTGGTAAATGTGTTGCATTTATTGAAGCAATAAAATTGTAATATCACTGTAAAACTATAATAGAGTAGATGCGAGTAGAAATGATCTTGATTTACGTCATTAAATATTCAAAATTCAGTCAAAGTGATGTCATATTTGAAATCTACATGTAAAAATACATCTAGAAACATGGTTTCGAAAAATGTTTATCAACTTTGAAAATTTAATCTTTTTTGAAAGTGTGACTTCTAGTTCGGGTTGATTCCCCATAGACCCCGTATTACAAAATCACAAAAAGTGAAATATCTTTTCTCGTATTGGACATATCACGTTTTCTTTTACTGAACATAGTTTAATTTGCATAACCATTCGATACATAAGGGCTATATGAAAATTGAACCACTAAAACAGATGTAATTTAAGTTGAAGGGAACTTTCTACCATACCCGCCATGCTATCTGACCCGAGCGAGCCACCTGGTGGTGAAACTGGTAACTACCTACTCGCATTTGCGTTATTAAAATGTTTGATATGAAATTCGATTGTCGGGAATAAGAAATACACATAAATACTTTTATATAATATCCAGTGTATTGAAATAAGATGTTATAACAAAAAGGCAATTGAAAAACTTCAATCTCAGTGAAACTAGTAGTGAAACTCCCTAAATCTGTTAAAGGGAAGCCTTCATTCAAGCACTGAAGTTTAAGTTTAAGAGGAATTCAGTATTAGGAATTAATTAAGAGAATTCAGTATCCCGTGTGTTCATTACCCCCTCCCATCCCCAATTATTTAACTATGCTCCAATGTGTTTCATTTCTGTGTTTGATAAATGCAATCAATATGATAGTTAATCATTATTACTCATTATTACAGTAGAGCAAGTGTGTGCAAGGTTTAATCTTAATCTTATTGAATTATGTTAATTAGTTGCTTGGATGGTAGATTGTTTGTTTGCTTGCTTATTAGCACGATTGATTGCTTGATTGGCCGTTTACTTGCTAACATTCTTTCTTTGTTGCTTTGCTGCTTCCTTGATTTCTTGCATTAGAGTTTGATTAGTTACTTGCTTGGTTGGTTTGTCAGTTGTTTGCTTGCTTTATTTGTAAGTTGCATGGTTTGTTTGTTACTTGCTTAATTTCCTGCTTGCTTGGATGGTCGTTTGCTTGGTTGCTTGGTTGGTTACTTGCGTGGTTGGTTGCTTAGTTATTTATTTGAGAATTTCTAAATATCCATACAGTAGGCGTAGCCAAGGAGGGGGGGGGGTGCGAAAAAATAAAAATGAAACCCTGAGAAAGAGGACTGAAAGAGCTTTAAAATGCTTTGTATTTGAAGCTTCTAGCTCACTTTGGAAGGAACTTGCATCAAGTTTTTGTAAAATTCAATATAAAAATCATTTTTGGCTTGTTTATGACACAATCGCACCCCCCCCCCCCCCCCCGACTGAAAACCAAAATATTTTTGGCGATTGCACTCCCCCCTGACTGAAACCTGGCTACGCCCCTGATATCTGTTATTGGCCATCAATAAACTATATTTATATTCTGAGAATTTATTGGTTTTGATAACAATAGACTTTATACATGTATAATTAATCAAATTTCATTTTGTATCATGTTGGCTAAATCCCGGGGCTAAATCGTTTTAAGTGAAGAATTAAGAACTGAAAACGGGATTTGCTTAGTTTGAGTCAGGGAACAAAATGTAATCAGACAGACGGATAAATGAGTATTATATGATATAGGCAGTATCTTTTTTTACTTCGGAATTGAGTGAGCCATCTGTAGTTTTAAAAACAAGGATCAATACATCTAATCAAGATCAAATATAAGAAATCTATTTTTGATTGGACAAATTTTTGTTCTCGAATGTCAAACAGAACCTTCATGTTCTTTATTCATTTGGAACTTTGATTTGAATTATTTTGAATTATTTCAATCAAACGTGTGTTGATGCTCTGGGCTAATTCTATTAATTGACAAAATGTTGCAATAGGGGGGGGGGGGCATTATTGTCTTTATTACATTATTTTCATGCATTATTACAAACACAGTAAACGCGACCCGATCGGGGAGGGGATTCGGGTTGTGCACAGTGCACAATTTGCTATCTCTTTATGCATGTTTTATTGACAAATTGATGTAAAAACAAGCTGGAGAAACATAAGTATTTATTTCGTATTTTGTTACCACACGTCAAAAAGGCGCATTTGAAGTTCAGAAAATGCAAGCTCCTTGAATCACCAAAATGCAAGCTCCTTGAACCACCAACACCCCTGAGCTACAGGTATAAGTACTTTCGGCACACGTAGAGAATAATATTAGACTTCTGCAATGCAACTAATAAGAGAGACCTAAAATGAAAATAATGTAACAAGTGCTCTACCTTGGTGATAAAAATAACTGTTCCTGTAAAATATACAATTGTAGTCCATCACAAAGTTCATTTATTTCATAAAAGTGTCAAGGGACAATCCCTCTAAACACTAAGATAAACAAATTAACTTCCGTAGAAACATCCTGTAGTTGAAAAAACAAATGGCTTTTCATAACGGATTAGAATAGCCAGTCTGTCTAATTGCATAATATATTAGATATATTTTAAATTCCTTCATACTTCTTATCTCAGACAGGTTGATCATTTTATTTAGACAAGAGATTGTATTCCAGCAGTGTCATTTGTAATTGGCCCTTTGAAGTTTATTCAGTCACGATAATCAGTTGGTCAGTTATTCAGTAAATAAAAAAGTGATTTCGCAGGATCAGACTGTGTCTGGTTATTAATGATTATTCTAAAAAATTAATCGCTGATTATTATGTGTTAATTCCTTCCTGTTTGTCCAGTGGATAACACTAACTAGTACAAAATAAATAACTATGATGCAATCATGATATATCTTTTGCAAAATAGTTGGCTTCACCTAGCAATCACGATCTCTGCTGTTAACACAAAACGAACACATATCTTGTAATCAGTTAGCTAGATTAAGATATACACTAAATAAATATAACAAAAACAAAACATCATTGGCAAGGAAAAATGGGTAAGTGAATGTAGGTCAATAGAGTTCTTCAATAGGAGGTGAGAAAACGTACAAAATGAAAGCACCAGAAATGTGTCCTTCACCACGGAGAATATTTTGAAAATTATGAATGTAATGGGACTATGTGCAATAATATTCATTAAGGATGTGCTCCTTTAATAAAATAATAATGTTGATTATTATGTAACCTCAAAAACGAATAAACCATTTGATGCATAGGATGTGCTCCTAAATTCAAAATTTTGGATAATTTTTTCTTTATTTTAGCCTCCTTAAAAGTGCCCCGATGGGGCAAAACTCATACTCTTGCAATGTTCATAAAAATAAAACCATGCAGTGTAATTCCTTCAAACTATACAAAGTGAATAACAAATGTTCAAAGATCATCCATGTGAAATATGATGCCAAAAGAATAAAAATTGATGAAATGAAAGCAAAAGTTTCAAGACTTTTTGGACGACCCTCGTATGTGGTCAATTTTCACACAACTTATAAATATGTATTCATAAATGTTCCCCAAACATTATTTTGTCAAAATAGTTTAAAATTATTGAAATATGAGAAATATGAGAAGGAATTCTGAGTAAAAGTTGTATTGATAATAGTTTACCGCACGTGTTGTTTTTTAGTTAATACGCGCAATTCAACCAATGAAATTGTCTAAATTTTACAATCACGCGACCTGAGCATGGGAATAGAACCAATCACGTCAGTTGTTTATTTCGAAGTTACCATGCTTACGATGAGATACCTGCCCGCCGCAGTGATATATCACTGCACGGGAGTTCGTAATTAGTAAGAGTAGTTCAAACGACTCCCAGTAAATGTAAAGTGTTCCGTACATTACTGTAAGTATAAAACCAATCAACCTTGACTGGGAAACACTTTCCTACTGTCTAAACTGTCTGAAATGCTAGGAAACGGTACTTAACTCCAAGATCAAAAAACTTGTTACACTATACATGTTTTACACAGGAATCCTGTATCATTCTTTATTAGAAATTTAAAAGCATGAGCGCATATACTAACCCATACGCATAATCACTTGATGTAAGAGGGCCAATCTCCTGTAGGATCAGGTTGGGTGAACACACGAATAATTGCCTTTAAATCTAATAAAAAATGATACAAGGATTGTTTATTACAATTCAAATATGCTATATACCACCATTCCTTTATACGTTATGCTATGTTCAAACTGATGTGTCATATTAGATATAAAATGTTTTTTCGATGGAGTTTCCTATTCCTGGGAAATTCCTTTTTTCTAGTGAAGACGATGATCATGTATTCTATTTTTCAAGCTGACGTTAAAATCCCGATTTGTGGACTTGATTTCGTATTTGCCGTAGACATTTCATGCAGTATTCATCCAGACGACAAGGAAAAGGTGCGTCGATTTCTGGAGTCTGTAGTAAGACGTATTCCCGTTCGTCCACCTTTCTCACAAGTCGGCATCATTTTGTTCTCTAAGATTGTCTACGATATTGCTCAGCTCAACTCGTACATTCGTCGTGAAAAAGTAAGTAATCCAAAACCTTGGTAGAATAATGTTAGGAATTTTGATTCAAGTAACGTATATCATGCGGCGTGAATATATCCCTGGCAATGTTATCTATGAAGAAAGTTAATCGGTCAGTTCAACCCAGTCAACGTAATCCTTAGTCAACTCACCACAAAATGATTTTAAATAATAACATTTTTCTGCATCTTTCATTATGATTATGAATGTTTCTGAAAATCATTAAAAACAAATCGAATAAATGTACTCCTTCAGGATTTTAAAAAGCATCTATTCGGTGTTAAAGCGATTGTTTTATATAAAGTTTGAAATGATGCATTCTTTTTCAAAAAAGGCCCCGTGCAATAGTTTAATCATTCAAATGTTCCTAACTTGAAAAACGATTTGAGTTTTATTTGAAAATATGACTTTATAAAAAAGATGTTTATCTTATCATTTTCATTTTTTATATTCCGCCATTTTAGAAACTTAATTTTAAATTTTTAAATCATCGAATACAACTCTGAGGACTGAAGACACATTACTTTCTCTACTCCATCGAATAGATGGGGGAAAGGTAATTTTATTTCAACATTTTTTAGCTTTTAAAAGTAATAAAAGAGATGGAAATGAAACCAAAAGAGTGTGCCACATCAACATATCTGGCCCTCGAATACGCAAGGGAAGTTACCTTCAACAAACAGTACGGTGCTCGTGAGGGGAAGGAGGTAAGGGTTTTTAGTGGCCTATGCCACTCTAGAATATAAAAATAAAACATTAAAAGTTTTGTTTCTGATTTAAGGTTGTTCATAAATTATGAGTTTACATATTATATTTTAGAAAGTGTTAATCGTCGTTACTGATGGTGAAACGTATCCTGGGAATATGAAAAATGAAACAATGAAAATGGCTAAAGCCAACATAAGAGCCAACATAACATCATATGTAGTTGCATTACCCGATATGAATGGAAAATTGATTGGACACGACGAATGGAACGCAATCGCAACTGGCAATGATCCAGATCCAGTAGGCGTCATGGATCCAAATGTATTTGCAATTGAAACTTTTGATCAACTCAGAGAAATCATCAAAACACTCGCCGACATAGCGTGCGAGATGATGTAAAATCGGCGATGGCACCAATAATATGATCAAGAAGGTATAGGAATAAAAGGACTCATAAGGGTCGACAATATCATGAATGAAGACATCATCTTTTTTGTGGTCCAACATACCGTAATATATTTAATGTATTATTTTTACAATAAATTCTCATTAACCGAGATTAAAGACAAATGTATTTCAGCTTATTATATTGATATGATGGATCTGTTAGGATTGTATTCTACTGTACCATCTAATGCTGTGCGAACGAAACCTCCAACGTTTACACATGAAATAAAACGGGCGTGTTGCCTCGAAGTTCCAATGCAATAATGGGAATGCGAGATCAGATCATATCTGCCTCTGGAGACTAAGGAGTTACAAAAATGACTTGTGTAATCAATGATTCTATTTACAGTGAGTGAACTTAATGAACTATAGTTCTATTCTATGTCATTGTATTTTGAAGATTATACATTTGAAATTGCCATCCATAGCATTGAGACTAATAATCGATTGCATTTACTTGACGCTAGATGTCACTTAGGATAGTTTTTACCATTTTGAAATAGGGGTAAATCCAATATTTAATAGCCCAATACGATCCATTTTTTAATTATCAATTTGAAATTGCCGCCCATAGCATTTAGAATAATAATCGATTGCATACATTTGACGCTAGATGTCACTTAGGTTCGTTTTTACCATTTTGAAATAGGGGTAAATCCACTATTTAATAGCCCAATACGATCCATTTTTTAATTATCCATTTGAAATTTCCGCCCATAGCATTTAGAATAATAATCGATTGCATACATTTGACGCTAGATGTCACTTAGGTTCGTTTTTACCATTTTGAAATAGGGGTAAATCCACTATTTAATAGCCCAATACGATCCATTTTTTAATTATCCATTTGAAACTCCAAATCCAAATTAAAATGTGGTGCTTGTATAACCTTTTTTATTTTAAGTAAAAATTACGACTTCTCTGCACGATGTATCCAATCAAGATTATTTGATCATCTATGTCTTCCTGAAACCTTTTGGCATCAAGAAATATAGTTACGTAATTTTGTGACTGAAATCAGGAAGAAAAAATTGAGACAAACAAAATTGGTTGTGAAAATTATTTACATAAATGCTCTAGAGACATTAATCTACTTGGCTCCATAAGGCTTTATTTGAAAATACTTTGCCTTATTAAGCAAGTAAAGGTGCACGAAAATGGAAGCAATACTCCTATTCGCGATAAGAGTTCAGGTGTTATTTTACATAAATATCTCCCATGATGCATTGCTTTGGAAGCGAAAATTTTCATTGGCCCGCCGAACGAGTCGATTACTCTGAACGTTTCTCAGCTTCTGATCTTCCATAAGCCCTCAAGCATAGTTACTGTATATGATCCAATCTATTCAAAAATCAGAAAGATAATCAAAGGAAGAGATTCAAACTAACATTATTTATATTTTTTCGATCTTCAATGGCGTCTGAGCAATTTCTGGGAAATCAGTGACGTCACTGGAATTGGACGGCATTTTCAACAACAGATTTCTTCGGATTTGGGGATTATAGTTCAAAAAGCCTTGTTATACATCTTAATTACATACATACCTACCGTTTGCGCAAATGAAACTCTACATAAATGTTAGAGACGCAATGCAGCATTGAAATAGCACCCCTGTGTAATCCAATGGGAAAGAACCCGGATGTTGGTCTGGGTCTGGGTCTTTATTGTCACAAAACAAAACCCTTTACTAAATGTGTTTGTGCTTTGCGATTATTTTTTGGAATGGTTATTTCAAATGACTCTGAAAGAATATCACACCTTTTTGTCTTCCCGATTTAAGTCAAAAATAACGTCAATAAAGCGGGAAAACTTTAATTATCGAGTGCCAAAGTATCTCATGTAAACAGCGAGGTACTCGAATGATCTTGATTGGACATCGTGGTGAAATCGTAATTATTTAGTGATATTCTAATACTGGATAAAGGTTTAACTTTAAAAGGTACTTCAACAACACCTGTTGTTGAAATCGGTAAGATGGATCATTCAGATATTTGATTCGGGATTTGATAGTTTAAATTCAGACATTTGATGGTCCTATAATCCCAAATATTTTATTTGCAGACTCACCCAAAAACACTATATAATGTCAGATTAATATAGAAGTTAGGCTAAACGTTTTTAAGGGAACTTCTACGTGAACGTGAAGGTCTTTCCAGAGAGCTAATTATAATCTTCTTTTTTATTCTCACCTTTACTTTCATTCCATAATCACTCTCATTCATCTAATTTGGACATGCTAAAATGTCAAAATCCTTTATTAAATGGATGGGTGTCTCGGGAACGTTTTTGTAAATAGTTATTAAGGCAATTCTTAAAGAATATCTGCCTGAAGGATCCAGATTTTTGTCCATTTATTTAAAAAGGTTACTGTAGTCGGACATGTTTTGTTTTTCTACTGATTTAATCTTCCAGATTTGTTGCATATACTACCCGCTAGCAACTATTTGCATTCACGAATACAAACTTACCTACAAGTATATTCTTGATGCCGTGGTCTCATTTTCTCTAGAACACCGCCCCCGGGTCTATGAGTATTTTGTTTAAAACTGAATGAACTTTTGAACAGAATACTAATCGGCTTGGCGCCGTACTTAACCGTTCACATAAACAGTTTTTCGCGTCATGCGCGTTGCGCAATTTTAAAGATCACCCGCCCCTCCAACCCTTATTTTTTAAGAAATTTACCACAAGGGACGATTATTTACTGTGCATATCTTTGTATTATGTTGGCATTTTTCTTATTTAAATGATTTATAGAATTTAAGCCCAGAACAACATTGTCAGTTAATTAGAATTAGAGAAAAGTAAATTGTTAAATTTGATGATAAAACGTAAAGAATAATTGTTGAGTAAATGAGTAAATAAATAAATGCCGTTCCAGGTTCCGTTTATGAGTGTCCATTGTCAAAGCTAAACGTTTCAAATGCATACTGAATTCATGATCACTATTTTAAAGTTGACAAATAATAGTAGGCTTACCAGACTATGAACTTATTTACTGTTCTGGGTTATTGTGTAGATCTGTTTGGAAAACTAATAGAATACTTTATCAAGTCTCTCCCATTTCATGTATTGTAATTTTGTGTGTTTTTGAATAGATAAATAAAATAACTGAATAATTGTTGAGCATAGGCAAAAAAATTATATGCTCATGAACTGTAGTCCACATTCCTTAAAGGGTTCAAATTAGAACCAATTTTATAATTTAAGGTGTCACGTATGAAGTGTCCGTTGTCAAAAAAACATTCCAAAGCAGATGAAAACAGTAGAATCAATGTTATGCCATTTTGACTTAAGATAACATCTTCCAAAATGAGCCAAGAAAACTAAACTGACATATTTGCTATTGAGTGACAACGCATTTTTGTACAACTTATATTCTAGCCAAAGTTTAAGATAATCCCCTAGGAATTCGTTCTCATACTTCATACAAAGTATTGTCTTGATGCAAATATTTATTCTATTTGAGATTTATTTCTAAATAAGAATGTTTTAAGATTATTCCTTGACCAGGTTTCATAACGTAAAATACAAGTAGATACTTTTAAATGTTTGTTTTCATGTATATTATATTTCAGTATTAAAATGATATCGTTGGTTAAACAAGAATTGATATATTGTATACTATTATATTATGTTTAAACTAAAAAGCAATAACAATACAAAGGATAAACAATATAATGCTTGAAATGTCTTGAGTTATGGACATATATAAATCCGCAATGGTAAAACTCTTGCAGTTAAGACTAAACATTATGTGATATAAACCAATATTACTCGGTAATTGTTTTGAAAATAAACATAAGATGACTGTAACAACTTAACTTCAAATATATAAAGTTCAATGAAGTATGCAGATGTCTACATTGCCTTTTAAATTATCATGCATTAAACTGAATCCAACACAGAGGTTATTCAACAATTGCAGATATCACTGAACATTTATGCTACAAAACTTAGAATACCAGAGCTATGACACGTTTAACACTAATTCACGAGATTCGTATTGGAATAACTCTAATGGGCCTTTCAGTATTCCATTTCGCTCTGGTTAGAGCAGCGCCAACTGATAATGAATTCAAACAACTATCAAATACTGTTATTGAACTGCAAAGAGATGTTAGAGATCAAGCTATTGAAATAGCTGTTTTGGAGAGAAACGCCATCAAAATGGAAATTCTTGTTGAACAATTGAGGAAGAAGTGTAGTAAAACATGTACAGTGAAGAAGGTGAAAGGTCCTCCTGGGAAAAAAGGCGCCCAAGGACCTACTGGAGAAATAGGTCCACAGGGAGTAAAGGGTGACAAAGGACTGACTGGAGCAACAGGTCCTCAAGGACCGAAAGGTAATCAAGGACATATTGGGGCAACAGGTTCACAAGGACCGAAAGGTGCACAAGGTGACCGAGGATCTACTGGGACATCAGGTTCACAAGGACCGAAGGGTGATCAAGGACCTATTGGGACAACAGGTCCACAAGGACCAAAAGGTGACCGAGGACCTATTGGGGCAACTGGTTCACAAGGACAAAATGGTGCAAAGGGTGACCGAGGGCCAACTGGTCCAAAAGGTGACAAAGGGTCTGCTGGGGCACTAGGTCCAAAAGGGCAACAAGGTGCAAAAGGTGACCAGGGGCAAAAAGGTTCAAAAGGTGACAGAGGGCCGACTGGGGCGGCTGGCTTAGCGGGTAACACAGGTCCAAAAGGGCAACAAGGTCAAAAGGGTGAAAGGGGATCTGTTGCGGACAGTAAGTACTTTCTACTTTATAGAACACTTCGGTAGTTCTACCTCATAATTCAAATGTTAGTGGCAATAGTCTTAATGAAGACTGAAATTTATGGTGCAAAATAAGACCAAAATCGTATAGTGATTGAGGTCTTAGGTAATGGCCTGAATAAAATCCGAGATCATAGAATCAAGGTCCACGATTCTTGTGGATAAACAAACCAGAAAAATAACTATTTGCAATTATGAAAAGCGGTCATACATACTCGATTATAGACCAGCACAATTGTTCTAGTTTTTGTGACTTCTCCACTGGGTGAAATCAATAAGATAATATAGAATAAGATTTTTTCGGATATTTGGCTAAAAAGATATTTGGGTAGAAATGTAAAAATGCAGTATTGCCATCACGTATTATTAAATTGCCATATAAAGGAATATATAGACAGCATAATATGTACGTATCATATTAGAATCATAGTTTGAATTATAGACGCCTTCGAAAACCATATTATACATACAACAGCTAGCACAAAAACCTTAAATACCTAAATGATATTCAGTTCTAGCGTTTTGCAGATTCCGAGATATTTGCCTATATGCACACTTTTCTACCTGCTCTCCAGAATGGCAAACTGATCATAATAGCACGATGTCACAACAGATTAGTGAAATCATTTTAAAAAGGTCCTTGTGCACCCTTGGTATACGCAGCTAACGAAAATTGACCGGTACTTAAAAGCATCGGGAGGCATCATATATTTCAAATTAGACACGAGGAAGTCAATATTGAGCAAGTTATGGCTGTTTTAAATTCAAATAAAACCGCTAACCCGTACCGGTCCAGCTTTTGACCCGTACCGGTCAATTTTCGTTAGCTGCGTATACCAAGGGTGATGTGGAATATGGCAAGTGATTTTAGTCAGTCATCTTTCACCATAAGTCATTTCTGGATATCAATACATTGGTTTTCATTGAAACAACATGTTTTCTTTAAAGTAAAGTCCCCATGATAGTAAAATATCAATTCAACTCTCTGAAAAATTATGGATTAGGACCCCACCTTGTCACTTTTTTTAGAAATATAAGGCTAATTTTCTAAAAAGAGGATCTTGTTTTTCTCAATTTAGATATATCAAAAGTTTCTTCTACACTATATTAATAACTGCTGAAAAGGGGATGGGTATTGAAATGCGATAAAGTTAAAAACTGCACATTTCTCATGTTGTTTTCCCATAGGAAAGACTCGTGCTATCCATTGTTTTCAGCATGACTTTGGACTTGAAATACCATTCTACTTTTGAAGATGTTTTAGACCCATTGTTGAATAATCTTTTCATGCAATAAAATTTTAAAAAAGAAGATCCTCTTTTGAACAAATAAGTTCAACATTTTGAAAAAAATGTTGACGTGGGGTCCATATTTATGATTTTTCGAATTGTTCGATTGATATTTTTATCATCATGGGGCAACTTCAATTGAAAGTAAACATATTGCTTTGATGAAAATCACTGTATTTATGCCCGGAAAGTACTCATGATGAAAGATATGACCGTCTAAAATCACTTGCCATACTGCACGTGGTCTTTTCCCAGGTTGTCAATGGACAGATTGGTCAGCATGGAGCAGTGGTCCGTGTAGTAAATCATGTAATAATGGGACACGTCTGCTGACAAGAACCAGAAATTACACTCAATGTGTATCTGGCACAGTTACAGAAACAAGGCCAGTATCGTGTAACACACAAATATGTCGAGGTAATCTATACGCATAATTGTACTTGAGGGGATAGAGCTTCTACAGCTCAATTGTCTTTTATTATTTACTTGACAATCTAGCATATCAATGAATTTTTTTCTGGAAATTCCCGAACATGTTTTTCAGATGTCTGCAGAACATTATAACCATATCTTCATTAGTTTTGTAGAAATAATTTTTATTTTTCGATTTTGCGGGCTAATTTTAGTCAGTTTTCCATCTTAATATGCATATAATTTACAAAATTGAGAATATATATGCATCAAAATATAACACAATTATTTTATGTATGTACCAAACAAGTGAGTAAGAGTAAATTGTGTTTGAAGCTCAAGTTTTTTAGAAAAAAAAATTCTGTCATCTCGGGTGGCTTTATTTATTTTAAAATATTTTTCATAAATCAGTAAATATAGAGCCTAACATGTGATATTATACAAATATTTAATTCTATGGAGGCGAATATCTGTGCATCTTTCACAAGTGATTGGCTAGTGGAATATCATCTTGTGAAAGTGTCACGGGTATTTACCGAAAATAGAATGAAATATTTGTTTTATATTATATCACTCTCATAACATCTTCTGTAATTAAATAAGTCATATGTTAACATTGAAATATATTTATATTTCTTCTGACAATATAACAATAAATAAATATCAACTACCAAATTGTATAGTCATGAATATCAACTCCCAAAATGTAGTATTTTGATTTAAGGTTTCATGCTAACATTAAAATTAATTGTAACATTGCAATGGGTCAATGAAATGGAACCATTGTGTTCATACTCATAGTATTGGTCATGTGGGAAAGAGGATTGGTAAAAGCAAGGACGTCTACACGGAGTCCAAGCCAAACGCTTTTACGTGCACGACGGAGCGTTTCATTACTGAAACTAAACAAAGAAACGCTCCGGAGTCTGACGATTTCCCCAAAGATGGGAATAAGAGGTATGAGTTACTTATTTCGAGTAAACCATTCGATTTTGTACTTGGCTGGCTGTTGACGTTTGAAGTAATAAGGAAGAGCTGTATGAAGAAGTGTAGTTATCAAAATTCATAAACGTATTTGTCATTCTACAGGTCAAAACGCCTTTTGTCGAGACATGTGATTGGCTGAGCCAAGATTGGACCACCAACGTATTTTTTGGTCAAATTTCAATGCTTCAACACACCACACATTATCGTAATTGTGATTCGGTGACCTAAAATCCAGTCTTAAAAATGCTGACATTCTCATATTTAAGAAACGCTGCGACCTGATTAACACGTACAGTGAACTGGAAACGGTGCGGTAGTCTAGATCTGTTTAGGGAATATATAGCTTGACTTTCCTTTTTCAGGAAGAGAAAGATCTGTTTTACCCATTGGCATCAAAAGAAGAAAGATTAATTCACATATAAAGTTTTTGTTATTTGTCAATAGTTTTAGCACACATGTAGGCATAACATCATCTAATGTAGGCTTAGCTCGGCTAGTTGCACGTTTAGCACCACCAGGTTGGGACGTTTCAATTTGCCTAACAAGTACAACACGTTTTTGAGGGATAGATTCGATTCCGAACTCTTCTCTAATAAATGGAAAATAATATCAAAACAAAATGGTAAGAGCGTTTCTAAAATTGCGTCCTAAATCGACGGAGCGTTTCGAGGAAAACAAGCGATTTCTCGAGAACAAGTGATGGATTTGGACTGGGATTTTAGAAAATGAGAATTTACAATTTTGTGATGTACTACTTTGACAGAAAGATTGACATTTCATATAAATACTAGTTTAATTCGTAATTTGTGGTCAATTCGTCAACTTCAGATACGTTCGATCTACACTACGGAGCTTTGATCAAGCAAATGACAGTTTACCACCAGAAGTTGAATAAATAAGATCTTTGATCAGGGTATTGTTCATCGAATGGTACATAATATGTCACCATAACATATGATATGTAAGAGAAACGAGTGAACAATACTTACGGTCATAGTGGGATCTTCATTAGCCGCCATTTTTTTCACTCCGCAGCGTTTCCGCGTGAATGAAACGCTCCGTCATGCATGTCAGAGCGTTTGGGTAGGACACCGTGGTCTATCTCCTTGGTAAAAGTTAAGCATGAACTCTTAAATTCAATGCCATGAATAATGTCAATGTCATCCTGTCTTATGTTCTGAAGATGACAATTTATTCCATGTCTTATACTTTGAAATGTTGAGGATTTATAGTGTTCTCCCTCGATTGATTCTGCCTCCAAATAAAACTGGTTCAATTTTTCATTCAATGTCGATTTTGATACGTTTTCCAAATCAATCACATCGTCTTTGCTAGATATCCAATCTTGAAAGATCTTAGCTGATCTTTTTGTTTGCCTTTCTTGTGTTGTCTGAATGAATATTCCAATGGATTCTATCAATTTCTTCTGCAGAAATAGTTGGAAGCGGGACAGCATCTTCACTTCAAAAGGCGTTAGCCCATGCACGTGCACAAGCAGCCAAAGGTAAGCCATACAACCGAAGGTAACCTATACAAACGAATTTCGCCGATTCAATCTGACGGAGAATGCTAAGCCTCTCTTTTTGACCAATTAGAGACGTCCTTTTCCCATTTGTTGTACCCTCGACCAACTTCTTTGCCAAGAAAATCTTCGGCAGTCTCCGGCTTTTCTTGAGGTATCTTTGGTTGCAAGCCAAAAAGTCGACAACGGGACAGCATATTTTCCATTCAATCGAGTTTGGGCCATTCAATCGAGGTTCGGCCATGCAGCCGAAGGTTAGCCATAAAACCGAATTTTGCCGATTCAATTTGACCGAGAATGCCGAGCCTATCTTTTCGTCAAATTAGAGACGTCCTCTTTCCATTCGTTGTACCCTCGGCCAACTTCGTTTGCCAAGAAAATCTTCAGCAGTCTCCGGCTTTTCTTGAAGTATCATTCAATAATGGCTGCCCTTATTTGCATACATAATTAAATCAATAAAAAAACTTAATTTAGTTAATTAGTCAGTAATATTCATTTAACAAAAGCTTACAAGCTTGATATCTGAATAAATGCGATATTTCAATCATAAAATACACTAAGTTGCAATTAAGCACTCTATATAATAAGTTAGTATTGTATATTTTAACAATATCTTATTCAGTCACCCTCAAAACATGAGTTTAGACAAACTAATAGACTAAATGCGAGTAGAAATAATCTTTACTTACGTCATTAAATATTCGAAATTCAGTCAAAGTGTTGTCATATTTGAAATATACCAAGTACATGTAAAAGTACATCTCGAAATATGGTTTCATATTGTCCATAAACTTTGAAAATTTAATTTTTTTCCTAGTTCGGGTTGATTCCCCATAGACCCCACGTTACAAAATCAAAAAAACTGAAATAATTTTTCTTGTATTAGACAGATAACATTTTCTTTTACTGGAGATATTTTAATTTGCATAAGTATTAGAAACATAAGGGTGATACGAAAACAAAACCACTAAAACAGATTTGATTTAAGTTAAAGGGAACTTTCTACTATATCCGCCGTGCTATCTGACCCGAACGAGCCACCTAGTGGTGAAACTGGTAACTACTTACTCGCATGTGCGTTATTATGCTGCTATCATCATCTACATCTCAAGATATAGAAAACAATCAATATTTCAATAATGACCAAACTAACATTTTGTCCAACCCAGCTTCTTTAGAGTAGTGAATATTATTCCACGTTGTTGAATGGATAAAACGTTTCAACTTAATTAAATAACACTAAATGCAAATTTAGTACATATTTCTGGCACTTTGGAATGTGAGTAGTATGAAGTATGATGGAATGATTGCCAAAATAGATATGTGGGTATGAAAAAGAACACATTAGGTAGAAGTCAAGTAATGTTAGTTTGTAAAATATAAAATATTCTTACCTTTTTGGTCCACTCTAACGAATGTCGTATTCCATGCTCTTAAAAATACGTCTAAATCGTTTGAAAAAAACACGTCCGGAACAATTTTCATTAAAGAGGTTAAGCAACACTACTTTTTACAACGTAAACCGCGAACGGGAAGGCGCACGCAGGTTTTTCTCAGGATGTGACGTCATATTGTTCTACTTATCTCCCGGTTTACGTACATCCAAACGTGAAATATCAAAGTCTAGGTAGGTCGTTCCGTAAAGGATTTTTTTGCACTATATCAAGTTCGATCGAGATAAATATGATATAGTGGGTCGAATGCAAGGATATGTTTGACACAAATCTATGTACGTATCGAGATCATTTGTGTCCAATCTAATTAAATATAACTTGAATATCGAGGCACCCATTTCATATGTAAAATCTGATGAGATTACATACATAGCAATTGCCTACATCTCAACTCATCTTATTCTACAGTATTTTGTATTTGTATTTGTATTTGTAAAATTTATTAAAGTGTCCTGGGCATATATTAATACAAACATGTAGCTAAAATACAAATGGTAATAAAATTCAAACGTATTAAAAGCATTCAATATTCTTACCCCAGGCCGTGTTCGGCCTATAAGACACTATGTATAAAACGATATTCATCAAAATTAACTGTACAGTTTATGTTCTCTTTTTTAAACATTTGGCCACAGGCCTTTGCCACATAAACAGCAATCTCATGATTTGACATCAAGATATAGAACTTCTCATCGTCAGTAAGTCTTTGAAAGTTTGTAATTTTATTCTGAACCTTGGAAAATAAATCATTTCTGATACTAGAATAAAACGGACATTTTAACAAGAAATGGTGTTCATTTTCAATGGCATTAACATCACAAAAATAACACAGTCTCTCTGGAACTGACAGTCGTTCGTAACGCCCCGTTTCCAAACGTAGCGGAGCAACGCCACATCTCAAAGAGGCTAATGCTTTCCGGTCGCGAATGGAAATATGAGATGCTAGGTAGAATTCCGGTTGTAAATCCAGCTTGAAAGTTCTGTATGTTCTTAACTTATTTCCTTGGCCTGCTGGGCGGTTTCCGTCGTTCCAAATGGTTTGTTGCCAGCTTTGGAAGACAATTGCCTCTAGTTCGGCAGATACGTGGCCAAGTGGAGAATCAAACGGAAGTGAGAGATCACTGGTTATAATATGATGCAGGTTGTAATACCAGTTCTTGGTTCTAGGAGAGGCATAATCTTGGTTCCACTTGTAAATACGGCGAGGTATCCTATTGCGCTCAAGGGCTTCGCAGCGATCTCTGTATCGAGTCGCTTACCGGATCTGCCGTTCGTAGGGGGGATGCCATCCCATTTCTGCTCTCACTGCAAGATTTGGTGTGTATTTCCCAACTCCAAGAAAAATTCTACATGCTCTGTGAAACACAGCATTAATGCAGGAATGTTGCTTAAGTCCCCATACCTCAGCACCGTACTCCAGTATTGGTCGCACTAGGCAATCGTATAATCTCGTGTAGCACTTATAAGGGAGGCCTCCAAAGGACTTATACTTTGCTGTTAGAAGACCCAACGCACGACTGGCAGATTGAGCTATTGCTTTCGCCATGAGAGAATAATCCAAGTGTTCGTTGAAACTGAGTCCAAGATATTTGTACGATGGTTTAACGTTGATGTCATGATTATCAAATTTAAATGCGAAGTTAGTTTGGGGTACGGACTTTGGTCGAAAGTGCACCACATTCGTTTTCGAAGTATTTAATGACATTCTCCATTTAATGCACCATGCGCGTAATACATCCAACATACTGTAACGTCTGGCCTAATTTGTGGTAGTGTGGATGTTGTTATTAATCAGACCAGGTTACTTCGTAGGATACTTGGTACACATTAAATGTACGCATGAATAAAAAGACACAATATTTAATATAAAATTAACAACATATATTCTGGCTTCATCCGCCTCAAAATAATACAACACAAATCAACAATTGATACTAAGTTTCAGTTTCAGAGGTACTAATTATAAGTCCTTTATGCAATTATACTTGTATATTTATCTATATATAAAAGTGTTCATCACTAATATAGTTTTTCATCAGCTGAGCGATGCCTATTCTAAGTCCACCAAGTTGAAGATATCTAAGTTCATCAAATGAGTTGTGAATATTCTAAGTCTATCAACTGAAGATGTATGGAATCTGCTAAGTTCTTCAGACAAGCGATAAATATTCTAAGTCCACCAAGTTGACGATATAATCTACGTTCATCAAATGAGTTGTGAATATTCTAAGTCTATCAAACTGAAGATGTATGGAATCTGCTAAGTTCTTCAGATAAGCGATGAATATTCTAAGTCCACCAAGTTGACGATATAATCTAAGTTCATCAAGTTATAGATGTGTGAAATCTACAAAGTTCCTCTAGGTAGAGATGAATATTCTAAGTCCCTCAAGCTGGCGAATATTCTAAGTCCACCAAGTTATAGATATAGGAAATCTACAAAGTTCCTCTAATCAGCGATGAATATTCTAAGTCCCTCAAGCTTGTGAATATTCTAAGTCCATCAAGTTATAGATGTGTGAAATCTACAAAGTTCCTCTAACCAGCAGTGAATATTCTAAGTCCCTCAAGCTGGTAATATTCTAAGTTCATCAAGTTGTAGATATAGGAAATCTACAAAGTTCCTCTAGGTAGAGATGAATATTCTAAGTCCCTCAAGCTGGCGAATATTCTAAGTCCACCAAGTTATAGATATATGAAATCTACAAAGTTCCTCTAATCAGCGATGAATATTCTAAGTCCCTCAAGCTGGTAATATTCTAAGTTCATCAAATGAGTTATAGATATAGGAAATCTACAAAGTTCCTCTAATCAGCGATGAATATTCTAAGTCCCTCAAGCTGGCGAATATTCTAAGTCCACCAAGTTATAGATATAGGAAATCTACAAAGTTCCTCTAATCAGCGATGAATATTCTAAGTCCCTCAAGCTGGTAATATTCTAAGTTCATCAAGTTGTAGATGTAGGAAATCTACAAAGTTCCTCTAGCCAGCTATGAATATTCTAAGTCCCTCAAGCTGGTGAATATTCTAAGTCCCTCAAGCTGGTAATATTCTAAGTTCATCAAGTTGTAGATGTAGGAAATCTACAAAGTTCCTCTAGCCAGCTATGAATATTCTAAGTCCACCAAGTTGACGAATATTCTAAGTCCATCAAACTGTAAATGTGGGAAATTTACAAAGTTCCTCTAGCCAGCAGTGAATATTCTAAGTCTATCAAGCTGGTAATATTCTCAGTTCATCAAGTTGTAGATGTAGGAAATCTACAAAGTTCCTCTAGCCAGCTATGAATATTCTAAGTCTCTCAACATATGCGTGAATATTCCTTAAGTTCCTCTGGGCATAAAACTCCAGGCAACTATGGTGAATATTGGCTAAGTCCCTCAATATATGCGTGAATATTCCTTAAGTTCCTCTGGGCATCAAACTCCAGGCAACTATGATGAATATTGGCTAAGTCCCTCAATATATGCGAATAATCCTCTAGATTATATCCTCTAGGTGCATCTACCTAAAAATCTGCTAAGTCCATCTACAGGTGTATTGAATCTGTCTCAAGATCCTCGAAATACCTCTGGGTAAAATCCTCCAAGTCCCTCAACGGGTTTCTCGAATCTGCCTAAGATCCTCTAAGTATACCAGGGTAATATCTAAGTACCACAGGTTATTTCCTCTTAAGTGCCTCTCAGTATATGTAGAATCTGCCTAAGATCCTCTTGGTACATCAGGGTAAAATCATCTAAGTCCCTCAATATATGTGATGAAAATCTTTTTTAAGTCCATCAGGTATATGCGTAGAATTAGCCTAAGTCCATCAAGCGTCAATCCCTGGAGGCACACAGGTCTGTCCTCTCTCAGTTCCAGCTAGAAAAATGCCTGCTGAGTCACCTGGTCGTCTCTATTTATACCCCAGACATGTATGTAACATGTACTAGGTTTTGCACACGAACCTATCAGTGATTAATGGGCTGATGCAATACCTGGCCAGTCACTAAAATCCCAGGCAGGACAACACTAGTGCAGAATAAATAACTATGATGCAATGATGACAGAACTTTTGCAAAATAATTGGCTTCACCTAGCAGTCACGATCTCCGTTGTTTAACACAAAACGAACACATATCTTGTAATTAACTAGCTAGATTAAGATATAAACTAAATAAATATAACAAAAACCAATCATCATTGGCTCTAAATATGGCGAAATTGCAAGGAAAAACGAGTAATTGAATGTAGGTCAAAAGAGCTCACTAATAGGAGGTGAGAAAATGTACACAAACGAAAACAAAATAAATCTCCCAGAAAAGAGTAGTTTACACGATTCCCAGTACACCTAAAGTGTTCTATACATACATGTAAGTATATAAGCTGTCAACTGTGACTGGGAAACACTTTCCTACTGTCTAAACTGTCTGAACTACTAGAAAACGGTACTGGACTCCAGAAATGAAATAAATGAAATTTTGAAAAGTTGAAAATTTGTTACAATACGTTGCACTGCCTCTTCATTTGGGCCTATAAATGCTATATCGTCAGCGTAGACAAGGATGGAAAAATTTTCTCCGTTGACGTCGACTCCCGAATTCAGAGATTTTACATCATCGATAAGGTCATTTATATATAGATTGAAGAGCAAACAAGATGTTAAACAGCCCTGCTTAAGGCCGGATGCAACCTCAAATGATTCAGTTAAGTGTCCATTGATGCTCACACAACTCCTTACGTCATTGTACATCGCTTGAAGTGCGCCCATAAAGCGACCAGATATGCCTATTTGGCTAAGCTTGTACCATAATAAATTCCTATCAATTTTGTCGTAGGCTCGTCTCGCGTCCACGAAACAAACGTAAGTGCTCTGCTTACGTTTAATCCTATGGTCGATTATGGACGAAAGAGTAAAAATATGGTCTTGGCAGCTTTTACCCTTCATAAATCCATTTTGCTCTTCGTGAACTAGGTTGTTATCCTTGCAGAAAGTGGTAAGTCGAGCATTCAAAATCCAGCTATACAATTTGCAAATAGAAGACGTAACTGTTATTCCACGAAACGTTAATGGGTCACGGGGGTCAGTGCTCGCACCTTTCGGGATTGGATGGACGATACATTTATTCCACTCGGAGGGGACTAAGTTGTGCTTGAAACAAAAGTTAAATAACGACGTACAAAACCTCATTGATTGATCGTTAAGTAAAACTTCCATAGGTATCCTATCTAAGCTGGCAGCCTTTCCTAACTTGGCTGCTCGAAATGCAGCCTCAATTTCACATATCGAAATGTCAGTATTGAGAAGGCTAGAGTCTATGTCTGGATTAACCTTAGGTACGCTGTTGTTTGCTAACCGATCCTTTGCTTCCGTGTAAAAGTCATTATCGAATTCCTCGTTGGAATTATCGGTGTATAATGATTCGAAATTAGACTTCCATTTGTGCAATACTTTGTCCCTGTCGGATATTATATCCCCGTTATCATTGTAAACTTCCATTGGGATGCTATTAGATCGCTCTGCACTAACTCCAATTTGGCCTATTTTCTTCCAAAAAGTCCTTGGGTCTGATGTGACAGTACGAATCAATTCCTGGTGCCGTTTGTACATGTAGTGGCGTTTTTGGCGACGCTTTACAATGTCAAACTGCTTTCATTTACAAATATAGTCTTGTTTCAATCGCTGTTTTTGAGCAGAGTTCGGCGGTGCTCTGAGCCATGATTTCTCAGCGCTATTGTATGCTACCCAAAGTTCATTGAGTTCATCGGTCCAGAATGGTCGATTTGGGCGAAAGTATTTCCGAGTGTTTGCACCTCCTGGGGATATGACCTTATATGGTAGCTTTCCATCCATTTCATTGGACAGTAGCTTACGGTAATTTCCATAAATGTTGTCCAACGCATGTTGCGTTTGTTCCGCTCGGGAAATCCTCAAAAGCAGGTCGTCGATTTCATGGATGACTTCGTCAGTAAACATGAAGTCACGTGGTATATTCCGCGTATCGTGTTTGTGAAATGCACTGCTTGAGTTTGAATAGCTCACTGATTGGTCAATTGAGCTAAGCTGAACTCCTGGACAATTTGCCACATTATTTCTTATTCTAAACTCCCAATACAAAAGTGAATGGTCAGGCAATTGGATGTCAGGTACAATACCCATTGAATTACATAAGCTTGACATGGTAAAAACATTGAACTTAGTAAACAAAGGCAGTGACATATGGGGTACAATACAATAGTCAACGACAGAGTGACCCTGAGTTGAAACAAATGTAAAGTCGTTGTGTTCATGATTTCTACCATTAAGGATACAACAGTTTACATCTTGTAAAAATTCAAGCAATTTGGCACCATAAGCATTTTGTTTAAAATCTAACACATTTCTATCACATAGATTGTCAACTCCTGCAATAAAATCTTCACCATCGCCAGTTCTGGCGTTACAATCGGTACATATAAAGTATTCACCTATATCTTGGTACAAATAAATATGTGTCAAAAGATTGTCAAAAAATACATCTGGGTTACTTCTCACACACCCTTCGGGTGGCAGATAAGCCACACAGGCACTGAATGATGACAAGTTAACTGATTTAGCACAGAATTTAAGCCACAATATACCTTCAGTATCGTCATTTAATACGCTAACATCATACGTTTTTAAAAGGGACCTACTGACAAGGAATCCTACACCTCCAGAGCCAATACGAGCTCTCACATGTTTAGATCTATTGTTTCCAAACCAAACCATGTTGTCTACTGTAACTACGTCACTACCTATGAGATGAGTTTCGGCAATGCCTAGTATATCAAACCTTTTACATTTAATCATTTCACACATTGTATTATACTTATCATTACATATATTGGGGAAACCTCTTACGTTCCAAAAGCCTGTGACCAATTTATCCTATTGTTGACTATTATTGGCATTAACGGGGAGCTTTTTTGAGGCCCCTTTACGGTTGGGTTGTGTGGCCTTGGGATTGGGTTTGGATCTAGAATTGGGCTTGGGTTCTTGAGAAGCATTCATACGTAACGATGCTGGGGTTGGCGAAGGGCGTTGTTGACTCTGGATCTCAATCACACTCGGTGTTGTAGTATTCTGCTGTGCCGAATTCAAGACATGTTGAGTTTCATTTCCCTGTAGTGATTTAACGTGAGATTGCACAGACTGATTAATCATTCTGCGCATTAAGCGCTCTTGACTCAGAGTTTCAGGGGATTTTGCAACATTGATATACACTGAGTTAAACTGGGCAGAGTTTTTTAACACACGCTTCTGCTTTAAAATTTTGTGTAGGTCATTGTTGTTTTTTACTGGTAGTATGGTGACTCTAGGTCTCGTTGCTCCAACTCGAACGCTTCCTACGCGCCTGGCAGGGCCTATTTGTAACTCATCCGTTTTAAAACCAAGGCCATTGGTTAAAAGATCGTTCACGCTAGTTGACTCGGGAAGATTAAAGATCGCTAATTCAGGTTTTTGTTGAGGGGTTATTGAAGCACTCCTGTTGTCAGCGGGCGTACTAGACTTGGGGATTTCGGTTTCGATTTGGTCCAATCGAGAGAGGGACGACGTGACCTGTTGTTCAATTTTATCCATACGTTCGTTCACTTCATTCGATACCCTTGAAATATTCCGCCCAAGTTCGTTTCGGATTGACATTTCTGAAGTAGACACCACGTCAGTAGCAATAGCCCTAATGCGATCATCCTGTTTATCCATAGAGTCCAAAACACGGTTTAACATGTTAAAAATCGTATTTAATGTTACTGTTTGCGATGGATCATTGACAGTAGAGCTACCAGAAGTCTGCTTTAGTCGTTTATTTACCTGGTCGCCATCTTGGATGTCCTCGTCATCAGGGCGTGACCGTTTCAAGAACGGATTATTCGATGAAATATCCATATTTGACGCCATAATCCGTTTAGGTATCACAATAAGTAGCTTATACACTTTCTCGAGCCTTCAAATACTAAAATATATTACTAGTCCACTAAAAATTGTACAAAAATGTTTCACTAAAATTTCCACGTCTCTTGCTTTTGGCGCATGCGCATATGATTGACAGTACATATTGTGTTCAACAACTAGATTAAGCAGCATGGATACAAAACGAACATGGAAGACGACATTGAACTAGTATTAACATGTTGTATTTTGTAAGATTCAAGATGTCATAAAACACTGCCAGACTGTGAAACATCTCCTCTGTTAAACACTTTCATCAATTTGTCAATAAAGTAATATTTTTCATACTTTTAGAGTAGAAAACAAAACGAAAGGCCGCTAAGAAAAAGGAAAAACATTTTGAGGTTTACGTTTACGTTACGTCTAAAGTGCTCAGCTTAAAGCATTTTTGTTCGTAGTACGTAAACGGGAACGTAAAGGTTTACGTTTGCGGTTCACGTCATAAAAAATCGTCTTGCTTAACCTCACTAATGATTTGAAATTCAGCTACCCTCTTGAAAATTCCCTCCCAAACAGAACTCCTTTGTTCCAAAGCTTCAGCCTATTTGATTCAATTCCGCACACTGGTCGTGAGTTATCAAAGATTACGTCTTTTTACGAAAATGGTGACCATTTTGAAATTCACGATATTGAAAATCTCCTTATTGGGTACCACTATTGTCCCTAGGCATCAACTAGTATCGGAGTTATCAAAGATTACATTTTGTACAAAAATGGGGGCCATTTTGAACTGAACAGCCATATTGAAAATTCTCGAGCAGAGGTCCTACACCCATAAGGCATAAGCGGCATAAGCCTATAAAATTTGAATCATGTCAATCAATATTTGAGGTACAGACGGACCAAGCTTTTTGGACACCCCCCTCGAACGATGGGGTAATTACCAGCTCCGTGCAACGGGTATACCTTTTGCGGGTTTACCATCACTTCCAATTTGAATTCCAATTATGCTAGAAGTTAAAGCTATTAAAAACGGCAACAGAGTATCATACTCCATAATGAACCTCGTTGACATGCTAACAGTGAGATTGATTGCAGTAAATACGTGAGTGTCAAAAACAATGTTGGACCGATTCCGTCTGCAGTTGATAGATTGTCAAGACTTCAGCACCGTGATTAGGTTAACTCTAATGTCTGCAGCCTTTTTATGTAACACTAAATCGGAGGAGTGTAAAGTTTTGATGTTTTGTGATAAATTGTCAATTTCCTTTCACGATAATTTTTTGTGCCCTAAAATGCTGCCTAAAATAAAACAATAATCTATTATCTTTCAAATCATGGTAAAAGCTTTTGTAGAACTGAAGTTGCACACGTTCAAAGATAGCAGGTATCGCGAAATCCTATTGAATTCAATGTAACGTGAAACTAAATAGTCTGCAACGTGTGTTCAATTCAGTTCACCATATCGATACTAATCCTTTACCAAATTCTATTTTAAAAATCATCTACAATTTCTCTGTAGATTAAATTTGACCTTAGAATGCAATTTAATTTAGCTCTCAAAAAGTGAAATTTTCGATATTAAAGGTCAAGTTTGTCAAAGTAGTCATAAATGGTGTTATCTAAGTTTCTCAAAGTTCGAGACTGTAAAATCAAAATTTTGGGTTGAAAGTCAGTCTATGTAATTTTATTTTGAAGATTGGTATGCTTGTATAGGATCAACAACTTGGAAATGAAAAGATGTCTCATTTCCCGCAGAGTCATGCTTTGACACAACGTAACGTATTTTCTAAAATTTCTGTAAAGGAGATTCTTAGAATCAATTTTTGCGTGTCATGACGGAAATGTAAATCAGTGGAGAGGTTAAGCTACCGTATAAAATCCAGAACGCAACTTAAACGTATCAATGGCCCCTATACAAATACATGTAGAGTTCACACATAAATAGCCGTTCAGCTCTAGTGTTTGTTTAGACTACACCATAGCTTGTAATGATTACATAGTATGCCATTGATGAAGTTCAATAGCTGATTTTCTAATACATATTTTAAACGAGCTCGTTTCGTAAGATTATTGGAGTTAAATCATGCGTAACATACATCATCTTCTTCAGAAAGAATTATACTCTGCATCGAAATCAAAATTGCAAGGATAGTATTCAACAGACATGAGTATAATGATTCCCGTTGATAGCAACGTGAAATATGTAAATCTCCCGTTCTAAACACGCAACTTTGAAGTTGAACGGGTATCTGAAGTAGACTAAAGCGATACAATCCTATGTTGATTCAATGTACTTTGCGTTTACGTATACGTTTTGAAAAACCGTATTTGCTTAACCTCTCTATTTTCTTAAAAGAACGTAAACTTTGATTGCTCAAATACAATTTGAAACATTTGGTTCAAATTTTATATGCTACTGCCAAGAGACAAATGCTCTCTGCTCAAGAAGACATTTTCAAGATGGCTACTTAATTTCAAAACGAATTAAAAAATGTGATATTTGATTACTCAAACACCAGTGGACGGATTTGGTTCAAATTCAATATGATACCTAGGGACAAAGGAGCTTTTGGTTAAGAAGAAATGTTCAAGGTGACACCTGGATTTCAAAGTGGCTGCCATTTTTCGTAAAATCTTTGTCTTCGATATATAAAATTCAGTGGACAGGTATGATATAAAAATTGTAAGTGCTGGAGCCTAGAGATAAAACAGATCTGCTCAAGAAGAATAATTCAGAAGGCCCATAAATATCGAAATGGCCGCCATTCTAGTTAAAATGTTTGATAACCTAAATACCAGTCGACGGATGTGGTTCAAATTGTATGTGCTAATGCCCAGGGACAAAGGACCTCTGCTCAAGATGGCAGCTGAATTTCAAAATGGCCGCTATTTTTCATATAAAACAAAATCGTTGAAAACTTCTTCTCAGTCAAAGCGTCTCGAAGATCCGTTTCAAATGTTCAGAGATAATTTTTGAATGAAAATCTAGAATGATTTTTTTTAATATTTTTGTTAAGGATAGGTATTGATATGGTGAATTGAATTCAACAATGTTTTTCTCTTAAACCAATTATTGAAAACATTCTGTAAAAAACAATTTCCTTTATGTAATGTTGACTGATTGACAACAATTTAATGCAAAAATTATTTTTATACATTTTATAAAACTTTTTGTTTTTAGTGCAATTGTTTTTTTTTTGTTCCTTTCTACCAATTCTTGAGAATGAAATAAGATGTATTTCCGAACCTTGTTGGAACAAAATAGCATAATATATAACATTTTCTTAGACCTCTCAATATTATAGTTATACAAAGGAAATGTTGGTTGATTTTATAAAAACTTAAAACAAAACCCCCCAAAATAAAAAAAATCAAGTTCAAGCTTTTATTTCATTAACAAGATTTTTAAAACCAACCAAACTTTCCTTTATATAATTACAATATTGAGAAACCTAAACACGTTGTGTTTATGTCGTTTTGTTCCAATGAGGTTCGGATAGATGTTATATTTCATTCCGAACATATTATACCAAGAACAAAAGAAGTGTCTCATGTATATAAATATATTTCAAATTATAATGTTCCATCCAAAAGATGACCATTAAATTGACGATGTGTAAAATTTTCCGAATGGTTTGATGACTGGTTAAAGAGAAACGCTTGTTCAAAAAGTTCACCACATCGATACTACTCCTTTGGATTCTCCGTCCTCAAATCTCTACGGATAGTCTTGTCTACATGTTTCGTGGCGAACAGGCTGACGGATCAATTCTTAATTTTCAGGGACGATTGTTTGTATGCAATTCTTGATCATTTCGGTTTGAATTTTCTATAATGTCCACAAAGTTTAGTCTATGCATTTTCAGACTAACACTTGATGGATCGGTTTCGATTTTTATGGTTGATTCCCTGTTTGAAAATCTCAAAATGAAAAGCTTTTGGGCATTGGTAAATGGGTTGATTTCGGATTTCTTAAACTAAAATGTCTATTAAACTGATTTAATTAGTGTTGGACGTTCAGGATGAAAAATCTCATCGTTTTGGACTTGTTTTAATGACTTCATTAGACATAGAGAGAGTCTGCATCCTTTCTTGCGAAAAAAGTTTATCAGCATCTCATTATAAGAAAATCCAAGAATTAGTGAACAGAATAATTCGTAGGACAACAGGATCATCGAAATGAGTCCTCAGTTTTGTTATGTAAACAAATTCAATAAAATACAAAAGGCTATAGCTCTTTGTTCGATGGTTACCGAAAGGATCACAGTTGATAGACAAAAGAGATATCGAGCTAGCGCTAGCGTTCATTAAGTACAGGAGAATTTGTTGAAATGACTACAAATACAATGTTATGATTTATACTACAGTACTATAATTTTATTCTATACTAAATTTTCCAGTTTGCCACCATGTCACGATTTCCACGTAGAGTATGTTCCACTTAATTAAAGGAGTGGTATTGATATGGTGAACTTTTGGGGCACGCATTCTTCTTAAACCAGTAATCAAAACATTCTAAAAATTTTACACATCGTCAATTTAATGGTCATCTTTTGGGTGGTAACATTATAATTTGAAGTATACAGGGACAGACAGACACTCCTTTTGTTAGTGGTATCATATGTTCGGAATGAAATGAAACATCTATCCGAACAAAACGACATAAACACAACGTGTTTAGGTCTCTCAATATTGTAATTGTACAAAGGAAGGTTTGGTTGATTTAAAAGAAGTATATTGTTAATGAAATAAAGGGGTTTATCTTAATTTTTAAATATTTTGGGGGGTTTTCTTTTAAGTTTGTTTTCTTTTAACTATCTTTTGCATTAAATTGTTGTCAATCAGTCAACATTACATAAAGGACAGTGTTTTTTACAGAATGTTTTCAATAATTGGTTTAAGAGAAAAACATTGTTGAATTCAGTTCACCATATCGATACCTATTCTTTGAATAATGATGCTCGTATTATACAATCTTAAAACGTATTTGAACAATCATCGTCTAGTTTTCACTGATACATACCTCGTTTATTTCCCAGAAGAATACCATGGAAAACGTATCGGCCCAGATGAATGTAACCCAAACACTGTGAGGTACCAATACGATTATGATCACAGTGACTATGAACAAAACGATTGCTACTATTATGAATGTACAGGTGCCAAGAAGTTGGAGAGAAGGCGATGTCCTGATGGAATGGGAGTCAACGATTTGTTTAAAATGAAATGGAACGATTACGGCTGGGGACAGACATACGATCCCTGCACAAAACGCAATCCTGGCTGCGATGGAACATTACCTGGTAATCATTGAGGAATTTTAGTAAAATTTTGTCATTCCAGTGGAGCTTGTTATTAGAAGAAAAATCCCTCTAAAATAATTTACCGGGTGGCCCTTGGTGGACTAGATAAGGCCAGCAATTACTCCGCTGTTTATCAATGGTATATTCTTTTGGAAACATTATTTTTTATGGAAATTTAAATGTGATGATGCGTTTTTTCGATGAAAATCTCATTATGTATTATTTGGCAATTTTGTATTATTTGACGGTAAGCAATAATTGAAAATGAGGTAAATGGACATTTATTTTAACTATATTTCAAAACCAAAAATAAACGTTATCTATATTTCAAAACCAAGGAATAAATACGACCAAGCTTGTATTCGCCAGTGCAACTTTCGGCTGTCATATGGAGCCCGAGTACACTATCAGGTTCGGTTTCATGAGTTAATTATGGAACTACAGTACTAAGCCCTCATTATCCGGTCAGCGCTAAATTAGCGTTGCGATTTGCGTTGCGCTTGCGAATCAACATTATTCGCAAGCGCAAATCATGGTTTGCGTCGTATTACGCGCTTCACGCAAACGCAACGCAGACGCAACAGTATGCTAAACGCAAATAAATTGGAAACGCGGGAAATTTAAACTTAGAGCTCAAAATAGACCTATTGGGATTTTGCTCCATGAAGTCCGTGGGGCTTCATTGGACTCTGATTTTGCCCCATCTTGCCTCATCGAGTCCCATGAGGTCACATGAGGTACCGCGTGGGACCAGGTGGGATTCGATGGGGCAAAATTCGACGTATTCCAATGGGCCAAGGTGGGATTTGATGGGACTCCGTAGGGCTTGATTGGGCATGATGGGGACTCAATGGGGCAAAGTCATCAAGTTCACATGGAACACCGTCGTTATTCGATGGGAAAGTTGGAACTCAATGGGGCAAGTGGGATTTGTTCCCCATTGGTGTATACTTGACTTAATATATTAGCCCGTCAGAAACACGCTGAAACACGCCCAAGTATGGTATAATTAGTTTTATCGATTTAAATCTCAAGGATGTAAAAATATTTATCCCATACTTGGACGTGTTATAGGTACATAAAGCTGGTTTGTAAAAACTTTTATTCCATACTTAGTAGTGTTATAGGTATATAACATGCGGGAATATAGCTGATATGTGACGTGAGCGCAGGCCTGTCAACTGTCCCGCAATTTGCGTATTTGTCACGCATTTGCTGAAGAATTTGAAGTCACGCCAGTTATTTTTGCGTGACAGAAAATGTCACGCAAATACGCATTTTACCTGGTAATTGTCAAGCAAAAATATTTCTGTAGAAATTTTTTTAAAAAAGATCGTCTACACAGCAAAAATACGAACGTAGCGAGCGTAGCGAGCGCGAAAAATTTGAGGTGTTCAAAATTTGGCAAGATGTAATGAAATTTAAACCAAGGTGTTCAAAATTTGGATCAAGGTGTTCAGATTTTGGACCAAGGTGTCCACATTTTGAGGGGAGGTGTTCAACATTTCCAAGTCACTCATGTTAGGTGTTCCCAAGTTGACAGGCCTGTGAGCGGGAGATATATATATCTCCCGCTTAGCAGATCTACGACGTCATAAATTCAGGGAGTAGATACTGAGCCAGGGGACTTTGCTATTATTCCTCACAATCTACTAAGTATAGAATAAATCAGTTATTAAATGCTCGATTTTTGATACAGGGTATATCCCTCGGTAAATACAATATATCAACCCTCGGTCCCTACGGTCCCTCGGGTTGATATATTGTATTTTCCTCAGATATACCCTGTATCAAAAACCTCCCATTAAATAACCTCTATATATTTTCATCAGCGGTCAGATAAAGCTATACGTCCCGCTCTGAGCGGGCAGATATAGTATATCTGCCCGCTGACGTCATAATCGCCGTTCGCATATTGGTTCATTTTTGTAACATGCGCATAATTACTGTAAACGTTAATGGAGAAAAGGCAGACAATCGCGATCTGTTTGAAGGAAGGAAATGAGCGTATCCCTGTTAAAAAAGGATTTCAGAAATAAATGTGGATGAATATCTGAAAATCAGGCTATTCTAAATGAATTCTTACGGTTTGTTGGACATTTTCTGAACTCCGGCCAATTGAACAGCGTGAACAAAATGACCAAGATTGGTATGGGATAAACAGATCATCCTGTAGTTCAATATCCTGAACCTCATATAGGATTTTTTTTTTTATTATTAAGTTATTCATTTGTACAAAGAATACAATACAAAAATACAGTGTGAGTGGCTGTGCTTTTAGCATTATTAGCCACGTTCTACAATTACAATATACAATGTATTCAATCAATACTATTGATTAAAATAAATGAGATACAATAAGATAAAAATTGTTTTGTGGAGGATTTCAGACATTTACACATCGCTCGAAGAAAATGGCACTGCACTTTAAAACAATCAGATTCTCAGCTCTACTTAATGTTTTATCACCATTCAGGATCAGAGAAAGTTGTGTCTTATATTTACGGGAGTATTGTATATTCATATTTTTTAGTTGGTTTTCTAATTCAGTCCAGAATGTTAATCTCAAGTTACATCGAAAAATCACATGGCTGGTTGTTTCACTGTTAATACCACATGAGCAGATTGGGGAATTTACATTGGTAAAGTTATGCGAGTAAAGGTGAGCCTTGAAAATGAAATCACATCGTACTCTGTTAAATATAATTTCTTGATTTCTTGAGATGGACAATTCTGATGAGTTAATAACAGTTTCGTTAAAGATATTGCTTTTAAGGCTTGATTTAAATATGCTTAAGCTAGATGAGTTCTTTATATCAGATGAGAGTAGATTCCATTCTGATATTGTTTTTGAGATACAAGATCTTTCATAAAATTTGGATTTAACTGGTAAAATATAGTCAAGTTGGTGTCTTAGTTCATGTGTTTGATTTCTTTTTAGTGGTTCAAATATCTCAGTGACATAAGAAGGCAGCAAGTTGTTGTGAGCTTGATCAGTTCTTGGAATAAAAGTTTCATTTCCTTCTTGATAATTTATATGATATTTGTCAGTGAAATGAGACAGTAGCAAGTTTGCTTTGTCATGGCTATCAGTGTAACTGTTACCCCTAGCATCACAAAGAAGTGGTATTTTACTATTTTTAGATTTTCCCAAAAGCCTACTTACAATTGACCAGTATCCTTTGCTTCCATATCTCTGATTACTTAATTTGTAGTACAACCTTGATTCCATTGCCTCTTTGGCCTCACGAATAGCATCATTAACAAGATTACATTGATCAGTATATTTCTTAAAGTATTTGTCATCATGTGTTTTCCTGTACTTACGATGTAATTTATTTCTTTTATTTATCAAGGTTTTGATATCGCTTGTAAACCATGGCTTATCTGTAGGTTTAATTTCAATATCAGAGTGCAAGTAACCCTCTCGAAAAATTGCTTACTATGTCATCTAAATCATTACTACTATCTATCAAGTGATCAAAGTCTGCTGCTCTAACTGAATTGTTAATTAGATTTATATCTGGTTGGTCATATTTCCAAATTTTTCTTGAATAAGGACGGTTTTTAAGAGTTTTAAGAAAACACTCCGTGTTTATTGAGCAATGGTCAGTGTTACCAATAGGAGGAGAAACATAAGCATTTGTTATAATATCAGGGCTATTTGAAATGAGAAGATCGATACATGATCTACTGGTATTTGTTATTCGCGTTGGTTCATCTATAAGCTGAAAAAGTCCAAGTTCTTCAATGTGTTCAAATAATTTTTTTCCTGTGAAATTTTCATTGTCTAAGGCCCACCATTGTTTACTCCTTGCATTAAAATCTCCATTAATAAAAATAGCTTCTGGGTTAGAGTCAAGTGCCATATTGCATGAGTTTGAGAACCTAGTGCAGAATTCATTTGCCTCATTTTGAGTTTGCGATGGTGACCTATAATAAATTGCATATAGATATGACTTATAGTTAATGCTCAATTCAATCCATAAGGAGTCACCCTGATATAGGATAATCTCTATTTATCCCATGATACTACTAATTCCCGATGAATAACCGGGAATATTTTTGATATTGAGAAAAAATCGTATTGAAAAGTTTTGCCAAACAAAGCTTCCTCTTTCAATCAGTTGGGTCGATATAGCATGCTAAAATGATGTTCTTATGTGAAAAACGAATTCCAGTTTTATCACCATCGCTCTGACACAGACAAAAATGCTTACGTATTGCTGATCATGAATGTTTTGATGTTGATGTGTTTATGTTACACATGTACAATAATTTTTTTATATTAAAAATATCATAATATTTTCTTGATTAAATATACCATTTTTTCATAGAAAAATCTAACTAATGATTTTATGAAGACAGTTATGAATATCGTGGAATAAAAAGCTAATTTACTGGTCGGGATTAAATATGGGTTTATTCCTCATGACAATTTGATATTTCACATATTGTGAGGGACAATTTGATATTTCCCTCTGACCCTCCGGGCTCTCGGTAAATATAATATTGTCCATCATAATAAAACCCATATTGAATCCCTCCACCTACATAACCTATATATATCTTGCGAAAGTCTAGATCTGTCACCGGAAGGTAGCCCATCTTGAAAACAAGACACGGTGTCTTTGTAATTAGTCCGACTGATATAGCCTACCTAGAGAAAACCGCCGATACCTCAGCAACAATGTTCGAAACAGTAGGTTGGGATACCCCGAATATATCTCCATTTATCATTTGCATACAACCTGTAGCATAAAATCGTAATGAAATGAATACTTTTAGCTGACATGGAATTGCCTGAGGATTCCTTGTTCTTGACGCTAGATCCCCATCTAATATATTAATCAACTCAAGAATGAGTGGCCTCGGCATGCGATATCTGTTTAATATCTCATCGTCAGTCATCTCTAACGGCTGACTCCTGTCTCTGAATAAGCGTAAACCTCTTCTATTGTGAACATCTTGGAATAATATGCGCCACATTTTCCAGCTTGATCGAACCCTAATATTTTAATTCTAGCAGACGATATTTGCGAAATGGAATTACGATATTTATTATAGATTTCACAAAACCAAGGTAGCATAATCGTGCACTTTCAGACTTGATTTTGATAAGTTTTGGTTATTTGTGTCTCTAATGTTTTTCAACCTATTTTTAGTTGGATGTCTCAAAAGGCACTTCCTAGATTTCTACAACGATAATGTTAATTTAAATAGGAAAACTATCAAGATTCTTGATGATATGTTTGCGATTTATATTGCGGCAGGGTCAGGGATGCCGCAAATAAACTGGAGTTTGCGACATAAAAATCAACTGATTTACGTGGACGCAACTGTGCGATGACTGCATAATACCAATTTGCGTGCGATTAGCAGTGTATTTGCGATGCGAAATGAAAATAGCGATGCGTCTACCGTGTAATAAGAAAACTGCGATTTGCGCTAAAGACGCAAAACGGCAATGAATTTGCGCTAGAGTGCCTTTGAGATGACCTCATAATATCGTTTTGCGTACGATTCGCTAAATATTTACGTTGCGATTGCGATTTGCGGTGCGTCGACCGGATAATGAGGCCTCTACACTGTAAAATGCTTCTTCTCAGATGACAATGTACCTTAAATGTACTGAATAATTCAAAGCTGACAATTGGCATTGTTCAATATAGGTTATTTCTAGCACGTTTCATTCAAAGTAGTTAGTGATTTGATATCATAATAGTGTTTTTCCGATGGGGTTTGCTACTCCTGTGAGTTGCAGTTTTTCTTATCTAATGCCTTGGTCACATAGGCTCCGATTTTTACTACGGCGCCCGGCCGATGAGTATTTTGTTCAAAATCGGCCGGCGAGCCCGGGCATCGTACGGGCGCCGGGCGATGATCGCCACTCATCGGCCGATTTTTAGACATCGTACGGGCGCCGGCAGAGTTTTATCGCGGAGATAAAAGTTGCCGATGTCTTGGCGATTTTTTCTCAACCAAACTCATCGGTACCTACCCGGCCGTGCCCCGTCCGGTCATCGTACGATTATCTTACGGCGCCCGGTGGCATTGCACGGTCATTTTGGGATTTTGTGTGCTGATTTGTTTGATAAATCTTAATAATGATTACTTATAAAGTGATATAGAGGTTTTAAAAATAATGAGGTAAGGAATTATTATTACAACACACTGTCAGAGATTTTTTATAAAACATAAATGGAACGATTGGGCTTACTGTAAAACAATGACACACATTTGAATGGCTGGGTGGGTGGGTTGATCTAGTCGTTCTTATATTGACATTAATCGTGTATGCCTGTCATACACATTGAATAGAGTGATACATTTTTATGCGTATATTCACTCATGCATAATATGCCATTACAAATCATTTATTTAAAAAATATTCTGAATGTTTTTGAGTTGCAGTATTTTCAAGGGTCACAATTTTAATACGAAAGTTCACTGTCTCAATTACAGTTAATATGCCAAAGGCTAAGGATAGAGGGGATAAGGCCAATAGGCCATATATGTGGAAAAAGACAATAACAATGCTAGTGAGCTGGTGGATGATGAAGATTTAGATGTGTCTAGGGAAGAGGGTATTCCACATGAAATAAAAGAAAAAATTGACAAGTTCTTTGAAGTCTCTTTACGAGAACAGATAAAAGAAAGATGCAGAAATATGGAATTTTGCTAATAGCATCGGATGGACAGTTAGACATAGTATTTGTTTATATGAAAGATCTAAAAATAAATTAAGGTCAGGGTGCACTTTGATGAAAAGACCACGTGCAGTATGGCAAGTGATTTTAGACATATCTTTCAACATGAGTACTTTTTGGGCATAAATACAGTATTTTCATTAAAACAATATGTTTTCTTTCAATTGAAGTACCCATGATCGTAAAATTATCAATCAAACAATTTGAAAAATTATGAAAAGGGACCCCATGTCAGCATTTTTTTCTAAATATTGAACCTATTTACTCAAAAGAGGATCTTCTTTTTCTGATTTTTATTGCATGAAAACATTATTATCCTGGAAGTCCTGTCTATCGAAGTATTTCGTTTTCAAATCTTGCATTCACGCCTTGTGGAACAGTCATACTGGGTCATACAAAAATTTAGTATAAATCTAGAGGCCTATAGATTGACCGATGTCCTGGCGGGTGCCGTCCGGCCATAGCCTTGCGATACCCGTGCAATGTCTTTCAGATTCAATTGATTGCGGGCGCCGTACGATGCCTGTACTAATGTGACCATACTCACGATTAGATGAAGACATCGGTGAAAAGTCACCGGCGCCCGGTCGATTTAGAAATCGGCCGATGACTACTCATCGGCCGGCGCCCGGCGGCTATGTGACCTAGGCATTAGATAATGATCATTCATAATGTTCTATTTTTCCAGCTATTTGTAGTATTGATATTGTGTTTGCCGTCGACATTTCATGCAGTATTCATCCAGACGACAAGGAAAGGGTGCGTCGATTTCTGGAGTCTGTAGTAAGACGCATTCCCGTTCGTCCACCTTTCGTACAAGTCGGTATCATTTTGTTCTCTAAGACTGTCTACGATATTGCTCAGCTCAACTCGTTCATTCGTCGTGGACAAGTAAGTATTATCCAAAAGCTTGGTCGAACAATATGTTAAGAATTTTGATTCAAGTAACGTATATCATGCGTCATGAATATATGCCTGGCAATGTTATTTATGAAGAAAGTTAATAGGTCTGTTCAACCCAGTCAACGTAATCCTTTGTCAACTCACCACAAAATGATTTTAAATAATATATTTTTTTAAATTAAATAATATTTTTTGCATCTTTCATTATGATTATGAATGTTTCTAAAAATCATTAAAACAAATCGAATAAATGTACTCCTTTAGGATTTTAAAAAGCATCTATTCGGTGTTGAAGCTATTGTTTTTCATAAAGTTTGAAATGATGCATTCTTTTTCAATAAAGGCCCCGTGCAAAGTTGTAAAATATAGTTTAAACATTCAAACGTTCCTAACTTGAAAAACGATTTTAGTTTTATTTGAAAAAATGTTGTTTATCTTATCATTTTCATTTTTATATTCCGCCATTTAGAAACAAACGTCTAGATTTTTAAATCATCTAATACAACTCTGAGGACTGAAAACACATTACTTTCTCTTCTCCATTGAATAGATCAGGGAAGATTCATTTTACTTCAACATGTTTTAGCTTTTAAAAGTAATAAAAGAGATGGAAATGAAACCAAAAGAGTGTGCCACAGCTACATATCTGGCCCTCGAATACGCAAGGGAAGTGACCTTCAACAAACAGAACGGTGCTCGTGAGGGCAAGAAGGTAAGGGTTTTTAGTGGCCATTGCCACGCTAGAATATAAAAAAATAAAACATTATAAGTTTTGTTTCTGATTTAAGATTGGTCATAAATTATGAGTTTCCATATTGTATTCTAGAAAGTGTTAATTGTCGTTACTGATGGTATGACGTATCCTGGGAATAAGAAATGGGAAACAATAAATATGGCTAAAGCCAACATAAGAGCTAACATTCATTCATATGTAGTTGCATTACCCGCTATGAATGGAACATTGATTGGACACGACGAATGGAACGCAATCGCAACTGGCAATGATCCAGATCCAATGGGCGTCATGGATCCAAATGTCTTTGCACTTGACACCTTTGATCAACTCAGAGAAATCATCAATGACATCGTCAACAAAGCATGCATGACGATGTAACACCGGTGATGGCACCAATAATATAGATCAAGAAGGTATACGGATAAGAGGACTCGTAAGGGTCGACAATATCTTGAATGAAGACATCGCCTTTTTCTGTGGTTCAACATACCGTATTTAATGTATTATTTTTACAATAAATTCTCATTAACCGAGATTAAAGACAAATGTATTTCAGTTTATTATATCGGCATGATGGATCTGTTAGGATTGTATTCTACTGTAGCATCTAATCCTGTGCGAACGAAAGCTCCAACGTTAACCCATGAAATAAAGCGGGCGTGTTGACTAGAAGTTCCAGTGCAATAATGGGAATGCGAGATCAGATCATATATGCCTCTGGAGATTAAGCAGTTACAAAAATGACTTGTGTAATCAATGATTCTATTTACAGTGGGTAAACTTAATGAACTAAAGTTCTATTCTATATCATCGTATTTGAAATTGCCGCCCATGGCATTGAGACTAATAATCGATTGCATTCACTTGACGCTAGATGTCACTTAGGATAGTTTTTACCATTTTGAAATAGGGGTAAATCCACTATCTAATAGCCCAATACGATTCATTTTTCAGATGCCAAATTAAAATGTGGTGCTTATACGGTGCCTATAACCTTTTTTATTTTGAGTAAACATTACAACTTCTCTGCACGGTGATGTCCAATCAAGATTATCTGATTATCTATGTGTTCCTACTACATTTGGGCATCTAGAAATGACAACGTCTTTCCAAAGTTGGCGACCATACCGTTCTGTAATCAGATCGTGTGACAACGTACTTCAAACGAGATGACCTACTAGACCAGGAACATAATTGCCGTACTTCAACCAGTAGGGACGCGTTAAACAACGTTGTGCAATCGGATATCAATTGCAATACGTGTGCACACCGACATCATTGGTGCGATCTGAACGAACTGCGAATGAGATGGACGTGTTGAAGACTGTTTATGAACGAAGTACTAATTATTTTAGACATGTTTCCCGACCACAACCATATTTAGCCCGTTTTACAACTTTTTCGTAGGAGTGGAAAGAACGGTTGAGAACTAGTTTGATGTGATATGGGGGGGGGGGGTACATGTGAGACGGAAATAAATAAATATACATACATGTCATATAAAACAAAGTGATTCCATAATATTAAAAAATAAATTGATGCGGTTTATTGTTATCTATTAAATTTTACTACAAATTCGAAGAATGATAGGAATGATCTAAATTATTTGGATACTGCCTTTCACACCTGGAAATGTCAGAGAAATTGACCTATTTTTCCAGGTGCTGGAAATGTCAGGGAATTTTAAAATTGGGTCAAAAAGGGCAAAAAATGTCGAACTCTTTACAATATAAATCTGTATATTGAGAAGCTCTCTGTTCGACAGTCCGATCATATGTAAGTCCATTAATCTTTTCATCTGTCAGGGCGATAACTCAAATATCAGTTGAGAGATTTGGTTCAAATTTGGTTATACTTTGGTTTTATAGGGCCTTTGCGTTTTGATTATTTTTCATGAAAACAATTAATTTTGAAATCAACAGTTTTTTGATTTGGTCCAAATTTTAAGGGAAGTGGAGGAAATAAACCAGAATCAAAAGAAAAACCTTTTTATGTATAGATGAACCTAGAGTTTTACTTTAGCTCAAATTTTACTTGGGGATAAAGGACCTCTGCTCAAGAAGAAATATCCAAGATGGTTTCTGAATTGAAAATGCCATTATTTGTTATTATTCAATTTTTTGATAATTAAAAAAAGATATGATTCCTGATAACACAAATACCGATTATTTGACTTGGTATCATAGGCCTGTGCCTTATTGTGACGATACTTGAGAAGGATAATTATGGTATCGTGTTTTCGTTTATATTTTCTCAAAGGGAGAAGACAATAGTAATGCCAGGTTATTGTTATAATATAATGTTCACAATGATCAGTATTCGATAAAATATGTTTCATCAGGTGGGACTTGCCCATCAAGGAAGTTGCTCAAAATTTTGAAGTTTCAGTTGTCATTTGGATTCATTAACAATTTATAGTTTAAAATACTTAGAATGCCCTATATACAATGTGAATTTTAGGAAATGTATCTCCCCTTGGGATTAGACAATAGTAATGCGAGGTTATTGCTGTCAAATAATGTTCACAAGATCAGTATTCGATAAAATATGTTTCATTAGGTGGGAATTGCCCCCCCCCCCCAAGGGGAGTTGCTATTTTTCTAGTATGATTTAGATCGGTTAGTTTCATTTGTCATTTGGATTCATTACAAAACATTAACAATTTATAGTTTGATATGGATAGAATGCATCACATACAATGTGAATTTCTGGGGGTTCATCTACCCCCCCCGCCCCCTTGGGTTTTCCATCGCTTGCAGTGATGCAATCTCAAAAAATTGCATCCCCAGCTTGACGTTTATTTGCTACGCCCCTGTATATGTTTACCTTTGGCCTTATGCAATGTAAAATATGTAAAATTAAAAATATAATGTATCAGGAATGTGGTGAATAAGACGACCTGTAGAAGTGAAGTTAAGTCAATCCCAAACCCGTCAACCCCCAATTTCGAATTTCCCGCTACAGTAACTGGGGAGGTCCTATGGATGTAGGCTTAAGACGAAACATATCACGCGTAAATTTCGATAATGACAATTACCTTATTTATAGCACTGCTTCATGTTCTTTTGGAGTTCGAATGGGCGGTCCTTCGGATGTAGCCAATCTATCAATCATAGTAATTTACAGATTTAGTTCATTATAATAATCAACTTTTCAGATTACCCTCCCTTGAAGGGATACATTTTACATACTGCTTATTCACCCTATGCAGACAGAGCCTGTGGGAAATATTGGGTGCGGAGCAAATGAGTGGAGGGTGCGGAGCTAACGGTCATTTTTGAATTTAAAATTGGGATATTTCTGAAACTAAGCCGTTTTGGGACTTTAAATATACCAAGATATGTGTATTTGACACCAAATATCAATACAATTGTGAAAATAGTAGCGCGTTCATTCTATAGCGACGCAGTGTGCCTTAAACCTTTCCCAGACCTATATATTTTGAAATTATCCTTTTAATACTGAGTCCGCAGCATTCATAAAAAATGGTGTAAATGTTCTTAAAATGTCTGTGAACGATGAACATTTGATAGAATATGAATTCTGAGTATGACAGATTCAGCAATGTCGGCCCAGGGGCCGGTCCGCTGGTCATTACCAGGTCACTTTTGATACGGACCAGTTAATTTTTTCACTAGGTATTGGAAAATAACATTGCAACTGGTCAGTAAGGCCATTTTGACAAGCAGGTTTCAGATCCTTAGAGCCTACACTGAACGTCAGATGAACATAATGCGCCAGATAAACATATACATTGTTATAGAATTGTTGTATTTCTATTTACAAAATGTTTGTTCTTACTATATAATTACACAGGTGTATCTGCTGAATGAAAAAGTTGAATACACAGTTGTAAATTATGATCCTTTACTTTACTTTACTTTACTTTACACTTTACTTTACTTTACTTTACACTTTACTTTGCTTTGCTTTGTTTTGCTTTGCTTTGCTTTGCTTTACACTTTACTTTACACTTTACTTTACACTTTACTTTACACTTTACTTTACACTTTACTTTACACTTTAGACTTTACTTTACACTTTAGACTTTACTTTACTTTACTTTACACTTTACTTTACTTTACTTTACTTTACACTTTACTTTACTTTACTTTACACTTTACTTTACACTTTACTTTACACTTTACTTTACTTTACACTTTAGACTTTACACTTTAGACTTTACACTTTACTTTACTTTACTTTACTTTACTTTACTTTACACTTTACACTTTACACTTTACACTTTACACTTTACTTTACTTTACTTTCCTACATGGAAATAGTTGTCTGTCTGTCTCCTGAATACTATAGACAGGCCACTACTGCCATTCTGTCGTCTAGTGTTTTATGATCTACAAATCTCCATGTACTAGATCTACTGATTTCAGGTCACATACTTATAATGATATTAAAGGCTGTGTATCGTCATGAACGTCTACTTCTATTTGGATAGCTTTTCCATTACTTTGTTCCTGCGCGTCATCCAGATTAACAAGTTCCACGTCACTATCACCATCTTCAGCGCCACCAACTGTCCCCTCGTCGTTTTCATATAACGCTTCTGGTAAATCATTTCGAATGTCCTGTTGTAATTGTGGTTCAATGTCGCCAAAATCTAGAGCTTCTTTTAGCTTTAGCCAAAACGTTGGTTTCTGAGAGGAATTCTTTGGCCATGGCAGATAGGTCTTCTGTCCTAGGTAGCTCTTCAAACTGGAGGATATCTTGGCTTTGTTTAAATCATCCTTGTCATGGAGCATTATCATCACCATTGCATCGTACGTTGCGTCCAAGCGTTTATTTCTGGACAGTTCAAACTCAAAGTTACACCATCTGCTTTCAAGATAATTGTTAGACATAATGATGACAACTTTACGACTCACTTCAACAAAGTTGGTGATATTCTCTATGATGTATTTTCCTGGTATGAAATCGCGATCATGAATGGCGAGTCGGAGACCAAATTCTTCTTCCATTTTCTTCTGAATTTGTATTATAACTGAGAAATCGTCAAGGCTACTGTAGGATAGAAATCCATGGTAACGGAATTTTCTATAATCATCAGCTTGTTTCTTTGTCCTTATCGCCCTCTTTGCAAATTGCTTACTTACTAACAATAGGTACTCAAGTCTATATCGTTTGGCATATATCGCTAAGGAGACGAGAAAAATGAAAAGGACGACACAGGTTGCAACCGTTGTTATGGTGATCATTTTCATTTTACATCTCAGTTCTAATTCGCTGATTACCAATGTTTTTATGTTATAAGAGTCATCACCAGAGAAACACGAGTAATCATCGAAGTTGTGTAACATTACTTTCGTTCTCTTTATCCATTGGATGAATTCTATCTGACCACAGTCACAGAGCAGGGGGTTGTTTTGTATATCAACAATCAATGTGTGATTCGGCTGGGCGGCAATCATCTCCAATTGTGACATCATTGATGATGTGAGGTGTGTTATGAAGTTCGATGATGCATTTAACAGGGTCAGGTTCCTGTTGTTTTTCAAATCAACGTCTAGTTTATTTATTCCATTTCCGCTGATGTTGATAAACTGAACTTGATTCATATCCTTGAAAGTTTGTTTTGGAATCCCTGATAGTTTTGTGTTCTCCAAATCGAGTGATACCAATGTTGAACAATTTTGAAATATCAATGAATCTTTGTCAGTACCACCAAATGTAGGCCGAAGGTCGATATTTCCTAGGAGCATAGTTTGAATGTTGGGCCAATATTTACAGTTGAATGCTTCAGAGTTGGTGATGATCAATTTAGCACTCTGCAAGCTGACATATCTGAGGGATTCTAAGCCCGTCAATGGTCCCCCTGAACCCATCAGCGTTGCCCCTGTCATGTCCAAAAAATGAAAAGAATTGTGTACATTAAAGCAAACTCCTTTATCATAGAATTTAAACTTTTCATTAACTTGAAAGTTATCTACGTATAGTTTCTCCAACTTCATAGGTAAAGGTATACATTGCTGTTGCTCGTCATGCTTCTTTTCAACACTTACTGGTAACTGAGCGTTTCTTCCGATATCAAGAACTTTCATATTGTACATAAACAGAATGTTTGTCCATTGAATGCCTCTAGTGAATTGGATCAGATAGTTTCTCCGAAGTGACAGATACTCAATAGATTGTAGATACCCTCCAAAAGTTCCGTCAATAGCGCTTATACGGTTCCCATCCAACTTCAATACTTTCACTTTCAATCTTTCGAATACGACCAACCGTGATGCTCTTAACGCGTATGATAATATATCGTGGTGAATGTCTGCATTATTCGTATACGATAAGTCCACATAATCTAAAGAAGTGTCTTGAGGTAGATCCCTCAATCGGAGCAAAGCGTGATCAAGTCCCATGCGGACGTTGTACTGCAAGTCGAGATATTTGAGCCTTTTCAATGAGCTAAATGTCCCAGGTGATATATGACCATAATAATTAGGGTATAAATAGTAACCATGGGTGTCCGTCTTTTTCAGGTACTCAAGATGGTAAAGTCCATCAAAAGAATTATTCCGTATCATAGTTAAAGTATTATAACTTATATCTAGATATCTCAATCGGGAATATCGTTTGAATGGTGCGTTATGTAAGGGGAATGGCCGTTTCATCGGCAGATGAGTCAGCTCTAAGTACTGTAGCGTGACAGGCCAGTTCTGTGGGATGCTTGATATGTTAAGCTGGTGACATATAAAACGTAAATCTGTACAGAGTTCACATCCATTTGGACATGGCTGGTCGGTTTCATTCGATATGTCGATGTATGGTTTATCCGGGTAGTAGTATCTGTCGCCAATAGTTGGTGATATACAGATGAATAACACGTGCAATAGGATATAGCCTATTCTCCAATATTGTCGCGTCATCTTTAAAAGACCCATTACCATCATGGCTTTATCGTAGGGCTCAGCAAAAACGATGATGATGTGGTCCAGGTTTAAGGCACCTACAAATTGATGAAATATTGTATGATGTAATTTTGAATGAATAAATTGAATTGAATGTGTCTTTAGCATTGTTTCCGATTCAAATGTAAACAGAAATGTATGTTCAACTCATTGAGTGTGACACATTCGATAAAAAAGTCGATAAAAATTGAAAACAAACATTTTAGTGCCTCAATAGCGTAATGAAATTCCTGGTTACGAATTTTTTGCTTTCTCGATTTGAACCTACTAATTAGTCAAGTTGCAGATTATAATTTGGCCCAAAGCTAGAAAATATAGCCTAGTTTTAATAAGTTTCTTCGATTTGGAATGTAAATGAAGCTGTAATTCATATACTAAGCCTCTCGCTTTTGTTACATTGAAGAAAGCCTGTTATATTACCAATGTATGTTACTTTGTCAATGGGGATTTATCCCGACCATTTTTAGAAAACTTGAAAATCTCTAGATTTGAATAAAGGTAAATAACAGTGCAAAAACTAAGTTGTTTTGATAGAATTCAAGAATTCAAATAGAAGAAAATGTTAGTCTTTAGTGGCTAAAAATGCAGATCTCCTAAAATCTCATTAAAATGAGAACTTAACGAGATTTCAAAGCTATATAGAAAAGCCACTATGAGATAGATGCCTTCACTAGGCTATTCTCTGTACTTGTGTCCGTCCCTCATTTTGAGTAGCGAGTGTAAATTCTTTTCGGAAACATGATTATGTTTTCCCTGTAATATGAATTGGAGATATCTGATTTTGTGTTTTTGAACATGCGGAAATACTTTCCTTAATAGGTCGTTCAGTTTTCTTGTTTTTGTTCTACACAACACTTGTGTTTAATAGCCACGCGTAATTATTAATAAGCGTAATCAGATTATTTCAAGCGTCGAAATAGCTTATTTTCCTCGACGTACTGTATCTACACAAACCTATTCATTTGCCGTTATATTGAGCGATCTAGATGCGTCAGTGATAATTGTTTTCACTCATCGGCTTAAGTGGCCCGCGATACCTTTTATTTCATTCATTTGAGACGCAATTGATATATCGGCAACAAATCAAATGTTATAAATGATTCTTCTTCATTTTGGAATGTTTCTCCTACCCGATATTCAAAGATGTGTCTTAAATATTATACTTTACATTGATCACGATTCTTGTACTTTCTGTCTTTACGACTCCCGTTCTCATTTGCAAGAGTTGTTGATTGCATTGACTTAATCGTTGGTTGAACTTCGATTCCAACTAAATCAGATTAATCAATTAAGAAATGTAATATCATGTTTATCCAAGCAAATAATTGTACCAACTACATTATTTTTTAGCAGTTTTCACACCTAAGCAGGGTAGCCTAGTGGCGTAGACTGAGGCTACTTTGCGGTTGAACGTCGTGGGATACGGAGGTCCCGCGTTCGAGCCCCAGGTACGGAGTTGTTGATCATTGTCACTACGGACACCCGGTCCGAAGGTCCAACCGTTTACCGGCCCTTGGCATGGGTTGGTTCTCTGGCCGCTCTTGCCGGAGACAGATTGTGAGACTGTGGTTGGTTCCTCCACTAACGTGCTTTAGTAAACTCCGGGAGTCATATAGTATGGTAGCGGGCCCCCACCAAGGGCAGTAGTGGAACGACGCGAATCGGTCCCAGTATGGTTGCCTTGCAACTGAAGAGACTCGAGGAAATCATGCCATTCGCAGTGACCCAGAAAAGACTTTTGCTTCTTAATTTGACGTTTTAATTCATTTATTTACATACTTTTTTCATATTACTTTCCAGGCAGTTATGATTTTTATTGGTCAAATGAATGAACGAGACATAGATACTATTAATACAGATATAAAATAGCACTTGAAAACACAACACACATAGCTACAAAATCAAAATCAAATTGAGAATCAGATGACCTGCTAAGCCTAGTATTGATTTGCCCCTAAATAGATATTAAAGGGACGCTGAATATTGGACTTAGTTAATGAGCACCATTCAAAATAATGAAACTGAAATATTGGGCAAAATAATTGATATTTCGTTTGTGGAATGAAAACTGATGATAGAGATGATATCAGTAGCCAAAAACTGTATAAGCAATTTAAACATGGAAATGATGCCAATTTAGAAGTATTATATGAAAAGAAATGTTTGTGAAATGGTTAGAAAATGAAATAACTTCAGAATTAATGCGATCATTGGGGCACACATTGATAAAAATCACACTTGGATTTGTAAAGATTCAAAGTAAAACAAATGAATGCGTTTCTTACTATCTCCATGACAACATATCTTGCTCTGTCTCCATGACAACAATTTTTGGCCCCATCAGCACAAGATCGAAAATACAGTAATTATCAAGTTCAATAAGAATGTGAAACTTTATATTTAATACCACAATTATTTATTTCTACCAATGAAACAATACAGTTTAACTAAATGTTTACTTCATTGAAAACAAAATTTACCACAGTTAAATATATTTTATGAAGTACCGTGTTTACCATAATCAAACATAAATAACAGAATTATGACTTTATCCTAGAATGAACTACAGAAATACAGAAATTGATTAACTGGAATTAAGTTTGTTGAGACGACCCCTCAATCCGAAAAGCCTAGCATCAGTTAAAAATGTCTGGCCGCAACTGAGATGTAAAGATGTTCAAAGATTTTAAATCCCTAAGCTTTATCTGAAAATATGTTTTTGCGCGATAAACTTTTAATTGAATACGAATATATAAAAAACAGATTAACATCCAGTCTCATATTAAAAAGTTTAAAGTTGGAATATTGTGGAAGAAAATAAAAATGAATTTTTAATTTTCAAGACTTGTCTGTTCAATGAAAGAATCATGTATAATTTGAACCAAGGTGTATGATAAAGTAATATATAAACTATCTATTTTATTTGCTGATACAGTAGAATTTCTCTTGGCTTTTCAACGTAGCACCTTAGTTGACATTTCAGGCTTCACTTTTATTATTCTATGCCTATATAATGTTACTGTGCACTGTGACGAATTTTAATGTCTCCTATCTCATCGCAAAAACACGAAACCAAGTTTGTGTGAAATTCTATTTATTTGTAAAAAAACAAAGTTCCAAAAATATGCTTCTTACAGTTTTTGTCTGACTCCAGTCCATGCAACGAGGTTCCGAAGATTTAATGTAAAATTGCCTCTTTTAGTCCCAAATTTTGAGGTAGGCAGAGCCAAAATAAGAGGTCTTGCCCAATCAAATCTCAATAATAACCATTTATAAAAATTGGCCGAAAATATGTGTGAAATAATTCTCTAGATATAAATATAAATATTATAGATTTCTGCCTACATTGTTTAGAAAAAGGTCGAAGGTTTCCCATAAATCCCATTTTGTTGATAATTCGTGATTGCAAGAATTAAGTGTTTACATGGACCAGAGTTTGTATGACGTCATGCAAGTGAACTATTCACCGCTCTCATTTAAGCTATTAAGTCCATAAAATACCCTTTTTATAATCATTCAAATGCTAAAAATTACAGAATAGTTTTCACAATTGTATAAAGATTATATATGTATAATGATATAGAATATATGTCCTCTAAATATTGATAATTGGGTAATTAGCACTGAAACACACCATCAATAATTCATATTTCTTTGTTGATTTTGTTCTGTTAAAATGTAATGTTGGATCTGGAAAATATTAAAACATATCACCACATCATTAATCAAAGATTACAATTCTTCATATTTAGATCATAATTTATCCCACGTCAAAAGTCGCTAGGCCCAACCCCCGAAGGTATTCTTATTACGATTGGTTACATTAAAGAAGTATCCAGAAGCACCATCAGCTCTTGTATTTAGTTTTCGTGTTATGTTAATTTTAAAAATGTTTTAATGCCTACAAATCACTATATTAATTGCGAAGATGTTGATTGAAACAACTGATATCATAACAAGCCAAATGGAGTCAGAATCAACAACAATAAATCAATTCAATTCAAAGTTACTGTAACCTTACTTTTTCCAAGCTGAACACAAATATATTAGATCATAGTTAATTATAAAATAAGCCCCAATTACAACTTTGTCACAGCACTATCATACATGTTCATAATCATGTGTCTACATGACGTTTTGAAAGAGTATAGAGCTAGATTCAAAGCACCGTTCTTGCGAGTTTCAAATGAAAATATTGAAAAACGCGCGAGTATGAGGACTGCAACTTTTTATGTCTACACTGACAAAAACTTGAAATTCCCGCTGTAAAGATATAGTTCCACGCAGAAGTGCACATCAAACTGAAAGGTTAAGGCAATGTGCCGTCCCACTGGCACGGTTTTCGGCACAATGCGCGTCGGTGGGTTTCGGTATAATGCGCGTCGGTGTAATGAGGTGATCTCTGAACTGCATGTACAATGAGATGTTTACGTGAACTCATTTCATGAGTCGATATTAGTGTGCGATGTTTGTACTAAGTATTATAATCTAATACAAGATACAATGAATTAAGATTTTATTTTTCAAGTTTAAGTTTGGCTTAAAAACTCCTCAACAGGATTAAGGTAAGTCGGTACCCAGGTCTTTACTTTGATGAGATTCTATGACCATGTGCTATTTTCAGATAAGAATAATTCATTTAATACATAGTCTAATCTTCTATCTTTGCACAAAAGGTGTTTTAGTGTACCTTAATTATTAATTTAGGGTTGATAACTCTTTAGAATGTATGAATAACTAGAATATGTGGTATCCGTTTCAAAATTTGCAAGAAATCCAAAGTGCAGTCTGAACTTAACAGAGCACACAAGAATTATGATTGAATCAATTGCAATCGATTGAAAAATAAGATTAATATGTTTATGTAACCTTGGTAACGTATCTATAGACTTTCATTAAAGCTACCAATGTTTGAAAAAATATTTATATGATCGGAGAAACCCTATAAAAGTTCCCGAAATCGATTCAAAATAGTAAAAAGAAACTTCGCAACAAAAGTATACAATTTCGTATGGCACGTGTCCCTCTACTATTCATCCCATACGCCAAGAGAAAACCTTCTAGATATAGAACTTAATACTACCTTTCCCTTGGCCTATTATACTTGCATACGTTTAGGTAACTATCACATATTCACATATTTACCTGATATTTAGTCAAAGCGGATGGTGGGAACTGAAAAATAAATGCCTTAAAAATATGCATGTTGGGAGGCTTCAGAAGTATGTTAATTTCGTTTCCCGAAAATGACCCCGAATATATTTTGAAAAAAATATAATGAAATGTCTAAATGATGAATCTTTGCATATTTTGTACATACTATAAGGTAACTATTTTGTGAATAATTAACATATTTACCTGAAATTTTACCTTATATCGATAGGCACCTCAGCATACAATCATGTAAGAATGATTCAAATCACTAATCAGATCAAGCATGTATTAACTTTTGTGAACAGGAAGCTTACTAAAAGTATAAATAAATTTTCCTGGAATTCCCAAGTTAGCTCATATCATGTTTACATGAAAAACGTCTCTTGAAAGCCCATGAATTTACACATAAAGCATTGTCCTGGTTTCAAAGGCCTATTCATTTTTGTTGAATGGTATATAAAATATCAAAAGTCATTAGAAATTCAAAGCTATTATAAAACTTTGCCAATAAATTACATTTACTGGATGACAACATGCGGCACAACATTATAAAATGATTTATGTTTAAATCAACTGAGGTATAAAAAGGAAGCTAAAATAAAATTATAAATCGAAAATATAGATGCAAGTACTCAGAAATATGATATTGCCTTGTCCCCTTAGAAACTATCATATGGACCCTTGGTATAAACCCCATGTGCATAACATTCCACTGAGTAACTTCTTTTCATATCAAGCTCCTCTTATAATATTACTTCCCGTTGGTTAAATCAAGAAGATAAACCTCATGTTGAAAACAATCCTCCTAAAAATCGCATTCGCCTGGCCGTTCACGTATTGGAATCGTGTTTAACTGTCCAACCCTTAATTTTCTTGATAGGTTTCATTTCTATTTCATTTCCTCAAGCTTCATTTCTTATAAATGTCCACTTTTCATTTTTCCAATTTTTTTTAAAGAGAATCTTATTTTTAATTTTATTCATTTTCAATAAATTTCATCAAAATATACACGCTTAGTTTACTATGTTACATGACGCTTAAAGGAATATTCCTTACCAAACCATCTCTCTCCTCATATGGTAGCTATAACCAAATATATGCTTGCCATGTTTAGCAAAACACGCAAATATGTTTTGATATGGTCAAATTTGATCACTTAGAAATGTGATGCTCAATTCCAGTAAGCTGCCATCTTTTAAAATTTCACACAGGAAGTGATGTCATCGACTCTCAACTTTGCATATAGCATTAGGTGAGGAGCTATTAAGAATTACAAAACCAGCTAAATATTCTTTTTCAACTTTGTATCTTATTTTATCCTTCTGAAAATCTCTTCTTTTATTCTAAGTTGACAAGCCCTGAAATATTTTTTGCACAGAAAGTAATGATCACTTGTCTAGAAGTGATTTTGTGCTACTTTCCTATACTGTTATGGGCAAGGTTGTAGAAGTTGAGAGTTGATGACATCACTTCCTGCAAGAAATCTTAAAAGATGGCAGCTCACTGGAAATAAGCACTTTATTTTTAAATGATCAATATTGACCATATAAAACATTTTCCCATGTTTTGCTAAATATGGAAACTATATATATGATTATAGCTACCATATCAAGAGAGAAAGGGTCTGGCAAGGAATATTCCTTTAAATCATCACTCAATCATTCAATATCATGGTATAAAACATTTATTTCCTGGTTGGGAATTGACCCTTTTCCATATAAATGGAAAAATAGATGGCATCATGGGCATTGGTAGGGCTAGATAAATGCCAACTCAATGGCAAGTCACTTAATTTCTTGATTTAACAAGTAATTCCATTTGGATCAACTTTGGAATGTAACTGTATGATATTATTGACATGTGGATTGTGATTTCACATTAAAATTGTGATCCTTATAAGAGTAAATGAAGGTTTTTCAGCATTGTGTCAATGGGGATTTAGCCCACCCGTCTTTGAATAAAGGTAAATAATTGTGCAAATCAAAGTTTTTTAGATATAAATTACACATATAATTCAAATATGCCATCAAATAGAATAAAATACTAGTCTTTAGTGGTTAAAAATGCAGATCTCCTAAAATCTCATTAAAACGAGACTTCAACAAGATTTCAAAGCTATATGGAAAAGCCTCCATTGAATATGGTTTTTATCCAATAGGATATTTCCATAGGGAATTATCCGTTCCCCATAATATAACCTTAATAATATACCTTAAACATATAAAACAAACCAATATTATTTTCTTCACAGATATGTCTGATTTTTTTATTCACCAATAAAATACTATTTTACACATTGAGTAATATACAATACAGATTTATACACAAGCATTTAAAATTAGTAATTTTCAGTCAAGAAAGCTTCTGACATTAAGGCAAGATCAAAACCACAAAGCCTTTATACAAGTTCACCATTTTGGAATTCAGACATTTATTTTCTAATTAACTCAATCAAAAATAGACTATATGCTTACTAAGTAACGTTGAACTGTTGAGCAATCTCATTTTTAAAGCTTTTTACAATCGTTTTCAATTATAATCCACACTCGTATATCTGTTATACATAATCTGACTGTATTTAAACAGATATGTATAATCTAAAATCAATATAAGACATTATCCTACACTTAGTGTACTAAATGTATACTAACATTAAAAAATAAATTTGATATCTATTGGCAAAATAAATAGCCGGAGTATATCGCAACGATATACTCCGGAAAACCAGTATGCGGAGGATATCGTGACGATATACTCCACTTGTTGATTTACCACCAAATTGAATTATTTGACATGAAATTTAATTTTCAATGATATTATACATAAAGTACACTACTAGTAAGTATATGATAATAAGAACATTCTATGATTTTTCAGAATATCATTTTAATCTACTCGGTGATATTGATATATGCACTCGTTCGCTTCGCTCTCTCATTCAGATATCAATATCACCTCGTAGATAAAAATGATATTCCTCAAAATCATAGGATATCCTATACATATAAAAGGCAGATTCCAATGATGAGTGCATACATTTAGTAAAAACATGCCAAATATTGATGATAACCACGTACATGTACAAATCATCCTTTTATAAAAAGGCTGTCCATTTCAACAAGAACAGATTTGACTATTGATCTGCTCTACCATAATAAAGTTTTACATAAATATGTATCTTCCACTGGTCAAACAACATGGACAAAAAGACTTGGATCCATAGCCAGGGAACTTTGTGGAATTATCCCTAAATATTTTGATTTTATTCACATGTGAATTTAATTTCACAATTATTTCAGGTAATGACATCATTTAAAAGTACACTGCTCCTGGGCTTATCCCTGTTGGGATATCTTTGACACTGTATGAAACCACAGGAGACATGTACTGTTCACCTTTGTCTCTTGTTCATGAACACCCGTTCATGTATGTCTCTTGTTCATGAAAATCCCATTCATTTATGTCTCTCGTTCATGAACATTCTGGTTTAGATCACCTTTTGTATCAGGCTGGCTACTAGTGTTCTGTTTGACAACTGGTTGAATGCTCTGTTTAACAACTGGTGCCTTGTGTATATCAATAGGTTCACTGGTCTTTTTCTCTGAACTCTGCTCCGCTTTTTGCTTTTCCTTTTTTGACTTTTTGTAATTCTCTGGAGCAATTCGTTGATCAACGCTGAAACATTACAAGACATTCATTAGAGCGTAATATCTATATATAACTGCATACATAAACTGTAAAATCTTATCTTTTGACAATCGTTCCTTTTATGAAGGTGCTCTCCAATAGAGGTTTTATTGTACATTATACATGCATATAATAAGGTCTCTTTAAGTCTTTAAGATCTTTTAATATTCTGTTTGACGTCTTGCTATGTCAGTATGTAGTTAAATTGTTTTGGATACAAGCTGTTTTCGATAATGAAGAAAATCAAGATTTTGATAAACAGCCAATATCTCTAATAAACATGATTAAGCAATGACATAAGGCAACTCTACGATAGCACATGCACTGTCTTGGGTTAAATAACATAATAATATTTATGTAGACTCTAATAAAACAATATTATGAAAGTTAGTAAATCAGTTATTTATAACATACATGTAAATGATATTTATATATACCAGCATTTCAAAGGGCAACAGCCTGAGGGCCAAGATTTCACTATGTTGCCCGCTGAGATGTGGTCATTAGTTTTATCGCCACCTATTGAAGACTAAGTGCAAACTTTTTATTGGCCCTGGACAAGGGCATGAATGGCCATAATGGTCCAGCATTTTGGCCAGCCACTATTGCTCAAGTAAATATAGTAAAAATAAGCCTTCTTAACTAGTACTTATACCCTGAGAACATTTCTCCCAAGGTGGCGATAATTATAATTTAATAATTAATAATATTATAATAAAACAATTAGCAAGGCCGTTAATCATAAAATACATATAATACCAGTGATCTCCCCAGCATTAAAGCAAGTGGGCGCAATACACATCTGAAATTTTGAAAATAAGCTAGCACCCACTTGAAAATCCATTTGCACCCACTTGGAAATTAGAAAAATCATGAAAATGGGGATTTTTTGACCATTTTTGGTCTGAATTGTGAACATGAGAATTTTGCACCCACTTGAGAGAAAATCCTGTGGAGATCACTGAATACTATGAAAATAATTAAACCAATAAAATAAATAAATAGCAGCTTTTATTTCTAAATACATATGAATAAAACTATACATAATGTATATAATAAAATGTTGTAAGAAAAAGGAGCTTTTCATTATCAATCTATACAAGCCAAAGATGTCACAGCCACCCAATAGAAAATGAACGTACAATCGGATTTAGGTAGATTTGCATGATGTGAATTCTTAAAAAGATTTCATGTTTATAATATACAATAATGCCCAATAATGATTGAATATCTAAGCACTTAGTGCAAAAGGGAAATGACCAAAAACTGTAATGAATCCTAGCAAGAAAATCAAACTCTAATGGTAAACCTGTTATAAGAAAAATATACCCCATATATCCCAAAACCATGGTCTAACATGAAAAGAAATAATGTCCAACACCCTCTTTAAATAATTTGACACAGTTAATACATTTCAGTTCTAAATAGAATGGCATATTATAGTACATGACCTAGTTTAGTCAAAATATTTAGATTAATTGGAAAAAATTACAGTTCCCCAGATTCTATTTGTCAAAGTGTTGAACTAACTTAACGCCTATCCATAGACCCATTGTGTACCAAATACTCTCATTCTATGCTGAAGATTATGAATATCAATAATCAAATGATACCGGTTCATCCAAAGAAATGGAGCTTTCTATCGTATAAGTTATTGAATGATTTGAAGTGCAATACAGGATATATTCTGCTCGAGAAATTCTGTATTGGAATTAGACGAAGGCGAGTACCAATACAGAATATCGAGACAGAATATATCCTGTACTGCACTTCAAATCATTCAATAACATTTTTATCCTCTGTATTGCTACTGAGATTGTCCCCTCCGTACCAATATTTTCTGTATTGCGACGGAGATGATCAACGGGGACAACCTCAGTAACAATACAGATTGGTACAGTACAAGAACTGACCAATCAGTGGGCTTCATTTTACAGATAATACAATAATAAGATTTATCTATTTATTAAATACCTACAAGTCAACTCAATCATTGTGATCATGTTAATCATTAAATCTTTTGTTATTCCAAATGTTCACTCAATATGACAAACAAAACATTTCTCCGTAATCATCTTAACCTCCATGTATCAATTTCAATCTAATGAGGGTACACAAGGATGAGTCTGTCTCATCTGGGAATAACATAAGCACAATGGTGTTAATCAAAAGTTTAATATCCACACTCAACTGTTAAACCCACACACACACTACTGAGATTAGAGCACACATAAAAACATACTAGTAATAAATAAGTTATGAAAAAACATACAGTTTTAACCTCTGTGTGCGAGCACATACACCAAGTATAGTATATACTAGTTTCTACTCTAGTGTAACTCTATATAGTTTGTACATTGTACTGAATCATGTTAAAAATATAATATAACAATAAATACTTTGTTTACTGAGTTTTTACTAAGAAAGTCAACTGACTTTTGTTGATTGATGCATTGATTGATGCATTGTTTGGCATATTGTTTTTTGGATTGATTGATTGACTGGGATTTTGATGCAAGGACTGTACAATGAATGATAAATAAATTCAATTCAATTCAATTAATTCAATTTAAATAAAAGATTACAGCAAATGAATGTAAAAAACATCAATAAACAAAGCATTATTAAAATCTATTTTGTGGTTGTTCATGCAAACACACATGGTGTGTCATGATGACATCATTACCTGATGGATACGGGTTGGTATTTGGATATGTTTATTTGTCCGTTTAGCATCATACCTTTGACAATAATAATAAAAATAAGATCATATACTTCAAAGTTACATCACCTGGATATAGTTCTCATTCAAATTAAAGCCAAACCAGACTGACAAGAGGAAAAGAAACAAAATCTATGACGATCTAAAATATTAAAAACCTGAACCCTATAAGCAGAGAAAAGAGCTAAATTAAACAACAGAAAATAAAAGCTCACTACAAACTAAATAAAATATAAGAAAACGTGCAAACTTAACCTAAAAGCATCACAAAGTACAAAAGTATGTTTTACTTAGTTTCATATTTATTATGCTACATGTAATTGCATGTTGGAGATGTAAAAGTGCAAAACTAAAATCATAAAAAATGAATAAATGTGATGTGACTTTCTATCAACTTGGCAACAAATGTATAAGAAGTTTTCCCTAACTTTGTGAACCAACAACCTCGGTCAAATTTTGGAAAATTTTAGGGGGGTGTCAAGGGTTAAACTTAATTAGCTACGTTTTTCAACAGAACTTTTGATGCCTCCCCTTACTTGTAGTCAGGTGTTCCTAACAGAGAGGGTTACCTTCAAAATCTGTGACAGTTACATATTACAGGTGTTATTTAATAAGAGGTGTTCAATTCAACAGGTTTTACTGCTGTATTGCTTCTGACTAAGAAGCTACAATCCTGTAGTATTTGTAGGACTGTCATATTATATTAAACCAATAGCAGCAGCGGTAGAAGTCATTATATACCTGCAGCTCTTAATATCCTAATATTCCTAACGGCATTACTCACTTCAACAGTCAGGAGTGATAAACTACATTAATTACGAAGGAATCATCCGATATAAATTCACAATTTATTATGAAAAGAAGCTCATAATCAATAATTACATGATATTCATTTAAAAAGAAATCAAAATGGAATTTATTAATTCAACACAGAAAACAGACAATGACACTATTGCAGAAGTAAATAAATCCACAAAGACATCTGAGGTATTGTATGTTATGGTTTTGTACTCAATTGGTATAGTTGCAAACACACATTGGCTATATGGCATGTATAGAGTGAAGAAATTGCACGTCAGAGATAACTATTTTCATATAAACTTATCAGTTGTGCATATCATTGGGATGGTTAAAATCATCATTGCGAGCCTGACTCTCGGATTTGGGATAAAGGAATTGACGATTCTGAACACACATTTGCAACATTTACCCACAACATCGATGAGTGCCGTACTCTTGTGCATAATAGGAGGGATTCGATTGGCTCGATTAACACACCCTTATATGTACTTGACGACAAGGTTGACATTATTCTTGTTAATGGTACCATGGTTGTTAATGATTGCTATAATGTTAATGGATATCGTAGTTCCAAAGAAAAAAAGATTTCTCTACGTAATATGGCCAAGTATATGTTGCGCAAGTAGCGTTATGGTCATGATTTACATGAAGATGTTTCATACGCTGTATAAACGAAATATTAAAACTGATGTCAGTCCTATCACCATGGCAACAGAAAGCCGGTCAACAAACAGCTATGGTAGAGTGAGTAAATTCGAAATTTTCATCATAGACGATATTGTTGGGAGTTACTCTAAAGAAGAAGGGACAAGTCACATAGACAATATTAGACCACCCGAAGAAATTCAAAATAGTGAATCTCTGAATAAAGAAATGAAGAAATCAGCCAAGAAAACACAAATGATTCACACAAAAAGCACAATCCCAAAAACAATAGGAGAGACAAGCTTATCGTCCCATTCAACTAGCTCAATCAAGAACACAATCGCAGAGACATCATTCACGATATCTCATCTGGCTGGTACGAACCTAAATGCGAAGGAAGATATAACAAAAAAGAAAACAATCAAAATTCCCAACACAAATGTGAAAAGGATGGAAGACGCTCATATGCTCCTCGTGAAGGAATACAGGATGATTGTCATCAACTCGCTAGTCGTGCTTCTAATCTCATTAATGCATATGATCGCGCTGAGTTTCATATCATGGCGAGAGGGACAAGAAATCAATGGGGTGCCATATGCAAAGCTACCCACATGGATCGGCCATATGCATATACATATTATGTTTATTACATATAATATTATTCCCATTATAAGTTACATCAAGAGTGATGATTTAAGGAAAGAACTGAGAAAATGCTATTGCTGTTATCGTCATTAGTATAAGATATGTAAAATAAAGAACATTTGAAAAACTGTACATAAGGACATATTGTTCATTTCTTGTTTTATATCTACATTTGTATGTGCTCTAATCAAGAATGGCTTGCATACAAAACAATTTTTGAGAAACATTGAGAATCTGAAGGGTAGTGTATTTTGAAAATATCCAGGAATTTTAAATTGGCAACTCCACAGAGTAGCAAATCCCAATGAACACTAATATGTATATAAATTATAAATTATTTTGAAATTGAATTGAATTGAAAATTGATATGTATACATGCATCTCTTTTATATAAAGGGCAATAAATATATACATACATACTACATTTATGAATTTGTATATGTCACAATGTAATATTTATTATCTACTCTACCCTTAATTAATTTATTGGCAGATATGAAAATTCATACATTAGAATATAATGGCTCAAATGCCAAAGGGAAGGGTGACTAAAAACTTTAAAGAAACCCAAAAAGAAAAGAAAAGTGTAAATCTGTCATAAGAAAAGTAGACCCTATATATCCCAAAACAATGATCTAACGTAGTAAGAAATATATCAGAATTTCCACTGATTTAAAATTTTGGGTGACCATTCACAGATTTAGGAGTTTCAAAGGCACAATTCATACTGACTGACTGACAGATGGACAGATGGATGGAGGACTTCACTTTATCCCTACCGAGCTTCATTTATTGGGATGGTGAAAGCAGTTCTGCAAATATTATGTTCAGAAAGGACAAATATCTAGTATAATTATATATTTTTAGACTTTCTTCATCGTGTAATTTAAATTAATAAATCGAGAATGAGACTTCTGGATTTAATGTGGAGAAAATTTTGAGTAAAAATTTACAATGTAGAACAGTAAAACTTGATTATTTGCATCATTCCAATCATAAAAGTGAGAAAATATAATAGACTAGATGCGAATAAAAATATCTTGATTTACGTCATCAAATATTTCAAAATTCAGTCAAAGTGATGTCATATTTGAAATCTACATGTAAAAGTAGATCTAGAAAAATAATTTCGAAAATTGTTTATCAACTTTGAAAATTAATTTTTTTTTGAAAATGTGACTTCTAGCTCGGTTGATTCCTCGTAGACCCCATGTTACAAAATCACAAAAAGTGAAATATCTTTTATTGTATTGGACAGATAACATTTTCTTTTACTGGACATCTTTTAATTTGCATAACTATTAGATACATAAGGGTTAAATAAAAATTGAACCACTAAAACGGATGTAATTTAAGTTAAAGGGAACTTTCTACTATACCCGCCATGTTATCTGACCCGAACAAGCCACCTGGTGGCGAAACTGGTAACTACCTACTCGCATCTGCGTTATTGCCCCTGTAACTAGTAAACATCCATAGCGCTATTGGTTTGATGATATCTACATTTTTTATTCACCTATATCCATACAATGTAGATCACATACCTTTGAAGCATAGGAGTTAAGAAAGATTTCATACAAGGCGTAAGGACATGGATTCTTATTTGTTATATTGCTGATAGATTTCCTCATTTTACTTTTCAACTTCTGTAAAAAGTAATGAAGCTAGAAAAAACAAAAGAATGATAATCTATTTTTACTCAGTGAGCTCCCTAGATTTCTTTTGAGGATGTTTTTTTCATTTTTTTTATTGCATAAAGGATATATTTGTTTCACTTTCTATGATCAAATATGTTTTTTTTCTTTTGATGATGTGCTTAATCCTACTCCTACTAGCATTACAATCCTAAAGAGCACCTGTGTTTTAATGTTAGGATAATCCAACAACTACATATAAAACATTTAATCTTTTTCAGGATCATTTTTCATGATTTCGTAACAAACATTATTAATAGGTTATATAAATTTAGAGCATCATGAGCTCGTGTTTTTTTGAGACAAGGCATGTTTGCCCTATTGAATTTCAACTTCCCATCCTTTGTTACCTTTGATAGTATCTGAATTTGCCACATATTGTTGGAACTTTTAGGAATTAATCAAACAAGAAATTTAAAACCATACTGCTTAAGTAAACCTATCTGCAGCATATAAAATTTCTTAACTTATATAATTCTTACACAAGCAACAGCCTTAATAAAAAAACAATATAAGCCTCTTAATGCCTATGCCCTAACTGAACAAACCTTTTAGTGCTACATTCTAAGCCCACTTCCTGCTATAGAAAACCATGACAAGGTTCATGAATTCATGACAAGAAACAAAGTTGTTAATTTCATGCTGAGATTCATGCAAACTAAACTAGAAAAGGATGTTAGTTCATGCTAAAAATAACTTTCCAATTACATTTAAAACACAAAGCTATGGTTATATATACAAGTATATTTTTGGGAATGAATCTAATTAATCAATATTTAAATTTACATGCAAGCAGGTAACCATTGTAATGTAAAGAATATATTCCATTACTAATAAATTGATCGCATTACTTTTAACTATTCTCTTATATTTGAATCACTGTTGTTTATACATAACAGTAAATATTTCACATCTTGTCTATGTTGAACAATTATGAGTAAGAGAATCAAGGCAAATATGACAAAATTATCACTATAATAATTATTGACGTGACAAAGCCAATCGACTAATGTCTTAATTTCTAATTTTATGAATAGTGTATATAGACAAAATCATACAATAAAATCATTATGGCCTGGATCTTTTCTCTACATTTCTGAATAAGGTACTGTATTTTAAAGTGAGTAAAGCCATTTACTTACAGTTTAATCTCATCGGGCACATAGATGTACTCCATAGGAATCTTTCCCCTTAATTCATCTAAGGTCCTGATATACTGTAGCTTCTTGTTAAATTTTGAGCTGAAAATAATACACAAATTGCGTTAATTTTTTTATTTCAGGAAATGTGGAGGCTAATCAATGAATTTCACAAGTAATAGTCTCAACAATTGATGATATCACAACAACTATTGATGACATCACAACAAAAATTGATGACATCAAAAAGGAAGTTCAATTTAATAAATTGTCATATTGCTTTGTTTAATCTAAATATCTTAATGTTAAAGCATCTTGTACCTGATAAATGGTTTGGACATCATGACAGATGCCTTTAGCCACATAGTTGGATGGACAAGAAGCAGACCCTTTAAGTTCTTCTTTAACCTGTGAGGAACAATAAGTTAAATATAATCCAGGGTTTAAGTACTAATTAAGGGTTTATGTACTCAGAGATTTGAAAAGAGGCAAAAATATGTTCATCTTTTTCTTTATATAATAGTACACTTTTCCTAGTTGTAATAAGCTAGTTGTAATAAGATATAAATTAAAAATTCATTTTATGGAATTTTATGCTGATTCTTTAAGAATACCAGAAGTTACCTTCGGTCGATAATGTCGTAACATTTTTTGAGCCACATCATCGAGGGGATTTTGCTTTTGGGGGCGGATCCATGGAAATAGACAATCATGTAGTCATCCACGACTAATAGCTCAAGCGTACTGACAACATACCTGGAAATAAGAAAATTAGATTTTAAAATATATATATAAGCTTTCACATGGTATATCAGTATGGTACATAATACGCAGTAATGGAACTGATTCTCTTTAATCAAACACAAAAGTTGACAGTAAATGAAATATAATTTTCGACTGAACAATCCAAGCAGACATTTTGTAAAGATGTGCAAGTCACTTAGAGTGTAGGTGAACAAAGTGGATTATATCTAGCAGTTAGGTAATATTCATGTATTAGACTTAATATAGCAATAGCAATTGTATGGAAGTCAGATTTAATATTTCAGATCACATATGTAACAAAAACACCTCTACAGGAGTCAAATTTAATATGTTGAACCAATTAATTAATATCAATCTCATATTCTAAGATTACATAGTATCATTAGTATAGGGCTTACAAGGTGAATGTCCGTTCAAAAACCTCTGCTGAACCTTAATAAACAATGTTGAAACTATTACGATAAATAATGGGATCCAAGGTCAGGTATGATATGTCAACCAAATTAGTATCAAATCAGATACAGAAAGATATTCTAAATGTATTAGTGCAGGTCTTACAACAGATCAATAAACTACGAATCTCAAACAAGACACATAAAGAACATTATTTCATACCAGTAAAAATAGAAGTAGAAATAGAACCACACATATAATATTCAGAAATCTGTAATACCAAATGTATGGTATAAACCTTTAAGTAAAAACAGAACTCACTGAACAATATCGTACCAAAAACAGAAATGACCACCTTATAATATAATATATAGAAAGGTTGGAAGCTATAACAATGTGGGACTAAAATTAATTAACATTGAATATATAAGCACAAATGCCAAAGGGAAGGGTGACTAAAAACTTTAAAGAAACCCAACAAGAAAAGCAAACTGTAAGTGTAAATCTGTCATAAGAAAAGTAGACCCTATATATCCCAAAACCATAATCTAACGTGAAAAGAAACAATGTCTAACATCAAGATGTTTTCAGATCAGAAAGGTCTCTGGATTATACAGGTTTTATTGTACAATAAATTACAGTGTTCTGCGTCATATGATGGCGTCAGAAGACAGCGATTATTTTAATTATCACTTACAAGAACAGATTATCCATAATGTTCTGGTAGTTAGTCATACTTTTGTCTGGTAGGTAACAACTACAGAGGACTATAATGGCATTGAAACCATCTCCATAGTAACCTACAAATATCAGATGTACAACATATCAAAATGGTATCAATTTTAGAGTCAACTGAAAATTATAAAAATATCAGATATACAACATATTAAAATGGTATCAATTTCAGAGTCCAACAGAAGATTATAATAGCATTGAACCCATCTCCATAGTAACCTACAAATATCAGATGTACAACATATCAAAATGGTATCAATTTCAGAGTCCAACAGAAGATTATAATGGCATTGAACCCATCTCCATAGTAACCTACAAATATCAGATATACAACATATCAAAATGGTATCAATTTCAGAGTCGAACAGACGATTATAATGGCATTGAAACCATCTCCATAGTAACCTACAAATATCAGATATACAACATATGAAAATGGTATCAATTTCAGAGTCAAACAGAGGATTATAATGGCATTGAACCCATCTCCATAGTAACCTAAAAAATATCAGATATACAACATATCAAAATGGTATCAATTTCAGAGTCCAACAGAGGATTATAACGGCATTGAACCGATCTCCATGGTAACCTACAAATATCAGATATACAACATATCAAAATGGTATCGATTCCAGAGTCTAACAGAAGATTATAATGACATTGAACCCATCTCCATAGTAACCTACAAATATCAGATATACAACATATCAAAATGGTATCAATTTCAGAGTCCAACAGAGGATTATAACGGCATTGAACCGATCTCCATGGTAACCTACAAATATCAGATATACAACATATCAAAATGGTATCGATTCCAGAGTCTAACAGAAGATTATAATGACATTGAACCCATCCCCATAGTAACCTACAAATATCAGATATACAACATATCAAAATGGTATCAATTTTAGAGTTGAACAGAGGATTATAATGGCACTGAAACCATCTCCATAGCAACCTAAAAATATCAGATACACAATATATCAAAATGGCATCACTTTCAAAAACACTATGTCATTATGTATATGCTTTATCATAACTGTATATAAATGAAAACATATACCCGTGGCATATTGAATGTACATAAGGCAAAACAGTTACTTGATTCACTGGTATTATAGCAATGATTGACTTCGAATCGATTTGATCGATCGTTATTCATCCATTAGTTTCAATATTATCCATAGTCGAGACAATAAAACACATTTGTCCTTTTACTGTGTAGAACAGCTATTTCCTCTAAATTGACACAGTTAAGATTCAAGTGAAACTTAAAACCTTTTGAAGAGCTAGATACTCGATGTGACACACCACATATACTTTTTAGCAACAAGCAACATATTTAATAAATGGAAACATTCTTATGTGTATGTCATTCATGTTCTTTCACACCTCATATGCTGTATAATTGTATGCTCTGTAAATGAAGCCCTCTGATTGGTCAGTTCTTGTGCTGTACCAATCCGTATTGCTACTGAGATTATCCCCATTGATCATCTCCATAGCAACACAGAAAACATTGGTATGGAGGGGACAATCCCAGTAGCAATACAGAGAATACAGAATATTTCATAGGGATTATCTCTTAAGTAAAATGTATTGGCCTAGTATCACATGATAAAAATGTTATAAAATGATTTGAATTGCAATACAGAATTCTGCTTTCGATATTCTGTATTGGCACTCGACTCTGTCTTGTTCCAACACAGGATTTCTCAAGCAGAATATATCCTGTATTGCACTTCAAATCACTCAATAACTTAATAATATTGCAATAGTAAGTTACATAAATGCAGTACATGAAATAGAGCCACAGGTGCAATAATATTTTATAAATGAAATAACATTTCTTCAATTCACAAGCTTTTTACATGCAAGAACTGGTTTTTCACCTCACTAATTACAGACATATATATAAATATGTTATAATCTATATAGTAATGGTAATAATATCCCTGGTGTGTCATTATTTTATAGTTTTAAGTAGATATCTTTTCAATTCATGATATATTTAGCGAATAAAAACCATGACATTTGAATAAATGATTGATCCATCTGAATTACAATGTCTTATAAAGCATCATTACCAACCAAGATTCCTTCCAAATCTTCAACTGACTGGCATGCACCGTTTTGGTAATCATAATACCATTATGTTTATCTCCAGACTAAATTTTTTATTTATTTATTTCATGATAATATAACAATGGAATGTACAAAGCATATGCACTCGACACCCTTAGTAATTGGGTGTATCAGTGCTTATCCGGAGATGAACATAATAGTAATATTATTACCAAATTGTTCAATGCCAGTCAATAGAAGATTTTGAGAGAATGCTGGGAGTCAATTCTCCTTGATATCTTACCTCCATGAGAAACCACTTTCTTGTAAGCTTCGATGATTTTCATGTCCACTTGATACTGCCGCTGACCTATCTGTACAGGCCGATATTGTTGTTGCTCCTCCCATTCTTCCCGCGCTGACAGCTCATCAATAGGAGTAGGCGGAGACTGAACTGGTGTCTCTGAAAATGTCATTTGTTAGTATTTCATGTTGAATATGAAAATGTTTTATGAATATATTATAACTACTTGATGTACTATATTGGTCAATTCTATAAATGAATGTGTTAAATGAAATTCATAAATTTGAATTTTAGAAATCATATTTCTTGAACATGAATCGAAATTTAATGAGGTTAATGAGGTTTAATCAAGTTACAAGTTTCCAAAACTTCCCCCTAACATAGAATGCTGCCAAAACGACTATTATATACGATTTACAGTATTAAGAATTTTCATCCTTGCTCCTAGATTACATAAGGACTATCAACATTTATGTTGTCTAAGATGGAATAGTAACATAAGCAGTTCAAAGTTCAAACGAACATTTGTTCAAATGGGACACCGACCTCTTTATATAATTCCTAGAGTTCGTCACTCTTATAGCATGCATAATTTCTGATTTACCCCAAAGCCCATATTTCTAAGAAGAAAGTCTGATGTAAATGTACAATAAACAAGAGTATACATTTCATCCATTTAAATGTAAAACATATTTTTAGAGACCATCATAATAATACTGAGGTAATTCAATCCTGAAGCAGATGTACATTAGTAGAAATAATAGAAAAGACTCAATTGGAACATCAATGTCAGGCACGCAGGGGGGGGGGGGGCACTCATGTGCTGGATTTGTTCGCAAGCTTCCAATAACGATTTCCAATAGCGTGCAGGTAATGTTACGAAAAAGTGCTCATGGCGTAAATAATCTTACACAACCCTGACATTTGAGGTATTCTTAGAAATATAGAAGTACAACACTAGTTATGTCTGATGTCTGGTTTTAAGAAAAAGCAAAAAGTGGGTGTCAGCAATGATTTTTACTAATAGATGTTGCTGTGTAAGTGAATCGCCAAAATAAGTCTATGTAGTACAAAACAAATGGATGTTTAATGAAGAAATAAATATATAATCACTTTCGCTTTCATTTTTCAACCAAAATAGTATCACATGTGCATATAAATTTATATCTTTAAAGCAAGAAAACCATGTTGAGGCACAAGAGAGTATGGGGCAAAACATGATAAAAGGAGGTTAGTCTTTTCCAATTCATCCTCCGATCACAGGGCTTCAAAATCCAGACTATCTTCTTTCTTTTTACCCTCTGCTATAACCAATTTGGACGCGCCCGATTAAACTGAATCACGTGATCTAATTATGCGCCGATGACGTATACATGATTGCTATCGCAGTGTTGCGACAGCTAATCAAATTGCGAGTTCTTAATCGGGGAAATGCTAACTGCTTATAGCAGGGGGGAAGAAGGAGGTACGGATTCTGTACACCTGCTTAGGAGGATGTTTCCAATTAAACAATTAAGATGGAGACAAATAACATAAACTATCAAATTTCCTTTAAAACTTGTAGATTTACACCCTTTTATTAGACAGTAAAACCTCTGATTGGAACACCATAATAAGTGGAACACCATTATAAGTGGAACACCATTGTAAGTGGAACACAATTGTAAGTGGAACACCATTGTAAGTAGACACCATTTTAAGTGGAACACCATTGTAAATGGAACACAATTTTAAGTGGAACACCATTGCAAGTATAACACCATCGTAAGTGAAAAACCATTGTTAGTGGAGCACCATTGTAAGTAGAACACCATTGTAAGTAGAACACCATTGTAAGTGGAACACCATTGTAAGTGGAACACTATTGTAAGTAGAACACCATCGTACGTGAAAAACCATTGTAAGCGGAGCACCATTGTAAGTAGAACACCATCGTAAGTGAAAAAACATTGTTAGTGGAGCACCATTGTAAGTAGAACACCATTGTAAGTAGAACACCATTGTAAGTGGAACACCATTGTAAGTGGAACACTATTGTAAGTAGAACACCATCGTACGTGAAAAACCATTGTAAGCGGAGCACCATTGTAAGTAGAACACCATTGTAAGTGGAACACCATTGCAAGTAGACACCATTTCAAGTGGAACACCATTGTAAGTAGAACACCATCGTAAGTGAAAACCATTGTAAGTAGAACACCATCGTAAGTGGAACACCATTGTAAGTGGAACACACCATTGTAAGTAGAACACCATCGTAAGTGGAGCACCATTGTAAGTGGAACACCATTGTAAGTGGAACACACCATTGTAAGTATAACACCATTGTAAGTAGAACACCATCGTAAGTGAAAAACCATTGTATGTGGAGCACCATTGTAAGTGGAACACCATTGTAAGTTGAACACACCATTGTAAGTATAACACCATTGCAAGTAGAACACCATCGTAAGTGAAAAACCATTGTATGTGGAACATCATTGTAAGTGGAACACCATTGTAAGTGGAACACCATTGTAAGTGAAACACCATCGTAAGTGGAATTCCTCCATGAGCGTAACACTTTCAAAGTCCAGTTACCCATTTTAACTTAATGTAACATGAACCTCTGTAAGTGGAACACCTCCCAAATGGAACACTATTTTAGGTACCAAAGGTGTTCCACTTAAACAGGTTTTCTTGTAAATGATTTGAAGCCTACCTGCTGAGAAGACCGAGTTGCTTCCTATACTTGGAGTCTGGACTTGATCTATGCCCTCCAGTGTTGGGGTCTCAATCGTGTCCACACTCTCAAAATCAGCACTTTCATTGAGGCGTTCCTCTTCATCTAGTGCTGAAAGGATACAGATTTCTATTTTAATGTTTATTTAGTTTCACAGATCAATGTGGGTAAACAAAACACTATCGGTACACAATTTTGCCAGTTGACCTCTGGAGAGGTCAACGATTGTATATTATCTACCTTATAGAAGAAATTCTGCAAAGGTGGATGGTTTTGGTAACCCGTGATATTTTTACATTCAGAAGCATAATTCAATATTTATTCTAACTGTCAATTCATATGTTAAAGGTGTTGGTTGTATGATCTTAAGAATACATTGTTGGTTGGTAGATATAATTTTGGATTAAAACCCCCCATAGGCTTATTTTCCAAAGAGGCAAGACTTTGGGTAGGGGTGCACAAAACCCCTTCAGACACCTTTGAAAGGTTCATTCACGAACAGAATTGCCTCAATTGTATAAGTACTGTATGTCAATTGTACTGTATTTCATCTTTTCATATTCTTCATTGTTAAGCCATATTATCTCATCTCACCTTAGATCATCAGATATCAAATATTTTCTAAAACCAAAGATGATATAATAATTTACTGAACACACATCATCTCTATAATTGGTAACCCAATATGTTTGTTTGTCTATAGTTGGGAGTGAAATTTCATAGCAATGTGGCTATTTCAGATATTGAAGAAAGTGTAACAATTTTTATAATTAATATATATTCATGTTATTCTAATGCTATGGGCTAGACGGGGGTTTAACATTCAGCTTCCCACAAGAATGACTACCTGTTACTTCCAATAGTAATTATTTGCATTACCTTCTTCTAGGAATAGTCTCATGATATAAAAACTGATCTCTGAATGCCTTGCTATATTCATAATAAACATATTTATATTCATAAACAATAATGTATTTATTGAATTATTGCATTGATGCACCAAAACTGAAGATGTTTATATCACGCGGGTTGTAACAGTGAACCAATCACAATCCTCGAAGCATCTTTGGCCATCTTGCTTTTGGTCCAAAAATTGTGACACTTTCGAGGAAATGAAGATTTTATATTGTTGAATATCTTTAAACCAACATTATTGAACTTGTAGTACATGTGCAAGACTGCAAGTATGTGATTTTAATACACTTCTACCTGGGGGAAGCAGAATACTACCTGAAAATTTGGCTAAGTAGCTATTTTGGTAGTGGGAAAAAAGTTAGTTTCAAGGCTTTGGGTATGAATAAGGCAAATCATTACTAAACTATAGAACTACATAAACTACACAAAGTAAACAAGGCCATGCAATTTTTAGTGAAAATAACAGATTCAAGACTAACATACAATTAGTAGTGTTGTCGCGATTAATCGATACATCGCGATATACATCGCCAAAGCTGGTTCAGGCGATGCATCGATGTCTGACACAAAACATCGATGTTTTTAAAAAAAATTTAATTTGCTAAAAATCGCCCTTTCTTATCTTATTATCCCACCGAACGAAGTTCGAGGGGATATAGAAAAGCCGTTCGTCCGTCCGTCCGTCCGTTCGTCTGTTCGTGTGTCCGGGCAATAACTCAAATACTGGTTGACGGATTTCATTCAAATTTTATAGGCTTATGCCTTATGGGTGTAGGACCTCTGCTCGAGAAGGAATTTTCAATATGGCTGCTTAATTCAAAATGGCGGCCATTTTTCGGAAAAAATATAATCTTTAATAACTCAAATACTAGTGGATGGATTTGGTTCAAATTTTATATGCTGTTGCCTTGGTACAAAGGACCCTTGCTCAAGAAGACATTTTCAAGATGGCCACCAAATTTCAAAATGGTGGCCATTTTTCGTAAAAAAACGTTATCTTTGATAACTCAAAGACCATTGAATGGATTTGGTTCAAATTTTAGATGCTGATGCCTAGGGACATAGGAGCTCTGCTCAAGAAAGGATTTTCAAGATGGCAGCTAAATTTCAAAATGGCGGCAATTTTTCATAAAAAAATGTTATCTTTGATAACTCAAATACCATTGAATGTATTTGGTTTAAATGTTAGATGCTGATGCCTTGGGAATAGGAGCTCTGCTCAAGAAAGGATTTTCAAGATGGCAGCTAAATTTCAAAATGGCGGCCATTTTTCATAAAAAAACATTATCTTTGATAACTCAATTACCATTGAATGGATTTGGTTCAAATTTTACATGATGATGCCTAGGGACATAGGAGCTCTGCTCGAGAAGGGATTTTCAAGGTGGTAGCTAAATTTCAAAATGGCCGCCATTTTTCATAAAAGAACGTAACCTTTGATAACTCAAATACCAGTTAACGGATTTATTTTCAAATTCTATATGCCGATGCCTAGAGACAAAGAAGTTCTGCTCAAAAATAAATTAGTGGATGGATTTGGTTCCAATTTTATATGCTGATGTTTAGGGAAAAAGGAGATCTGCTTCAGAAGAAATTTCAAAGGCAATAGCTGAATTTCAAAATGGCTGCCATTTTTCATTATAAAAGTAATCTTTGATAACCCAGATACCATTGAACGGACATTCTCTGCTAAAGAAGAAATCTAAAGATGACAGCTGAATTTCAAAATGGCAACCATGTTTCATAAAGACATAATCTTTGATAATTCAAATACCAGTGGATGAATTTGGCTCAATTTTTTTATCAAAACATGTTTTGTTCGGTGGGATTTGCTACTCCGTGGAGTTGCTGTTTTTCTAGTTTTGACGCAAATTGCTTACCTTTTTTCATGTCTTATTTCATTTTCAAATGTTTTCTGATATTCTTTCGCTTTAAAACTGTTTTAGCTAGTCGAAATGAACCATTAATCTAAAAAAATTACTTTACTTTCATTTCACCGTTACTATGTTCCCGGATGTACCAGCGTACTCTTATTAATTTGTTCTGTTCGATATTTTAGTGCATTAGCGTTCGGTATTTCAGTGCACTTTTCTTGAACTTTTTCTCGATGTACATCGCGATGTGCATCGATGTTTACTACTGAAAATTGCCGATGCATCGATGTACGATTATGGCACATCGCGACAACACTAACAATTAGTTGTTTTCCAGTTTGAATCATGAAAACTTCATACAGTGGTAATCCAAGATGAATTAATAATAGCACATATTTTGAAAGAAAATGTGACTCACAAAACATGTATTGTAATTGGTCTTTAAAAGCTATCATGTAGGTATACAACAAGGATGTAGGAATTTTAAATCAAAGATTTCTGTTTGTAACACTCCCCCGCCTCCAGAGTACAGGTATAAAAGTCACGTTAAGTACAATTGATTCATAGATTTAGGCCTAAATGCACAAAGAACTTCTATATACATAGCTGTGTATGACTTTGACTAATATTTTTTAGTTTTTTTTCGCAGTGTTTATTGTTTTACATAATTTCTGAATCAAATTGCTTATTGCTTTTTTTCATTAGATGTTAATGCAATTTTATTGAAAAACATGTGTTTCATAATTCAAAAGGTTAAAAAACTGTGATTTTAACCAATCAACTAAAATAACAATGCTATGATACAAAAAGAATATAATCTAAATATATATTTATGAAGAAGTGAAACAAAAGACAAAATAGTATTCAATGAGAGAAATAACGTTATGTGCTTAGACAAATTCGTTCTTGGTCACACTGAAACACTCTGAGGTAGTTATTTTTTGACTGGTCAAAGTTTTGCCCAAATTATGACGTATGGTGTATCATTAGCCCTTGGCACCTTTCAGTTTGGAAAAGTCTGAATAAATGTATTTCTACAAAATCAAATGTCTCAAAAAGCCTCATGCCCAGTGACAAACAAAGGCTTCTCTTTCTTTGTTAATAGAAGAAGGGTGAAAAGGTAGACCTATTACAAAACATCATTTCCTGACCAGTCCTAACACATGGCTTTAACTTACGTAAAAAATGAAAATGAATATGAGCACCTTCTTCTTTCAATCTATTTTAAGAGCGTAATTTCCTCGCTGAGGTTCAGGTTTCTATTTTCTTGTTATCGAGTTGGAGTGAGTCGAGTTTTAAGGATGAAAATCATGATATACGGATAAGGCAGACATTTCTATTAAAATCTCTATAGAAAATAAAGTTCACTTAGTAAGTTAATGTCAGTAGAATTCATAACAGTCACAATCAAGTCTCGAGGAAAATCTCTCCGTAATTTTGGCCTTGCGGTTCAAAGACCGATCGATCAACCCATTATTTTCAGACTTCATTTGGAGAGTGTTAAGTGCTTACTTCCCACAAAAACACACAAACACAAAAACAACTACAGAAATGAGTAAACCCTCAAAATATCACAAGTATTTGTGTGTGTATTATGACTCGTTGTGTTGCATACAGTCTGGATTCTCAAGTTGTGATGCCTAATATCATTTCGGGGTTCAATGTAGCCCATACTTCTGCCAGGTGTTAAATATTTCACCAGCAGAAATTTGGCTACAGTACACCCCCGGGTTAAACATTGAGTGAACGGAATAGACAATGGCAAATGAGTGGTCCGTGTCTTTTTTTAGCATGACTAAGCAATCTAATGACTTAATCAAACATGGGAAATAAATTTCAAGATTTTCCCCAGCCATTTAACATGGTAAAATATGGAGACCACCACTTATCATAATATTCACAAATACTTTTGACTGAAGGTATAAACAACTTTTGTAAAAGTACAATACTTACTTTCAATCAATTGAAGAATGTAGCATGAGAAAAAAAGATATATAACATATATTTAGAAATTATAATAAATTCCGCTATGATGAAGTACTGCTTGACACAACATAATAGACCATTCCAAAAAAACCTGCCACCTTCTGGTAATTATACATAGAAAGTGGATTGTCGACTAGATTCAGGATGACAGTGGGTGTATTAATTAGCAATAAGTTAATCCTACTTTTGTTGGGACAGACTGCTACCTATACAGGAAGATATGCCGATTACTTAATTAGTACTAAATTAGCACTCTGGCAAAAGCGCACTCATGCCAAGAATGCTAATTTAGTACTAATTCATGATATGAGTACTCATTTAGTGCTGAAAATCAATTTCATCAGTACTATTTTATCATTCATCATATGAGTACTAATTTAGCGCTAAAAATCAATGAAATTAGTGCCATTTTATCACTCATCATATGAGTACTCATTTAGTACTAAAACATGCAATAAATCAGTACTCATGTCATAAGTGCTCATTTAGTACTAATATTTACTGAAATGAGTACTCGATTAGTGCAAATATGCCATGAGTACTATTTTAGTACTTGGCATATCTCCCTGTGAATGACATCATCAAAATGCTAGCTTCTTCTTTCTACCAAAAGGTGGCAGGATTTTTAGAAAGGTCTATTGATTGTTCATGTCCTTTATAATTTTTTGCTTTCTAATGTTGGTAGGTTATAAAACTTACAACCGGTCAATTTAGAATAAGCTTTCACATGATGTATTAGAGGTTAATAAAATGACTTTTTTGAATTATTTTATATTATGAAAGTTATTATATGTTATACGAAAGTTTAGAAGTAGTTACACTATACAGTAAAACTTGTTTCATCCGAACACCACTGGGACAGGTCAAATGTGTTTATATTAGGAAGTAGATGTTCCCATTTTAAGAATGTGAGTCAATATGAGTCTACAGGTGTTCCCATTTCAAGAATGTGAGTCAATATGAGTCTATAGGTGTTCCCATTTCAAGAATGTGAGTAAATATGAGTCTATAGGTGTTCCCATTTCAAGAATGTGAGTAAATATGAGTCTATAGGTGTTCCCAATTCAAGAATGTGAGTCGATATGAGTCTATAGGTGTTCCCAATTTCAAGAATGTGAGTGAATATGAGTCTATAAGTGTTCCCATTTCAAGAATGTGAGTCAATATGAGTCTATAAGTGTTCCAATTTCAAGAATGTGAGTCAATATGAGTCTATGAGTGTTCCCATTTCAAGAATGTGAGTCAATAGGAGTCTATAAGTGTTCCGATTGAGAGATGTGGAGAACTGGAGATGCGAGAGGTGTTCGGATAAATACAGGTTTCGCTGTAATTGACTGGAGTCAGATTTAGAAAAATAATATTGTGGCCAGTAATAAGGGTTAAGCTACCTGCTAATAAGTCATCCTCGCTCTTGCTTATACTTCTGTATGATCCTTCGTCATCCAGTAGAAACTCCATGGGAATCAGCTTCTTTTTGCCTCCCATTGGACTAGTCACGTTCAGTGTATTAGGTCGACCTGTTAAAGAGAAACATGGGGTATAAATAGGAGGCAGACTAATGGAACAGCCAAAATAACTGTATTTTTGATATTTTCACAAAGCTGGTCAATTTTGTAACCTGATAGTTTAATGAGAGTTGCTATAGCAAGTTTAAAAACGGCCTTTAAACAATTAAAATATTAATTATGAGTAAAGAGTAAGGTTCAAACAAGGCATTAACATGTAAAATGTCACCACCTGCCATTTGTTACAGATGCCGAACACCAACTGCCAAACACTGTCCACAAAATGTCGGAGACTTTAGCAAAGTGGTGACATAAAAGTTGTCAAAATCTTTCAATATATTTTTTTTATTCCATCATATGATGCAAGAGGTACCACAACGCACACAAAGATGTAACACCCAGTAACTATTAAAGTCACATTGTAAAACATCCACAAGACAGCACACATTTAGCCAGAGAGTGGTAAAACAATGGAATTGTATACCAATGGGTTGTAAATGCCCAAAGTGTAAATCAGTTCAAATAATATAATGACTTGGATTTTAAAAAAAATCAACAGTGCTGACTTAAATTCAGGTTCATCATTAGAATTTTATTTGGCAAAGAATTAAATTGATTAGGACTGTAAGTAAAGCACTGCAGTGATCTCCACAGGATTTTTTCTAAGGTGGGTGCAAAATTCTCATTTTCACATTTCACATGGAGATTGGTCAAAATATGCCATTTTTTCATGATTTTTCTCATTTTCAAGTGGGTGCAAATGGATTTTCAGGTGGGTGCAAGCCTGTTTTTAAAATCACAGATGGGTGTTGCCCCAACTTGCTTTCATGCTGGGGAGATCACTGCATTGTATGATTTTTGGAAAGACTCTCTAGTCTTTATTCCTAACCATAGAAGTATAGGCCTCTTGAGAAAATTACATGATATGTGATCTGATCATCATCTGACCATACACATATTTTAATTGGAGAAAACCATGACAACCAAATTTAATTGGGCATCATAACATAATTGGATCATTTGTTCTGAAAATATTCTCACCATTATTAGTGTTTTCTTCATTGTCAGAGTTGCTAGGTGACAGCCCTATCTCCATGGCAATGTCTTCTGGGAGGCTAGTGTCATGAGCTGACATCTCTATGGAGTCATATGACTCAACTGTCTCAGAACGCTCCTGAAAAATACCAAAATGTAGTTTTAACCTCGAAGTGGAACACACCTGAAAGTGGATAAGTGGAACACTTTCTCTCATGACTAATTGACTTAATGTCTTAAGTTGTTTTACTTTGAATCATTTCACTTAAAGTATATTTGGGAAATGATGGTAGATAGGCTCTAATCTCTAATTAGTGAATATTTTGTTTACTAGTAGATGTCTAGTCTCAGGGAAAATAGATGGCGTGTAATGTTAATAGGATCTGTAATGATTGTTTTGTTGAAAATGTGAAATGAAAATGGTTTGGAAAAGTATTGAACATAAAAAAAGATGGCGTAAAATGCATTTCGTTAGATGCGTTTGGCACAAAGTTACACTATTCAGATTCTACATTTTGAATTTGTCAATATTATTAGTATCAGGGCTCTCACCAGGAAATATTTAGGGTGTGGCGCTAAAATCTTCAGAATAACCGTTCAATCGTGATAAATCATATTTATGTTATGTTTTATCCTTTTTACATGCTATTATTGTATATTCAGTCAAGTTTAGACCGTGGAAACAGTCATGATTTGCCAATAGGGTGTGGAGGGAGCTAAATAGAGTTTGGTGTTGCGGCACAATCTAAAAGCCTGGTGAGAGCCCTGCTTAAAGGGATGTTTAAGTATCTTAAAACAGCTGATAAAAATTGCCTTTTTGACCAGTTGAATGTTATTTTCCTGAAGCAATCATATCATTGATCATTGATCCGTATCAAAAGTAATCCTGTTAATTGGAAGACATCTTGAAGTGGAACACAAAAGTAATCTTGTGGATCAGTCATGCTTGATGACAATGAACAAGTGTATAGTGAGACCTGTAAAGTGGAACACCTCTAGCAGTGGAACACCTCTAGAAGTGGAACACCTCTGTTAGTGGAACACTTCAGAATCCAAAGAGCAAATGACTTAACACTCTTTAGAGGTACCAAATGTGTTCCAGGTTTTACTGTTTATATTCTTACCCGGGCTTTTAATTCATCCTCCAAAGCTGACATCAGTACAGCGTCATCTATAGCAACCTTGCTGTTTACTGTATGCTGCCTCACAGTTTGGTTATCATCATTAACTCCACTATCCGGTATATCAATATCAGATGAAATACATTCTAGTTTAACACGTTCAGTAAGTGCACTTTTTGGTGTTTCGTTTTTAGTCACAGCACTTTCTGGTGTTTCATTTTTAGTCACAGCACTTTCTGGTGTTTCTATTTTAGTCACAGTACTTTCTGGTGTTTCTATTTTAGTCACAGCACTTTCTGGTGTTTCTATTTCAGTCAAAGCACTTTCTGCTGCTTCTATTTTAGTCACAGCACTTTCTGGTGTTTCTTTTTTAGTCACAACACTATCTGCTCTTTCTTTTTTAGCCACAGTACTTTCTGGTGTTTCATTTTTAGTCACAGCACTTTCTGGTGTTTCATTTTTAGTGACAACACTTTTTGATGTTTCACTTTTAGTCACAGCACTTTCTGGTGTTTCAATTTTAGTTACAGCGCTTTCTTGTGTTTCAATGTTAGCATGGGCACTATTAAGTGGCACTTTCTCCAGAGGAGCACTGTCGTTTGTTTCACTGTTAGTCAAAGCACTTACAGTTATTGCACTTGGTAAGATAGTCCTGGCATCTTGTTCAGATGCACTTTCTTTAACAGTTTCTGCACTTTTATTCTCAATATCAACTGCACTTTGAATAATATCAACTGCACTTGCTTTATTATCCACTGCACTTTCACTCTTATAAGGCACTTCATTAACTCCTAGTTCTACAGTTTTGTTAACTATATTTTCAACAGTGTGTTCAACAGTTGCAGCAACTTCTGGTTCAATAAAATCATTTGACACTGGTTTGTCCAATGGTTTATCTATATTTTCACTAGATATGTTTTCAGGCGTTTTCCTAACATTGTCAGAAATTGTTTCTGTGGCAACTGGAATATCATTCGTCTCAATATTTTGAATTTCAATGTTAGAAACATCTGATTGTGATTTTGTTTCTGTTTGAGTTTTGATTTGTGTTTCCAATGTCATGGCAACCATTTCTGAATGGTTGTCACCAGCAACCAAGTCTGCTTGGCTCGTTTCCATGGAATTTATCAACGTCATAGTGCCATTCTCCTGAAATGAATAAACAGTAATAAGTTAATTAAACATTTAAAAATAAAAATAGTATTTTTAATTTAAAAAAATTCAAATCATATATGTAACAACCCAAAATAAATATATATCAACTGATCTTCAACAGCTATACAAAACAAAGTCCATGAAAGTAAAACAGTAAAACATTTTTATCTGAACACCTCTGTAATCCAAACACCTCAAAATGAACACCTCTCAGTCCCAAGTTCATAATCTCCCATTGTCTCCCTTTATTAAAGAAACCTTAAAATGTAAACAACCAGTATTCTGAACACTTTTGACTGGGCATGAATGTGTTCAGATTAGACAAGTTTAAATGTATTGCAATACAAGCCTTCGTTAAGTTCAGTTTCCTGTTATAAATATTTACATATTGTTAACATCAGGTGTATTAAGTAGAGCTGGATATAAACTATTTCCCAGTAAACATAATCTGATATCTGATATTTGTATATCTACTGATAAACTAGGTTTAAAACTTCACTGTCAATTTATGTAATTTCCTATTGAAAATCTACAATCTTGATTGATATTTTTCATTCCATGCAAGTCAATTTTATTCTTAATTTTTAATCCATTTTCTATATGCTTAATTTTTATCATAACACAAACAAAGTGAATTAATAGGTCCCCTAATTAGTAATTAATATACAGGGTGTTCAATAAATAAGGTGAAAGATATTGTATCTTTCTTAATATTGCACCAATCTTGATAAAATTTTCAGAGTGTGTAGCCCAAACCTTTTTACCTTTATTCTGTAAATTTAAAGCGTCTTCTATTTGATTGGCCAGAGTTGTGGTTGCTATAGCAACCCGAACAACAAAAAGGCGGGGCAAGTTTGTTTACGTCACAACTTTCCTAAACATATTTATTCTTTCCGATAGCTTTATTCATACTCCCAGGTCTATTAATACCACAAATACAATATAAAACAGTCCCAAAGTCCCATTGTCATGAAAATAAGCTGTTCAACATAATGTCCATCTCTAGCTATGCACTTCTTATACCTATTCACCCACTCTCTAAACACACTTTCAAACTCATTCTTGCCAATTTCCTGAAGTCTTGCTAAGACACGTGATCTGAGTTCACACACAGCTATGCTCACTAGTGAAACTATTAGGGCACCGGGGATACCCCTTCTTGCACACCCTCCATATTCCCCAGACCTTGCACCCAATGTTTTTTACTTATATGCAGAACTCAAGCGAGACGAGAGAATATAAATTTGGAAGCACTGATGAACTCAGATCACATGTCTTAGCAAGACTTCACAAAACACGGATTACAAAACTCCTCAATTAAAGTAAAATAATAAAATTGATAAAGGCCATCCTTATATAGATCGCTATTATGAAATATAAAAGCATAGAATAGTACAAAATGAAATCATCATTCTTAACAGCACAACCTGAAAAAATCTGTACCTTCAAATGTGTAGCTGAAAAATCTGTACCTTCAAATATTATGTACTTACCAGCTATCCTTTCAATCAATAATATTATGATTTGAATACTGCTAAATTGACTGTACTCTAACATAGCTAGACATACATACCACTAAATACCTATATTCATATATCTACACATTCCAAAGTAATAGACATGATCTATTTTAGATTCAGGGGTTAAAGGGACACGAGTGCAATATTTTGATGATTTATTATTAGTTTAAATGAGGGGAACTCTTATATGTGCAAATTGAATATTTTGTATTTCTCCTGTTAATTGTCTAGCCAGACAAGAGGTAGGGAAACAAGTTCCTCTCATAAATTGATAGCAATTTAAGTGCAGACATTTTTTCAATTTAAACAGTGATAATGAAGTTTAATTATAGCAGAAATGGTTTATGGTTTTTACTCAATTTTCTCTCGCCTATTTAATTTCCCCTCAACTATTCAAACTTGCCTCATCAATCTAAGTTTGCCTCGCCTATTTAAGTTTGCCTCACCTATTTAGATCTGACTTATCTATTTGCGTTTGCCTCATTTGTTAAGATTTACTCCTTGGTAACAGTTGTTTGTATGGCCACAAATGGATTTAAGACCTAGCTGACTGTTTAAATGACACTTAAGATATTTGTGACATTTTAACTACACCTCAAATCAAAACAACCATAAACCATAAACTATCACGATCATAATTTTTCTATTTGTATCAAATCCCACGTATAAAACATCATACTGTAATAAGTTCTGATATACATATATTAAGCCCTAGAATAAAACGACTGATGAGTTTTGATGTGATCAAATGATCAATGAAAAATAACTAAGTCCAACATTCCCATCAATAAAACAAGATTAAATATAAACCATATTCAAAATCAACTAAAATATTTGTTCATAAATATTTTAGGCAAGATCAGAATACCAACTAGGTACATGTTTAACTCATGACTCATATGATGTAGCTAGAAATGTATAATTATTGGATAAATATTAACACTTGACTGATAATTAATTGCAAAATAAATACAATACTTCAAATCGTACTTGTCTGATTATGTATATTGAAATGTCTAGAGTCATGATTGTTTCATACTTTTTCTTGCAAATAGTTAAATTGTGTGAGATGTTCAATTTGAGATATTTTGTAACAGATACATTGGCATCCCCAGGGAGGGTATCTTGGGTGTGACTGATCAGTGCCCCCCCCCCTTTGAGCCAATTGAGACTCAGAGGAAAGAAGAACTGCATGTATGTGGTCTGGTGAAAGAAGTGAAGTTACGTAGGCTTCATGTGCACACTATGGTGATGGTTTTCTTTAGATGTAAATGTACCACCTCCCCTAGTAAAATCCTGGGAACGCCCAGTGCATTTATACAGAATGCTTTGAGCGAGACCTCAGAAAAACACCCCCGAACATGTATTGAGTCATAACTTACACTTCTTGATATAGTGACAATACTCCGAACACAGGCCTCCAGAACTCGTACCTCATTCTTCTGGTAGAAGGAAGGAATGTAGTGGATGAAATCTGGAGCCCTGCGTTCGGAGGATGGATGGGTATAGTGACATGAAAAGTGATTTAATACATGTCCCTATGATTCACTTTTTCTATATTTTTTATTTGCAATGAAACTCAATTTTGATTTTCACCCGTTTATATTATAAGGGTTTATTTGTAGTAACTAATTTCATACCTTTAAGTGATCAATTCATAACTCCATTGTTTAGCTCATAATCACAGCATATATCCAAATTTGAAACTCAGACACAGAATAGTTATTCATTATGCGTCATAAACTTTTCTTCAGATATCTGCACTTACCTCAACCTTTCATAGTAAACTAAACTCACACCCTTTAACCACGCTTAACTTTTTAGTTAACATTTAACAGTTCTGAATTAATATACACAAAAGTAACTTTTCTTCTTCAATTAAAAACATATTTTTGATTTCAATACATTTAGTTTGAATGAATAAAGTTCAGTTTAAAATGATATTACATTTAAATGTCATTAATCTGATATATGTTGACTGTATCCTGTATATGTCGACTAATGATTTAAATCATAAACAAAGTTTGCATATGCTAATAAAGAGTAAACATAAAAAAGAAGTATGTCAAAACTGTTTTTGTGACATACATTCTGCTTTGTACACTTGACTTATTTTAAAATTTTCTTTATGCTCATTATTGAAATTCTCTCTATGCTTATTCTGAAACTCTATCTATGCTTATCACTGAACCACTCACTTAGCTTACTCTGACACTCTATGCTTATTCCTGAAACACTCTCTTGGCTTATTCTGAAACTCTCAATATGCTTATTATTGAATCACACTTCAAGCTTATTAAAGAGACACTCTCTAAGCTTATTATTGAATCGACTTCAAGCTTATTACTGAATAACTCTCAACGCTTATTATTTAATCATTCCTCAAGCTTATTATTGAATAACTCTCAAAGCTTATGATTTAATCATTCCTCAAGCTTATTATTGAAATTCTCTAAGCTTATTATCCAAATACAAGTAAGCAAATTGAATTTCGATATAAGAATCATATGAACACTGATGTAAAGAACATAAGATTCACTTACTTCATTTTCTGAAGCAGCTCCTAGCTTTCCATTATCAACCTCTTTCAACTCATCTAGAAGAGAGGCACCATTGTTAGTTGAGGCAACACTAGATGAGGCAACCCCTTGAAGAACCTCTTCTGATCGACTGCTAAGTAAATTAGAGCTATTTACATTTTCAGGCACTTTTGGGGGCTCCGATTCATTCCCATTTAATTGTTCTTGAGCACTTAAAAATATTTGACTGACTAGTTCATTCCCCATGTCCTTTTCTCCATTTTGGACATCTTTTTCTATAGTTTGTTTAGCATCTTTAAAAGCTTCACTGACTATTGTTTCTGCTACATCTTTCTCCTCGGTAGAGTCACTGATATTTTGGATTTGATTTTCTTGTTTTGTGGCATCATTAGCTGCTTGCGTTTCTTCAATATGATTTTGTATTTCATTATTTGGTTCTTTCTGTTTCAACATTAATTGTTCATTCACTAAAATGTCTTTTGCATTTTTAATCACCTGTTTGACAATACCCTTAGCAACTTCAATTTTTTGCTCATCATTTGTATCAACATCATTCTGTTCACAGTTTGTTTCCAAATCATTACTTTCAGCTGCATCAGACCCAGGATGAATGTTACTGTCTTTGTTCATATTTTCAATAACATCCTTGGTTATATCTACTGCTTGATTTTCTTCATCTTTCATGACTATTTCACTTGCATCTTTTATAACACTTTGTACCAACTCAGTGGCTACTTCTAGTTCCTTGATCTTAATTTCATCCCCTCTTGTGGAAGTTATATGTTCCACTTTATTCAACTCTTCAAATGTATTCAAAGTCATTTCAGGTGTATCTACTATCTGGGATGATGGGATTTCTGCTATGTTTGTAAAGCTATCAACAGAGGGAGAGCGTACAGTGTTTTCATCAGCCTGCTGTTCTAGGGATGAATCATCCTCCCTCTCAGATATGTTATCCAACAAATGGGGGGTTGTATCAAGAATTGGTGATTCATCCGTTGGACTGTTGATTTGATAACTCCCCTCTGTATTTGAGCTTGTACTGATAGATGGATTAGTCTCCTCACTTGCGCTAGTCTCTTGGTCTGACTCACTATCAGGATAAGGGGACCTTAACTTCCTAATTGGGCCTACAGTGCAGTCTACATCATCTGCTCTTTTCACTGTAGCTGAGAGGTCGTCAGCGGTCTCTGGGATGAGGGGAACAGGTGGAGTCTCATTAGGAACCAAACTTCCTAAATCTGAGCTAAGTACTTGAGGATTAATATCACTCCCTTTGGCATCAAAGCTTTCACTCTTGGAATTCACTGTGTCTTTACTAGGTATAAGAGCTGCTAAATCCAGGCTGGCAGTCTTTGCTTCAACAGGCATTGGGCTCATTAGCTCCGGTGTAACAACACTTTGTTCACTGTTGGAGGTTGTATCACCATTAGAAGTGACATCGCTGACTGGACTCAAATCAGTGGAGGATATCTCAAAGGCTTGAGATTTTGCTTGCAAATCAGAAATTGCTTGGTCGAAACTTTGACTTTCGGGAATAAGGCCAGCACCTGTTGCGAATGAAGATTTCCTAGAGCCAACAATGTCCATAGTGCCTTTCAGAGGGTCTAAATCTGGGAGGTAGTCAGTCTCAACTGCAATACCATTTGACTCTGATTCTAGTTCTTGGAGCTGTTCATTGGTGGAGCCACTGAGAAAGGGGTCAAGGTTACTCATATCAGAACTTGGAGGTTTGTTGAATGGGTCAAGGCTACCAAGATCTATGCTATCAGAGTTAGGGGCATTGTTAAATGGGTCAAGGCTACTTAGATCAGAATTATCAATTGGGGCACTGTTAGAAACATCTAGTTTGCTAGTATCAGGGTGTTCTGTAGTCGAGGCAATAAGGAAAGGGTCAAGACTGTCAAGTTCAGCTTGTTCACCAGTTGGGGCACCCTCAGGTCCACTATTAAATGGATCAAAGGTAGTTGAGTCAGCCTTTTTCACATCAGGGGCACTACTAAATGGATCAATTGTGCTTGAGTCAGCCTTTTTCTTTTCAGGGGCACTACTAAATGGACCAAGAGTACCCAGGTCAGCGTTTTTCTCAACAGGGGCACTACTGGATGGATCAAAGGTACTAGAGTCAGCCTTTTTCTCATCAGGGGCACTACTAAATGGATCAAAGGTACTTGAGTCAGCTTTTTCCCCACCAGGCGCACTAGTAAATGGATCAAGGCTACTTGGGTCACCCTTTTCCCCACCAGGCGCACTAGTAAATCGATCAATGGTACTTGGGTCAGCCTTTTCCTCAATGGGTTCACTATTAAATGGGTCAAGGCCACTAAGGTCAAGTAGAGCTGGAGCAGGACTTTTTGAAGATCCGCCTGGCTTTATACCAACTTCTAGAAAATCCTCAATGGGGGGCTGATATGTATCAAGGGCAGTTTCAATTAGACTGTTGGCAAACTCAAATGCCATGTTTTTGTTAATTTGCGGGGTAAGGGCAGTAGTTGAGGGATATAAACCAATGTTAAGACCATCAGGAGGGTCATCCATTTGAGGAATATGATCACTGGTTGAGTGGTTTGGATCAAGGTTGAGAACATCAGGGGGTTTGGATGCCTTAAGCTGTTCTTCACCAGCCTGATGGGACATTGTCTGGGCAAGTTGAAAGGCCACAACATTTCCATCTGATTTTCCAGGGTCTGGTGCATTATGGATATCAAACTTGGAGTCCATAGGGGCAGAGTCAGCTTCTTTGCTGCTATGTCCTTTGGAACCAGATGGTTGAGTTTGACCAGAGTTGTTATCATTTCCACCATGATTGTCATCCATCTCCATATTACCCACAATCTCATTGTCATAATGATGACTATGTCCTCCACCACCATTGTGTCCATCATTTTGGTCATCATCATCATCATATTTCTTATTTCTACTCTCAATCACCTCTTCCTCCTCTTCATCATCTTCGTCATCGTCTTCACCTTCATCCTCCATTTTCTTCTTCTTTTTATTGACCCTTTCTTCAATGGTTTCCATGTTTATACCAGGGAGATGTTTTGAGTATTGATTCAAAGGACTATCGTCAGCAAAACTATTTTGAGGTGTGAATGGGAAAGTGGAATTTTCCGTTGGTGCGGAATTTTCCGAATTCTGCTCTTCGTTTGATCCCATGGCAGATTTTTTATCTTTTATTTTCTGTACCATCTCAGCACTGTTGAAGCTGGGAAGATTATGCTCTTTGGCAAACCCATGGAGGTTTTCTTCAGTGAAGGAGTTTTTAGGTGTGAAAGGGAACTTATCAGCTTCGGGTTCCTGTGGATGCTCTTCACTTTCTAGAATCCTATTCTCCTCAATTGATTCTTCCTTAAGAGCCTGTGCGATGTTACTGATATTATGTTTCTTAGCAAATGCATCGAAATGGCCATCGGCAAAGCTATTCTGTGGAGTGAAGGGAAAAGCTTTAGTTTCTTGAGGTACATCATCGTTTGTGTTATGTTTCATTGATGCTCTCTTATCCATGATTTTATCAACCATATCAGAGCTATGAAAACTTGGTAGATCAGTCTCCTTTAGGTTCCCTCCTGCAAGTTCATTCACACTGTTTGACGGTGTATAAAACATTGGTTTGTCATCACTAATGGCTACAAGACCTTCTTCTAATGATGCTTCTTCATCCTTATGAATCTCACCCAAGCTTGATTTCTTTTCCATGATTTTTTCAACCATTTCCGAGCTATTGAAACTAGGGAGGGAGTGATCCTTTGCATACTTATCAAAATGGCTCTCTGTGAAGCTATTTTGAGGAGTAAAGGGATCAGGTTTATCAGCAGAATCAGGAACAATTGCATCAGTATCATCATCCGCCTCCTCTAATGAAGACTTCTTTTCATAAATCTTCTGTACCATCTCTGCACTGTTGAAACTTGGCAGTTGATGATCTTTAGCATACTTATCAAAATTTGCATCCACGAAACTATTTTGCGGTGTAAAAGGTGTTGGACCCAAACTATCCTCTTTAGAGGATGGTTGTTCCGAGCTGCCCCCTGACACGAGGTGATCTAAGCTATCTTGTGAATTTGGTGTCACTGATTCGGACAAACTGTCTTGAAGGTCAGGGAGAGAGGCCTTTTTATCCATTATTTTCTGCACCATTTCGGAACTATTAAAGCTGGGAAGATTGTGTTCTCTGGCATAGGTTTCCATATGGCTCTCTGCGAAACTATTCTTTGGAGTGTAAGGGAAAGTGTCTGACTCATCAGGAGTTTGGTCAATAGCATCATCTAGTAAGGCTTTCTTTTGTTTGATTTTCTCAACCATTTCTGAGCTGTTGAAACTTGGGAGTAAGGTTTCATGTTGAGCAATTACTGAACCATCATGAGGGGATATGTTACTATTAGGAGGGGTGGCAGGGTAGCTTACACCCTGTTGGGAGGGTCCATTATCAGGCACCCCTCCAAATGGGTCAATGATTGGCTGACTCGGATCAGTTGCAGTCACATTGACTGCTGGCACCAGGGGTTCATTTGTTATATCACCAAAACTAGCGAATGGATCAAAATCACCAAGTCCACTTGTGACATCACTTCCTGACTTAGTGACATCACTTCCTGTTTGAGTGACATCATTTCCTGTTGCTGTTGACGAACTCTGAGCTAATGATTCTAAATCACCAAAAGGGTCAAATGCATCCATATTTGACTGTGTGATAGGGGGATTTGTCTGCATACTGGGAGATGCAAATACATCTAGTCCTGCTAAACTATCCGAAGGCACTGTTTTCTGGTCACCCTGTATATTCATATCACCAAATATATCCAAATTAGTTTGACCAGTTGATTGTGGAATGTTTGTAGGGGATAATGTATCAAACATTGCGAAGGGGTCTTCATTGGAAGACCCCTTAGGTGGAGCATCATTTGCTGCGGCTGTTGTTGCAAAAATGTCAAACTCATTAGAAACCTCACCGCCAGATGTCGCCTTCGTGTTGGAAAGGTCTCCAAATAAATCAACTGAATTGTTAGCATTCGCATTTGCAGATTGTGATGTCACAGCCTCACTTTGAAGATATGATTTGATAATCGGGAGAATTTTCTTTCTAGTTGCTTTGACATTTTCCTGTGAGAAAGCGACGATCGTTGATATCCCAGATTGCATATCCGAGAGGCCAAGATTAGGGTCAGTTGCAGACTTCAAAGCACCAGCAAGCTGAAAAAATTAAAAATTCTCTAATAATTATGAATAAAGCATAAACAAGCAAAATGCCACAACCTGCCATTTGTTACAGATACCAAACGCTAACTGCCGAACAGCATCAACAAAAAAGTTGGAGACTATAAAAATATGTCACCAATATGTGGCCGAGACATTATTCTTTAGGTAGATCCAAGGATGAGTATGTTCAATCATGTAATTTTTACATTTATTATTACAAAATATTTATGACATTTCCCCACATGTAAAAATAATCAACACTCTTGGCTAGTGAAATCACCATATAGCCCCTCTCCCTAATAAAATGAACTTTGTTATTCAACAAATGTTGATATCTGGACTCCATCCCTCTCCAGTTATTTTTTTTGTCGCTTCATGCAACTTGTCTTTCCACAAACTTTGCGGAATAAGAGTTAAACATAAAAATGAATCCAAAAGAAATTAGATGTTACAAAATCTGAGTAATTGTGTGCTAATTGCATAAGCAGAGCATATTAAAACTAAGGTGTGATGAGGACTGGCTTCCCTAAGTAACATAAATACGCTTTCTCTATTGCCCATTTAAAACAATTCATATTCTTATATTGTTCATACAGAACCGTACTCTTATATGCATTTCCATGATTGATATCTTCAATACTTTGCAATTCTCGAAATCGTTGTTCCCTCTTCAAAAGAGGAGACGCGAAAATCTTTCCTTATAAGGTCAAAATATTTCCCATGATGCAGTTCGCGGAGGAACAAATTTATACTTCCTTGTTTTCCCTCATAGGTTTAACATGGGGATTTTCACACCTATTTTTCAAACGATATATTCGTTCATATTCCCGTATGAGAGTACAGAAAAAATATTAGAAACGATTGATCTCTTATTAATCTTAATATATCAGCTATTTTTTTCATTGTATTGATTCATAGCGTGGTGAAAACGACGATTGAAAAGTGAGAAAATATTCCGGAAGAGAAGGTCACGTGATCAGTTGACTAGTCGCCATATTGGAAAAAACAATTCCATTCGACTTTCAATACTTTCATGCCAATCTTACCGCATTACAAACTGCAACATCGATGCAACAACTGAATAAAAGTATTCATCTTCAAATTACATTATAGAGTTACGTTGAAAACCCACAAACAACTGAGCAGTAGACCAAAGAAGACACGTCGCTATTATCTAGGTCAATCTGTTCTGTGGTCCGAAAGCAAATCTATAGTACTCGTTTCCGAATTTTGTTGTTCATTGTACAATCTTTTATTGATTAAACTCGGTATACTGACTATTAAAGCAATGACAAAGAAGAATACTTCCGATGGTGTCATTGTTTTATTTAGCGTGCGGGTGTAAAAACAAAATTGCGTAATTAGTTTGATTTAGAGCTTTCGGGTCACGCAAATAGCTACGCGAAATGCATAGTGGGAAAATATTGACCAATCAAATTATGTCCTTTTTGAGTGCTTTTTCAGAACATATTTGCGAACGTTCTGATTCAAAGAGCGAACCGCGAAAGGGAGAATTGACTTAAAAATAAATCTAGTTAATTATTGTTATTTGGTCTCTTCCCGCAGTGTATTGATTAATACTTTTCCGGGGTTGTTCCCTTAGGCTAAGGTCAGCTCTTGAGAAAGAATCTAGTACACTTGCATCAATACTTTTTTATATTAATCATTCATTTTATATTTATTTATCAAAACGAGAATGTCTAGGAACAAAAACATAAGCACTCTATACTTGTATAATATAATGCTTTGCATATGTCCGTGTTTTAATTTGCATCAAAGCTAAAATGAGAAATCAAGGTAGAATCTGCCAAAATTAAAAAATGATTGGAATTTTAAAAAGTAGACATGACAAGAAATGAATCACTCATAATACATATTGCATTGCCCTTTTCCAGTTTTCCTTTGTACATAAAATATTTCCTCAGAAAAAACAACATATTTCTTTATCAGCAGTTTTGAAAAAAAGCATTTAATGTTACAAAATCCTTTGAATCGAGCATGATGATTGAGACATTTCAAACAGGAAAAAGTATAATATCTTTATCAAATGTTATGAAAAAGTTGCCTTTAATGTAACAATATCCTTTGAATATAACTTGATGATCAACATATTTCGAACAGGAAAAACTATATTTCTTTATCGAATGTTATGAAAAAATTACCTTTTATGTTAAAAGGCTTTTTGAAAAAAGCATGATAATTGAAATGTTCCAATAGCAATGTCAACAATAAGACAAGACTAAGACTTCCATCAATAAATGTAAAGCATCTATCCTTTCAATTAACTACTATAGCAAAAGACAAACCCATGCAAAATAACTCAAGGAGCGACTGATCATTCACTCGTATGTATTTCTGCCAAAACTGAGTAGATATTACAATCTTATGAGGGTGTACTATTCAAAGATTGACGTCCATTTTATTTCTTGCTTTTCCTCACAATTTCACTGTATTTTACTGTAAAGGGGTGAGTACTTAGCATGTTATCTATAAGGTGTGACTAGCATTTCATCTATAAGGCATGATTAGCTTATTACCTTTTCCCGCCATTTATCATCAACAGAATATAACGCTAATTGTCTTTGAATGTCTCCGTTTTCTTTGATCGAGGCAGTCATAACAGCGACCACAACAGCATAATGGGTAGTTCCGAATTCAGCCAGGTCTTTCTCGACATTAGGTCTTGACAGGAAATCCTGAAGTACATTAAAGGATTATATTTATATTATTATAATAATAAAAGTTCAAAAATATTTTGGGACACCCGATATATAGTTATGGTAATAAGAACTTCAACAAAGTTATTGAAAAGCAGAATGCTATTAAATATTATGCAAATCTTCAGTTAAGAACTCTCTGACTCGCAATAAATTCTTGGAATTATATGTTCTTCTTTTAATAAATTATCTAACATTTCATCAATGGAAAGTAATATCCAGAAAAACAATAATTCTTTAATGGTTTTCAGCAATAAATATGATGTGTAGCCCCATTAACATTTGGGACACAATGAATATTAGTTTCCCAGTCTCCGATAAGAGATGAAGATATTGCCACAAGAAAAAAGAAATTCTCGTACATAATCTTGATTATTCTGTTAAGTTAGTTTCCATAAATGATAAGATATAAAGACAGTTATGAGAAAAGCATTATTCTTCTATAAAAGTGATTATATACAACTGATTACTACTACTTTCAATTGTATTTATAGTTTTTATTTGTGCGTCAACAGAAAAACCTTAGAAGTCAACAGTACATAAAATACCCATACAAAATCACCTATAAGATACTACGGGTAGTTTGAGGTAAAATAATAGAACATGCAATATAACTTGAGCTTTTGATGGTTGTCTGATGCTGGGGGAAGATGTGTTTATATGCATTATATCACTACTACATACAGTAAAACCTTTCTAAGTGGAACACCTTTGGTACCTCTAAAAGTGTTCAACTTGGGAGGTGTTCCACTTATAGAAATGCATTTAACATTGGGACTCTTTCGTTGACTATCTCTGATTCTCTCAGTGAGTTTTATTGGAAACTGAAAGAGTGAAGAGAATGCAAAGGGTACGTTTATCATTGGTTGGTGGTTTCTTTTCCGGGAAAAACAATTCACAGGGTTTCGTCAATCAATCAGGGCATAGGTTGCTTCACTTTAATTTCTGAGTTATTTACAGGTTGAGTCCCTTTAATTTTCATAAATATTCTCACCTTTATATCCATGGTAACCATACTGATTGGTACAGTGGCGGCCTCTGTGGTGACTAACTTCATATCTTTCCTCAACATGTCCGGGGTCGACAAAGCTAAAAAACAAATACATCTACATTAAATACAGGGTGTGCCAAAAAAACATATATGAAGAAAAAAACAGAGCAAAGATATATAAATTGGGCTGGTACAATTTGCTTCAATGTTTAGCATGGTAATTATATTGTTAAAGGTGCAACAATTAGTGCAGGTGGGCCATTCAACGATCATGGACCAGTGTCAAAATAAATTTAAGTTTGGATATTTCACCAAGACTTACATCTATTTTTATTATCTACAAAGAAACCCCCATTATTTCAGCTGATTTCCTCTTGAAACATGTTGGATCTTAAAAATAATAAAAGTGGATTTTCCCTTTTTGAAGCTTTGAATTGAATTTACACTTCTTAATGCTAAAATTGATAGTTTATCCATACATTTTAAGAAAATCGGTATGTCAAAGAAGATGTTAAGCCAAATGTTGCCTTGATAGCTCAGAAAAAGTTCAAATTTTTATATTTTCTCTCTACAGGTCTTGTTGCCCCTTTAAACATGAAAGAATTACCCTTAGGAAAAATGTTATGGGTAACCCATAGGTTTCACATAACTACCCATATTGTTACCCATAGCCCCCAAGGACCAATAACTTAAGGGTAATTGATGCCGCATCCAACCTAAGTTTTTTGGTAATGACTTATTATGGGTAATAATGGGTAAATAATGGTTTTACGTTATGCCATTATGTATTGGTAATGTGCAAGTTATGTGTAGGTTATTTAGAATTTATGTGTATGTTATCGGGACACATAATTTGCCAATAACCTAACACATGCTTAGCCCATAACATCTACTTATGTTAAATTATGAGTATATCATTATTATAACATGTAAGTTTTAACCATAACTATTGGTTATGGGTAACACTATGGGTAACACTATGGGTTATGTACATATAAACCATAAATGACCTAATGAATTACCATTATTATGGATAACATTATGGGTGATACCCATAACATTTTTCCTAAGGGTACACACTTTGTAGTTATATAGTTCTTATCAAATCCAGAATATTTTGACTAACAATGATGTAGGATAATATGTCCCTGTTGTATAAGATGAAATGCTTAAATGATTGTGTATTGCTCATAAAATATCTATATGGACTTCAAATTTAGATGCAGCAGCTAATTTTGCTAAACATTTAATTCAATCCTTATTACAGTTGAGAGAGAGAGAGCAATTCTGGAGCTCGTATAAGAAACAATACATAAACAATAATAAGTTGGATGATTTGCGAAATAACGAAAATAAAACATTTTACTCTGAAGCAAATGAACTTAAATTATATTACCAGAGTGATGAATTTACACAGAAAAAATACATAAACAGTATATTGTATTTCAATCGCCTTTTATATAAGTATACACATCAGAATTAAGCAAGAGTTTTATCACTACAGTAAAACCTGTAATTTAAGATCACTTTTGGTACCTCTCAAAAGTGTTTTACTTGGGAGGTGTTCTACTTTAGTTTTTATCATTACATTTTTAGGTTAATCTAACATTAAGTCATTTGGTCATGTGCAGAGGTTTCAGTTTTTCTCACAACAAACTAAATAAATGAAAACTACAGGCAAAATTAATGGAAATCATAAATTCAACATGGAAAAGTCACTAAAAACAACAGGCAATTTTGTGAAAACAACTGGTGAAAATCGCCTGTTGCCTGCTGTTAATGAAACCCCTGCATGTGACTCTGAAAAGTGTTCCACTTATGCAACATACTTCCCCTCATCCTCCAATCACAGGGCTTCAAAATCCAGAATATATTCTTTTTACCCCCTGAAATAAGCAGTTAGCATTTCCTCGATTAAGAACTTGCAATCTGATTGGCTGTCTCAACACTGCGACAGAAATCATGTATAGGTTATTGCGCATAATTAGATCACATGATTCAGTTTAAACGGGCGCTTCCAAATTGGTTATAGCAGGGGGAAGAAGGAGGTTGTCTGATGCTGGGGGAAGATTCTGGATACCTGTTTAGGAGGATGACTTCCCCTTAACAGGTTTTACTGTAATACCTGTATGCACTAGGGGAATTGAGGTGATAGAACATGCTATGAATATATACTTTATTATTCTTTATCATGCCGCTATATGACATTTTCATTTTAACATTTCCATACTCAGTATGTGACATTAATCAACGCAGTCATAAAAGCCTATAGTTTCCATGTTACGGCTACGTATTGAACATTTACATGGTATTAGAATGATATTCACCTTTTTTGGCTTCATGTCTAGATTTAGCTTTGATGATTACAATCAATTTAAAGAGATACAAGAAGACTCTGAGATAGAAATGAGTTGAGGACAAATTTTGAAATATTTTTTGATCTAATAATTCCATGTATGAATCTTCATCGATTTAATGAATTTTTTAACTCTTGACTACCCAGAGTGACGAGATTTCTTGTCGCCTCAGAAATGACCTTGAAACCCAGAGTGACGAGATAATCCGTCACAAAATTTGTCACTAAAATTGCTCTCATTTGAACAATTATCATTAAATTTACACACAAATTGATTTCAGAAGTCAAGAAATAATCTCCGCCATCTAATTTTTTTAACTATAATGAGCATCATCATTTTTTGTATGTTTATGTACTAAAATGTCAAAAGCTGGCAAAAATGAAAAATTCAATGGTTTCAACCGATTTTAGAACCTGGAATTCAAGAGGTTAAATAAATAAATAAAATTTTGATAAGTGGTATGTAATTTGGCACTTACATGAAATATCAAACTTAGCTGCCTCGAGTTTCTTATAAAGACCCTCCCTGTCCAAGTCTGGAAGGAGCTTTCCTAGCTGGGTGATGATTTCTTCATCCTTGGGGGTGGCGCGGCCTGCCTGGGGGGACAGGTTCACCGTGTCCAGTAATATAGTACCTTAAGTTAAATAGAAGTTACAACTCTTGTTATTTTGTGGGTAGGGTCAAAACAACAAATTATGTGGTGCAGTTTTGAGAGCTCTCAAAAAAGTAAACATAGAGGAAATTATTTATTCTTGCACTATATTCTAGGCAACGAGCAGTTTGAGGCTTTTTATCATCATTTGATATAAGGAAATTGTCATAATTAGCAACATGAATCTCCTCTTTGCATGGCAACTTGTTTGTTTCCTTGATTTATATTTGCCTCTGAATAATTCCAATATCCTGACCCTCATATAGGATAATTTCTATATACCACTTTCTTTAAACAATTCTATATCTGTAGCATCATGTATATTAAGCTTTTAGTACACTCCATCTAGAAATAATGTTTTAACATTATTTTATTTTTTTAAAGAATAAACATATCCAGTATGTATATTTGATATCCTGGTGGAATGGGGAATGGTATTCATTAAGAATCACACATCCAAAATGGCATACCTGTTAGTAAAAGCGCCACCTTTTCATCTACTGTAAAATCCTCATTGTTGAGTAGTTTCTCTGCAACTAGCGTAGAACAAGATCCGACCATTTCTATATCCATTTGTAATCTATATAAGCAGAAAATAATTCGTTTCAAAATTACAATAATCTACAATAACGAATATAAATTACTTTGATAAATACAATTTATTTCTCACAATGAGTATCTAATTATTTGTAAGCCCAGAAAAATCAAACTAATTGGAATGTTTCCGAGATAAATCTAATAATTTCGTTCATATTTCAAGGTTATTGATATGGATTGAGACATTTAGAAGCTTGTAAAACATGAAAGATAATATTAACTTTTATATCATCTTCGAAAGCTCAAATGTTAATCTGAAAATATTTCAGAGGTTTTCTCTGCATGTTGCAATCAGGTGCTCCACCCTGTTGAACAACAGATAAGTTTGCACCCAGTTGACATTTTGGACAAAATTGAGTCAGTTTGGGAAAAACTGAGTGAGACTCAGAATTTGTTGATTTGTACATCGTATACTGGGGAACATTTTGCAGATTCATTGAAATGTAGACAACAATCAGTTTGCATCCAGTTGACAATTTTCACCAAGTTAGGATGTTGAGAAAAAATATTTGAATCTTTTAGAAAATTTGTAGCCAGAAAATTTAGGTACTAAATACTTTTTAACAGCAGTAATGTGACTACATGTACATGCATGTATTACAGATACATGTACATGTATATCTATAACAGTCTACTAGCCTTATCATGTTGACATTATAACCCTACATATGAACAATAGATACCCCTTACATAAAATATACCATAGCAAAAATATCTAATGAAAACAAAATATATTTCAACGATGGAACAATTAAATCACAAATACACACAATAAACATGATTAAAATAATTAATTAATCATTAAGAATATCATTAGTTAATTGACAATAAGTGAGGAAATTCATGAAATAAATTTTGCGCAAGGAAAACATTTTAAAGGGAGAATAAACAATGAGACCTTATTATGTCTAATAAATGCACAATCATGAACTTTGTAATTATAACATGACATCCAACTTGATGACTAAAATGTCATAGTCTGATGTCATTGTCTGAAAAATAAGTTAACCTAGAAAAATAGACATTATGATATGCATCTACTTATTTACTCATTTCAATTTACTCACTCTGATTTACTCATCCTGATTTAATCATCCTGATTTACATTTTCTGAAATACTCACTCTGATTTATTCACTCCGATTAACTCATTCTGATTTACTCACTCTGATTTACTCATTCTGATTTACTCACTCTGATTTACTCATTCTGATTTACTCACTCTGATTTACTCATTCTGATTTACTCACTCTGATTTACTCATTCTAATTTACTCACTCCAATTAACTCATTCTGATTTACTCATCCTGATCTACATTTTCTGATTTACTCACTCTGATTTACTCACTCCAATTAACTCATTCTGATTTACTCATCCTGATCTATATTTTCTGATTTACTCACTCTGATTTACCCACTCTGATTTACCCACTCTGATTTACCCACTCCGAATTACTCACTCTGAATTACTCACTCTGATTTACTCACTCTGATTTACTCATTCTGATGAAACTCATTCACCTCTTAATCTAATACTTAAAAGATACTATATACCTTTCAGAAATAGTACAGAGGGTGACTAGGCCTACATTTGTACAATTTCAAAAAACTAAATGATAGGTTTAATTGAAAATCCATCAGGGATATGATTATTGCAGATTATTACCGATTGGCAATTATGAGAGAAATTTCATGAAATAACTTTGGAGCAATAGTCATTCAGAGATAACAATAACTTAAAATCAACAAGCAATTGCATATACGTGTAATTGTTATTTTCAATTTGTTATCGAATCGATTCATTTTCCAGATTTTCATTGATTCATTTGTGAAATTGAATTTACATAATATTGTTCTGATATCCTTATATGTTATATATTACTGTATGTACATACGATAAAACCTGTATACCGATCACATATCATATACCCTAATCTGAATACCTCTCCTGAACACTTTTTTCATTCCCGTTTTCCTAAATCTGGATAACAGGGGGTTTCATTGGCAGCGAGCAACAGGTGATTTTTTCACCAGTTGTTTTCACAAAATTGCCTGTTGTTTTTAGGGACTTTTCAACTTTTCCATGTTAAATTTATGATTTCCAGTAATTTTGCCAGTTGTTTTCATTTATTTAACCTGTTGTGAGAATTGAATTCTAGTGAAATCCCTGAATATTGTCGCAAAACCTCAAAATGTAAACACCTGCCAATTTGAACATACTTCAATGGTCTCAATGGTGATTCGGAGTAGACAGGTTTTACTGTAAATATCATCAGAATATATGCTCCATATACGGAGTATACAGTAAGTAGCTCAAGGCAAAAGCAATAATAAAGCACAAAGCCAAATGATAAAAATCATGTTTATTGTTTTGTTCTGCTCATAATTCTTCAGTTCTGCCATTTTGAACATTCTTCAATGGTCTCAATGGTGATTCGGAGTAGACAGGTTTTACTATACATATTACCGGAATATCTGCTCCATATTGGAGTATACAGTGATAATAGCTTAAGGCAAAAGCCATACACATACTATACCATAGCCATACACGATTCCAGTCGAAATCACTTTGTTTACATGTTATGACATCATACGATTGTCATGATTAAAAATTTGGCGGCTATACAGGAATATATAGCCGACCTTCAGCTCATTTGACTTCCATACAAATGCTTCGCTAGGTATGTAATACACAGTAATATAGCTCAAGGCAAAAGCCATAATAAAGCACAAAGCCAAATGATATAAATCATATTTATTGTTTTGTTCTGCTCGTAATCCCACAACTTTAACATAGTAAGCCTTTCACACAGCTTGTAGTAATTCTACTATTTGTTTTGATTATTTTGTTTATTATACAGAAATGAAGAAATATTGATGTGATTAACTTATTCAAATAAAAGTTGAATAGATTCCATTTTCCTTTTGATAAATAAATCATTAAATAAAAAAATCTTATTGCCATCAGTTTAAAGTCAAGGACTACAATTTTGAAAAAAACTGTCAAATGAAAATGAAAGCGGACGTAAATTCTTTTCCTACAGTTCAAAGAAATCAATATTATATGTCATGATAACAGAACAAGGAAAACAGGGTAATTAAACTTAATTGAATCCATATTTAATTAGGTTAATGTTTACCTTCAAATTACAATATCTACCTTGATACCTTGATCATAATCAAAAAATACACAACTACTACCAATCGCCATAGGCATTCTAGGTAGTTTAAGTTACATTAGAGGATGAATTACAGTAATAGATGGTTATTGATGGTAATGTGAGAGTTTGGGAGGGAGGGGGTTGGGGGGTTGTCACAAACTAATTTGCACCCACATAGAAAAGAGAGACAACCTGTTCATGCACTAAACCATTTCTAATTGAATTCGGGTATAATTCTTAAAACAAGAACTCTACATCAATTTGATGAAAACAACCCAAAGAGAACAGAACACTGTGGAAAAACATTTATCAAGTAGGCGTCAAATAAGAAACACAATTTATCAAAATACATTATTGACACTGACTTCTGTAATTTTATCCATGAATATCCCACACTGTATGTTCAATTTGTTTTATTACTTTTCATTTACATCTAAATGACCATTTTCTACTTTGATTACGTGTTAGATTACTTCAATTTTTGTTACTGTATATAATAAGCTCTGCACAATTGAGCAAATTAACTACTTGAACAACAGTTCAGTGCTCTCCCTTCATTGAAATCTCTGAGATGCACATCCTCCGATTACAGGGCTTCAAAATCCAGAATATCTTATTTTTTTACCCCCCCCCCGCGATAAGCAGTTAGCATGTTTATTTTCAAATATATAGCAATACGTGCATGATTCTTTAGGGTCATCATAAGTGCAAACACAGTTCATATTTAGATACCCAAAATACATTTATAAAATTAGTGTGTCAGACAATAGGTTTCATTATAAGAGCGTATTATTATTAATAATCATAACATGATTTGGACAATTTTGATATTTTTACATATTGTAGATTTAAATGTCCTCTTTTGAATATCCATTATAATTTAATTTGGGTGTTTTTCTATATTTATCATAATTTTTTTTAATGCAGTAGACTGATGAACTTCATTCTCCAAACTGAGACTTGTATTTTATTGAATCGGTCTTATGTTTTGTGATTTAAAAAATTCTTCAATTTGTCACAGTGTAGCTAAATTAATTAATTCTTCAGAAATCCCATGGCCCAAATTTCAGTTTAGAATTGGTTAAATATTTGTTATTTTGTCAAGACAAAGATGCATATTTTCAAAATGAATGACAGCGCAAGAATTTATGAATTTGAGAATTCTTACCCTTCTCGCTCCATCACTTCCTGTTTGTGGTGATCCAAGATTTCAACAATGCACGGCTCCAAATCCTGATCACTTTTCGGGAAAATATTAAAATCCACGAGAGTCAATCGCAACTTCGCACGGCTATTCAATCCCGCCAAATCAATTTCATCTCTGAATATGAGGTGTTCCTCTTTTGTGTTATTGCTATCCAGAAAATATGTTGTATCTAATTTTAGTTTGTGTTCACTGTGAGGAATGTTTAATACAGGTAGGTATACTATCCTCCCCTCATCTCTGCTTACCTGAAAAATATAAAACACAAAGAACTATTTAACAAATTACATTTATCATTATGATTTCTCTTGAAATAGTATTAATATCAAAGAATAAAGATCGATCTCATTCTTAGAGATTATGACATATATGACGCAGATATTAAGTAAAAAATAAAGAGGAGATAATTGAGAAACTTATCTTAGTTATAAATATATAGAGAAAGAGTAATACTAGCCTAAAATTGTATCACCATATATGACGCACATTGTCAAAAAATAACAGAGCATCATAAATATATATAAAGAGAAATGAGGATGTTTCAAATCATTTTTTGCCCAGGAAGGCCAATTAGGAAAGGAGAGTGACTAAACAGTAGCTATTAATGAGGAAAATCTATCATAATAGCAGTTTCTATTTCATATATGTGTAGTTACTTTACACCAGGACATGTTGCTTTACATATAGCTACTTGCAATTCATTGATTTTTGCAATATTCACTATATAAATCTTGAAAGAGTACTATTAACACTATTATTTGACTGAGCCTCTTAAAAGATATCTTCATCTTCACTCTTTTAGTTTCAGAGAAATCCTCCAGACTAGCTGAACCAATCAGAGGTTTTGGTTATCAGAGGGAAGATTTTATATATACAGTAAAACTTGTAGAAGTGGAACCTCTAAAATGTGTTTCACTCGGGAGATGTTTCACTTTGAGTTTCATTTGGCATTAAGGTGCTATTGAAGTTAACACGAAATGACAAAACAGGAAGTGACAAATTATTTTGCATTTTTGGACATTTTTTGAACAAAGATAACAGAGTTCTGTTTTGACCTCCAGTCAATTCAACTAGTTCCAAATACCATTTACAAGTCCAGGATCACAATGTTCATGGCCAGAATGACCCTAAATGTGAAGAAATAACCTTTTCAGCCCTCTGAAAATGTGACTGAAAAATAGCTAAAAGACGGAGGTAAGGAAAGGTCACTGAACAGAATCTTTCGAATTTTTCAGAAAATGTGCCTTAAATATATTGCTCTAAATGATACAATCTTTGAAAATTTGATATCATTCATAGAAAAAGAAAAAAATGAAAAAACTGATTTGAAAAGCGATCTTTTTTCCCTTTTATGACCGCCATTTTTGTTTCAGACAATTTTTTAAAATGACAAAGATTGTATCAGTTAGAGCATTATATTGGGCAAAAGATTCTGTTCAGTGACCTTCCCTGCTTCCTAATTTAGCTTTTTTTCAGTCACACTTTCAAAGGGCTAAAAAGGTTATTTCATCATGTTTAGGGTCATTCTGACCATGCACATTGTGATCCTGGTCATGTAAATGATATGTGGAAATAGTTAAATTGACTGGAGGTCAAACCAGAACTCTGTTATCTTTGCTCAAAAAATGTCTAAAAATGCAAAATTTTTGTCACTTCCTGTTTCGTCATTTCCTGTTAACTTCCATGGCACCTTAAGTCAGTTGGTCTTGGGACTCTGTAAAGTGTTCCACTAACAGAGGTGTTCCACTTCTAGAGGTGTTCCACTTTACAGGTTTCACTGTGTTAAAGCCAATGTTGACCCAGTATTGATTAACACCAAAATATATTTATTACCAGAGTTGCAAAAATGCAAAATTTAATAGACACACACCAATATGTCTGATATACCAAAAACTCAAATCAAGTAGCACAAAAAAAGTCGAACACAGTATAATGTATTCAGTTCAACCAGATAGAATGTAGCATGTTTATATCCTATCTTGTCCTTGACATTTGCATTTACAGTGTTCATTACTACTACATAAATTATATTTATCACCCATTTGTATGCATGTAAATACTAAACAGAACATCAGCTGAACCTGCAGTATCTTTCTATACTTTGAATACCCTGGAATATTAGTGGTAGAATATCCTTTCCTCTGAGAAGGAAACATGTATATGATTTTGACAGTGATAAGATTTTAGAAACTCCAATAGTCCAATAGTAGCTGTCCTAGCATAATCATGAGAGGTTTAATATACAATAAATAAGAAATATTTAACAGGAGGGATGGAATATGAATTTTATTCTGAGGGAAAAATATGATATTGGCCAAAGAAAATATCATACTGAACAAGGATGATGTCTTAGAATGATTAAAGACCCAACAGGGGTTATGCAAGCAATCATCAAGGGTGGGGGTGTGATTTTTTGAGTTTGCATAATTGCGAGCACACCCCCCTGGCTACACCTATGCCCAATGACTATATTGAGTAATCCATATAAATGTGAGCATTAAAAATAATGAAAACCAGCTCTTCATCTCTATAAATATTTCCTGTGCAAACTCTCTAAGAAAAAAAACAAACAAACTTTTGCACAGATGTTACCCAAAGCCAGAGACAAATAATAATTATAATACCTCACAGTGGCAGGTTTGCTACCCATAAGGCCCGGGGCACAAGATTTACTATCCAGTTCAAAGTTAATGATTAGAATAAGTGCAAGTGGCCATACTTTAAGACACTTAAGAGAGTCTGATGCTACACCTTGACAGGTAAGATACTCTAGTGCTATATTAAGATTGTGAGTCATATATAGCGATGAGGTTAAAGAACTTCTTGTATCTCTTCCTATGTAAACAAACAAACCATCTCTGAGTTTCATAGATGCAACAAGAATTCAGTAAGTATCTAAAGAAGTAAATGCACGGATTTAGATACATAGACCACTTTATCTGTCCTCCATAAGTTGAACAACTCCCAAATGAAACACACAGGTTTTACCATATTTTATGATATTTTGACCCAAAATAGGAAAAATAAGGATTTTAAGCATCCTCCTGGTAAAAAATGAGGAGACCGGACCTATATCAATAGATCCTAACTTGAACAGGGAAATTAAATAAAATAAAAAAATATCTAGAAATAACTATTATTATTTAACCACCACGAGTGGTGACATATTGTTACAGTCTCAAATTTTTGGATGTAGATGTTGTTTGGCATTTGGTGGTTGATGTTTGGCACTCAGCATTTTGCAGATTAATGCTTTGTATTTGAGACGTGAATACCTAAAGTTTTAGGCACCCTAAACTCAACAGTCCCTCCCACAAATGCCACCTAATTATTTTTAATGACTTCTGTTCCTTTTTATTAATAGATGATCGTTAGAGATTAATATCTTTGATGCCAGATTCAGTATTCTTTTTTAATATGCCTCATCAATCAAATTTGGTTTCATAGGTATCTATGTTTCAACCCTAATTTCCTCCGATTGCAACAACCCTTTGGATTTATCTTCATAGTTAGTGTAACTAGACTCTGAGCTGAGCGGTTAGTTTATACTGCCACAAGATTTTGGGGTTTAATAAAAAAACAAGGTCAGGGATCTAAGGGTGAAGTTCCTAAATGATCTTGTGTTTATTCAAGAAAAAATATTAAAGTTATATCATGGGAGGTATTGGATATGGAGTTTATCCTGATTAATCCTGATGAAATTGATATCCAATATCAGCAAAGCATAAATCTTTTTATGTCATATTCATCTCTTCGTTTTATCGTGTACTTAAAAGTTAGTAGAGTCTGACCTTTCGGAAAATTCTGTTTGAATGTGGAATGATACGTTTATCATTCCAGCGGGGGGGATATATCATACTATCTCAATGCTCAAATCCATTTACAAGAAATACTGAATCTCAAATCTTATAAATATACATAAGGGGAAAAGTCAGACATAACAATCTAAGGATCTGTTTTTGGAAATATCAGAACTAAGAGTTTGGTTGAAAATGGTTTTAAACTAAAAGTAGACAAATGTTTACAAGGAATTATACTTAAGAATTATCCTTAAAATAGACCGCTGGGTAACATTTAGTTTTTTGCAAATCTTGAAAAATGAATTCTGAGTTTGCACTTTGCAATTGGACATTTAACGATATCATAAGTATTAAGATGCTGGACTATCAAGATTTACTTCAAAAGCAAATTACATATACAAACAAAGCCTTACCATAACACTTTTATTCAGATTTTGCCCTTATGCAACTTCACATTTCTGTCCTATGTATTCTTTAATAATTAATCTCAATAGAATTCTGTCATTGTTGTCCTGTCTTGCTATTCAATTATTCATCTTTCATAAAAGGAAAAGTGGATTGATACATTTTTGAACTTCCAAGAAAGTCTGTGAAACAATTACTCCGATGATCAAGTCTTATATAACATTTAAGCAGAGTAGAAAAGTGGTGAATAAGAGTGGAATAAGAATGAAATAAGAGTGGAATAAGAACGGAATAAGAGTGGAATAAGAATGGAATAAGAATGAAATAAGAGTGGAATAAGAATGGAATAAAAATGAAATCCAGTAAATGAACATTGAACTGGTTTAAGGAAAATGAAAGCAATGGTTATATGTCATGCGTTTGATATCTTGTCTTCAGTTTCATTTGAAAACCCTTAGGAAAAGATATTTTTCCCATTTCAGGAAAGTAATGACATACTTGTCTGACCAAATGACAATTTTATCTCCATTTTAAGACATAATTCTTCAACGAGATGAGCCGATTTCTTTCCTTAATATTAACTTAACAAAAATCATCAGAAAAGTTGTCTCAGCCAATAAAAAACAATGATCCAGATATCAAACTAATACCATCTAATTTTGGATTTCAAGAAAATGTCTAGAAACACATTGAATGATGGATGACTGGAAGTATGAAAAGCCTGGAGCATGTTTCCACAAAATTGTTGTTTAATTTCAACATAGTACTTTCTTTAAATGGAAATTTCTATGTTTCTAAAGAATGCAATAATTTGTTTGAGCTTTTACTGTATTTGATCCTGAAGAGGTCTGAAGCAATCCCACAATGCTTGGCATCCCTTTTTTAGTTCATGCATTTGATTGGTCAAAATAAATCACAAGAATCAATTACCAATTCAAGAGCTTCACATTCACCATGAATTCTCGAATCTGGATCACTCTGAAATCTGGATATAATCATTGATATTTTTACATCTTAGTTCCCACATGATTGTTTTTCCAAGT